CTTCATTGTCCATTACAACAGGGTAAACTAAAATATTTAACTGACTATCAACTGTTATCGTCAGCATCATTAATTTTAATTGGTTTCACTTTTATTTGTCAGGTTTTGAATTCGAGAATCTTCCGATAATTTTGAGTTTTGGAGTGTGTGGAGTCGAGATTGACGATACTCACCACTACATACCTATTAAGTGCCAATTACCTGGTTAAGTCTCTCCGTGGAAGAAATATCAGAAAGGCATCTGTGCTTGCAGTTAAGATATATCTGTTGGCGATCTAATGGTATCCAAATAATATCGAGGTCGTACCAAATTTACAGACGAGACTAGTGTGCATACGTGAGTATAATGAAGGTCACTGACAAAGTGTTTTTGTTTCAGATGAACAAAATAGTACACTAAAACAATCACTGGCACCGTTGGTTATAATAATAAGTGTTCCCATCACGCCAACCTCATTCTCTTCATAAAAGTAGTTCACTACACCTTAAACTTTAATGGTTTCACATTTCTGGCCTCATATTTTGGAAATCTGGCTCTAGAAACCTAACAGTACAAGGTTTTCGTGAAATTCGTTATTCTTATAGGTCAGCGTTGATCGCTTGTAATAAAGAAATGAATATAAGGTGCCAGAATTCTATCCTGAGTTTTTATTATATGGGTTGAAGTTTACGAATACATCAGTTAACCATGCTTCAAGAACAAACCAAAGAAGGATTTACATGTAACTGTCACCGTTTTCATGAATTTGTCTACGGTGTAAAATATTTGGGTAAGAGCGCGAACATTAACAATGCAGCAAATCAACAGATTTATAAGACCATTCAATCGTTTCTTGATGAGACTGTCAAATTATCCTAGGCTCATCCTAATACCGATGATTTCTACGATTCTTCCACACATACGATACAATTTAGGTCAGACGCGAACCGCCACAAAACTGATATATCCTCATGAAGACGGCATAAACTAATCGGACAGTAACTTGAGATATGAGCCACTTTAAATCTTATATAATTGTCTAGAGTTTGGTGTTGTGTTATTATTCCAAAGTTACTACAGTCTCCCGTTGTTATAGTTTCACCAAGGTCACCCAGGAATGAACAAAGTGAAGGCCATTAGTTATTCATGGACAGGGTTGCGGAAAAATACATATTGAAATATCAGCAATATGCGTACGGAATGGGAGAAGCTCAGCTAAACAATTTGCCCTGAGTCCGAATGCAGGGATAAAAAACGGTCAGTATTTCCTGATGATGGAAGTTTCGAATACGAAGCCAAGGGAAATGTGACTCTTCACTTTATGCGAAGACAACTTGGTTCCATCACCCTAAATTATTCCTAACATTATTTAAGACATACGCGCGCCCGCTCCAGGAGGTTCACAACGTCATCGCACCAGCTTTGCCTAAAAGAGACGTAAATCTCTTGGATCGAGTTCAGAGACGAGCAACGAAATGGGCGATAGGGTTGAAAAACAAGCCTTACGATGACAGACTCAGCACTTGGGTTACAGGAGGATCAGAGGTGATCTAATTATGGCGTACAACATATTAAGGACGCCAAACCATCCGAACGTGAGCATCTCACCAGTGCATCACCATCACTCCCCTAGAGGTAATCCTCGAAAGACTGCACATCAAACAGCGAATACCCAGGTTGTCGCAACTTGGAATGCTCTCCCAGCTGAGGTGACCACAGCACCCTCAGTAGACAGCTTTAAGGCGAGACTTTTATAATAATCACATACTCACATACGGATTATCATTTCCCTCTTGGACAAGCTGTGCTTGATGCATGTCCTGAGACCTGCTAGTTGTTATCATTTCCATCTCCTCAGATCACTGACTTAATCTATCTCGCCTATTATCTCTGTTTCCTCTCCCTCGCCCACACTTTGCTCTTCTCTCACAATCTTCACTCACTAACTAATAAACTAAATTATCCATTGATTCACTTAGTTATGAAATCTTACTCATATTAGTTTCATAATTTTATCGTTATAATTCTCCACATTGCAACTAACTGATCTACTACAGTCTGATAATGTGACAGCTCCCAGTATCCAGAAATCCTACTGCCCAGAAACAAACGTTTTCATTCAAATCACGAGACATACAAACTCACCACCCAACTGATTAGAATTATACAGTAGAGTGGCTAGACTCCACTCAATGGACGTTACCAAACACCTGGAACCATACCAAAACCACAAGAATCAAGTGCAAATATATCAACTGGTTTATGATAGCTTGTGAAAAAGATATTATATATTAGAAGAAGCCTGAAATCTGCCGCTATGAAAGAAACTCATCCACATCCAAAGCATTCTTACATCTCAGACAACTATTTGGTAAGTTTGGATTACCTAACATTTTGGTTTCAAATACCAGAAAGCAATCAATATCATCTCATAGATTAACGGAGTTTTGTGAATAAAATAATACGGAATATGTTAGAACTCTACCGTCCCAACCTAGGGAAATGAACGAGAAGAGAAATCCGCTGATATTTTTAAGCGATCTCCCTTAAAGATGGCATAAGCTAGAGATAAAAATCTGCAATAGCTTCTCATATTTCATAGGTTACACCTATCCCTAATTATCAACGCACAGATATCATGAGGTAGTATAGTGTTTAGTAGACCAATTAGAGCGTTTTGTGATGTTTGGAATCTAATTGGTAAAACAGGCGGATTACTAAAACATACGGAAGGAAATTGTTCGAAAATTCTTGAATTTAAAGTAAATGATCCAGTTTGTGCGCTTGCTTTCCGGCTAGGAAAACCTAAATGGACTAAATATGGGTGAATATTAAAAAATAGGTGGAAATGTATTGCATGAACGGATGGTTGAAAATACTTCAACTATTAAACACTTTGAAATAGAAAAAATAGTTGCGAATTATTTTAAGCTAAGGCTTTAACAATAGAGATACTACATGAGAAATCTCACATCCTATAACTACCACTAGCTAAAATTAGAGGATATGAATCTAAATTAAAACAGTCATAAGGAGAAGATAAGTAAGCGAAATTTTTTTCAAATGAACGCAAGGGCATAGTCATACGAATGTAATGACAAAATGTGCGACTGTTGGACGGAAGCGTTGACGAACATGAAGCGATCGATCCATGATGACGTCAAGTTGTCATCGAAGGTCTTTTACGGAGAACAAAGAGAATCATGAGTAACGCGCAATCTTTGCTACTTACGAATCGTAGTGGTTCAGATCAGAAAACGCTACAGACATAGTACTACAACAACAACTACTGCTACTACTACTACTACAACTACTATTTCTACTACTACTTCGACTACCACTCACACTGTAGTGAAGTAGAACACAGCTGAGGGCAACCGAATTGTATTTAACGAGAATTACAGAGTTACTCAGTAAAATAGGAAAACCATATCGTAAACCGTTAATTTGCAAATCCTAAATCAATCATCAATCCGTTGTCTGACATTTCACTTATTCATGCGTTTCATACGAATTCCATTGTGTTCCCACTCCTCCTTTCTTGATCTTCTCCCATCTTCTGCTGCCAGCCATTACGTTTTCACCTACGTCATATACTACTTATAAGTAGCGCGCACCACACTACGACTACTACTGCTGCAACTATGATTACTACTGCTCCGACTACTACTGTGGTGCGAGCTACTTATAAGTAGTATATGACGTGGGCGTCAACGTAATGTCTAGCAGCAGAAGATGGGGGAAGATCAAGAAATGAAGAGTTAGAAGAACACAATGGAATTTGTATGAAACGCATGAATAGTGACAATGGATTGATGTTTTGCAACAGGGACAGTCCAGTTCGATATGATGAACTGATATTTTGCAAATTAACTATTTACGATATGGTTTTCTGATTTTACTGAGTAACTCTGTAATTTTCGTTAAATACAATTCGGTTGCCCTCACCTGTGTTCTCCTTCACTACATTTGGTGTCGCTGCCTACACAAAGGATGAAGATTCCATGGCCGAAGGAGTTTGAGGCCGTGGCGGAGCTGGTGGGGGTGAAGGAACCGAAGGCGAAGTTGGTGGTGCTGCGGACGCCGCTGAGTGGAAGGGCAAAGGTCGTATATTACAGCTTGGACGGTTCTCGCGGGAAGACGCTATGGGAGACGGTCATTGTGCGGCTGATGGCCGAGTTCGACAGCCCGGTGGACAGGGAGGAGGCGTTGCAGAAGTTCCGGTTGGTGAGAATGTCGGCTGATGGTGACCCGCTGGTGCTTGCTGTGGAGCTCACAAGGTTGCCCGCCGTGCGTTGCCGAATATCGATGAGTAGTCAGAGGCACAATTGTTGGCGTCGCAATTTATTGAGAGTGTGCCTGCCGCCATGTCCTAGCAGCTGAGATTAGCAAATGCAGCACAACCTATGGACATCGGTGAACTGGACTGTTCCTGTTGCAAAACATCAATCCATTGTCACTATGCATGCGTTTCATACAAATCCAATTGTGTTCCCACTCTTCCTTTCTTGATGTTCCCCCATCTTCGGCTGCCAGACATTACGTTGACGCTTATGTCATATACTACTTATAAGTAGCTCGCACCACAGCACCACACTACTCCGACTACTAACCCGAAAAACCAAGTCAATGCATAAAAAGGGAAACAATAACTTTGTAAACTTCTTACAAATATGATTATTTTTTGTATTATTATAAATACAATAGTTACGTAATAATCATAATATTAATGAGAATAACAATAATTATATTAGAATAACTTTGTGTATGTTTAGTCATTTTAGAAAAGAAAAAATTATCAAAATAAGATATAATGATCACATTAAATAAAAGAAAAAAAAAAGAATCCGAAAACAAAAAGGGAGACGACAGTTTTTTTCAGATTGTTATCGTCATCAGTTTTATGAATCAAAATGATTTTTGTGTTTTTGGTTTAGTTTTTCTAAAAAAAAGGAGTTATTTCTGTACACTTTTTCACTGTTTTTTGTTTCTGTGCTTTCCCCATATGAACATTTTTTTGTCAGAGAATAAATAAACAGGGATTATGATTATGAGTATTAGTAGTAGTAGTAGTGTGAGTAGTAGTAGTAGTAGTAGTAGTGGTAGTAGTAGTCGGAGTAGTAGTAGTAGTAGTGGTAGTCGGAGTGGTAGTATTAATAGTAGTAGTAGTAGTAATGGTAGTGTGAGTAGTAGTAGTAGTAATAGTAGTGTGAGTAGTAGTAGTAGTAGTAGTAGTAGTCGGAGTAATAGTAGTAATAGTAGTAGTAGTAGTGTGAGTAGTAGTAGAAGTAATAGTAGTGTGAGTAGTAGTCATAATATTGATTTTCTTGGTGATCAACGTATTCAAATTAGGATTAAAAATCAATAAGTTCATTGTTATGCTTACTTACTTATTATGATTATCAGTATTGACAACAGCACAGCAAAAATATCAAGAATGAATATTGAAAAGGTGTTGCCAAAAACACAAACAAACAAACATGGCCGACATGATAATAAGAAATCAAACAAACAAACAAATAAATAAGAAATCGATATCGTTCATATCGAGACACTCTTTTTTTTACAGAATACCATTGAAGAACACATGCAGTCAGTGTGCATGCGCATGACAGTGTAGTGTGTGTGTTTGAGTCAGTGAGAGTGAGGGAACACAAACTGTGCATCTGTAACATATAGCCAGTACAGATAGGTCCAAAATGTAAATGAATTTTTCAGTATTATAACGAATAGAATAATAAAAAAATCAAGGAAATAGGAGATTGATTATTTTCACCTAGAATTATTTTACAAATTCAATTTGATTATCCTGAGCAAGAAAGTAGTAAGTACATTTTCACAATTCTATATATATATATATCATTGATTGATTGTGTTCGGTTTCATGAATAAGGTTTAGATAAAGTTGGCGGCGCTACTTCATGTGATGTTAAATAGCCACTGTGTAAACTACCAGATGCTGGACCAGCTGTTAAATAGGTGGTTACTGATTGTGGTACATTGGCGATAAACAATGAATGACCTTGGTCGCGATAATCTGCCCAATTCGGATATGATTCAAGAATTGACGTGACCTTAACAAGAAATTAATGAGAACAAGAGAGTAGGGTTTAGTAAAAAAGATAGGAAATTTGGAGCTTTTATTTCCAGACAAATAAAATTCAATATATTTAGCATTAACTGGTGCCGTTATAGCTCGTCTGGAGCTCTTTTCTGAAGTTACTACCGGTCTCAATCGCTGGATAAAGGAGGAGGGTTGGGCATGGGGTTAGCAAAGCCTTCCCGTAAAGAAGCAACTCGCTAATAAACGCTAAGCAGAAAAAAAACGATTCAAACCATTTAAAATCTGAGGATTGGAAGCAGACATGAAAAAAGGAAGGCTGAGAAGAATGCTGGTTGGCGGATTGTAAATCCTGGGACCACCCAGTAAGCAATGCTGCCGTTAGGAAACGAGTACTAGGTATGCATGGTAAATCAATAAATGAAGTAGTGAAACTTCATTAGTTGAGGTGGTTAGGACAACCGACTGCCTCGTTGAGCTATGTTTAGTGGTGTAGGAGTAGGTTGGAAGAAAGTTAGGGGCGGCCAAACCAAAACATGGGACAAATTCATGAGGTCATTGAAAACTGGACTGATTCATGTTGGTAGGTGTCAACTTCCTGGTTAGTGCCCACAAGATGATAGTAAACGATGGTTAGAGGCCTTGAATGACATGGCTCAAAACCGCTAGCAATGGCGCAGGTGCAGGTGGAGTGAGTCATGTTGGTAAGTGTTGACTACCTGCCTATTGCGGTCCGCGAGACAATAGTAACCAATGGTTAGAGATCTTGAACGAAATGGCTCAAATTGGTTTGCACAAGATACAACAATTCATTGGTTGATATTTACTGAATCTAGACCATTTATTATGTATGATAGTGTGAAGTTCAATAGATATGCAAACCAAGCGCTATTAAGGTTGTTGGTAGTAAAATGTACAAGAAAAACTATTGAAAAACCCAAGAAAGTTGAATGAAATTTCTATCTTCGCGTAAATGAAACAATTCAATGAGAGCATTGAAAATTGTAGGGATGATAATATTCAGGGCAAATTTGCAAGTTCATTTCTGTTATGGACAAGTAGATTTGAATGTGAAAAATGTCTTTTGCTGAAGTGACTGGATAGGTAGGTGATTGCTTTTTTGTATTGAATTCTGGGAAATATTTTTTTGTGTTGTGTGAAGAAAAGTGACATGAATCTGGCACTTAAAGAGTTGAACTGTTGGTAACAACTTCCAGAGATGATTTGTACAGTGAAAAAAGGAGATAAATAGTGAGTATTTCGTAATGGACAAGATTCAAAGATAAACAATGAGTTTTTATAAAAATGAGACTTCCAGAGTTTTAGTTTGTACATTTATTGGACAGTACGGTATGTGTATGTTGAAATCACAAATTGATCTTAGTTAAACAATCAGTGAAAACCTAGAAGCAGTGAATAGATGCTTAGTCGTAGTATGATATTCATCAGTAGTGTGCATCCACTACCGCGCACGAGAGAATCAAACCGGCGACCTTCGGACTCTTTTTAGTCAAACAGTTATTGAATGTGGAAGCAGTTATCCACCGCAATCAAAAGGATAAAGGGTTGCACCAGATCACGAATTGATTTCAGTTATACATCAACATTGTCCAATACGGGCTCAACAGTCTAAAGGGTTAAGAGTTCACACATGAAACTGAAGACACTGGGTTCAACTCTTGCATAACGGGGTTATGGATGAGCACTGCTATGAGAAGTTGCATACACTGACAAGAAACAATCGTCTGGTGCTTCCAGGTTTCCAATATGTTAGGATATTCATCCAATATCCTAAGAGAATTATTGGTCAAATCCTATTGGTCGATTTCTATTGGTCAAAATTATGGTCGTTTTAACTGTCAAAGTCACATACTTCAATGTTGTCTCTTATTGGTCATGCGGACTGGCAATGTCATTTCAAATGTTACTTCCTATTGATCGTCTTAACTGTCAATGTCACAGACTTCGATGCTGTTTCCTATTCGACCAAAATGTATAAATACGCATTATCAGTAACATTTTATGACCACGACCAGGACCAGGGCTCGGTCCCGGACCCCTAGTCCGGGATCCTGGTTCTCTTCTGGATTCGAACCTCGTACTTTTTGGATGCTTGTAGAATACGTGTTCTACTTCATATCACGTCTTCTTATTTTTACTCAATATGAGGGTTGGGATAATCGGATTTGAGTAGTATGTTGTGTCGCCGGATCCTCGCTCTCGTTTTCCGATTAAGGGGTAAACTCGTAATAGTTCAAGTATATCAAGTTGACGTCTGTACGTGCAGACATAACACAATGCTAGTGGTGTGTGTCTATCTGAAAATTAATTCGTAATTATTACAATCTCCAATAAATATGCATACACACAATCTCAACTTACTTTTGCACCATAAATAGCACTATATTGCATAGCTTTTAACGCTTTAATCAAATAAGCTCGAGTTTGTCCAGGTTCTTTAACTGATGATGGGAAACCATTTTGTAACATACGTAATACAAAACCAATAAGATCATGTTTTAATGCCTACAAAAAATAGGTGAGAGAGAGAGAAAGTGAATTACAAATCAGAATAGAGAATGATCAGCAACATTTTCATGGCAATAATATACAGGATAAGTGAAGCAGCAGCTTTAGTATTTGACTTGATGGGTTGTACTTGTGTTTCGTGTTGTTGTTAGTACTCAGTCACTATCTACGCACAGCCTATCCGTTAGCCTGAGATGGAAAACGAGATTCATCAAGGATATGGTAAAAGCGAAACCCGACCATAGCTCCTAACCTTGTCATGGTGGTCTGGCTTGCCTATCGTGATCACCCAAACGAGCTCTACTGACTGGAACATATGTTCCTGAAGGTTCTACCGTGCCAGTCTGGTGGATTGGAGAACGATGAGACCAAAAGCAGCTACTCAAGGTCTGAGGGCGAGGTCGTACTGCTGACTGTAGCGAGGTGTGCGTTAGGATATTCATCCAATATCCTAAGAGAATTATTGGTCCGTTACTAATGGTTAATCCCTACTGGTCAATTGTCTGGTCGTCCTAGATATCAATGTCACGTGCTCCAATTTGTTTCTTAATGGTTTTCCTGACTATCAGTGTCCCTTCAAATATTGTTTCCGATTGATCGTCTTAACTGTCAATGTCACGGACTTCGATGCTGTTTCCTATTCGACCAAAATGTATAAATACGCATTATATGTAACGTTTTATGACCAGGACCCGGTCCCGGTTCCCTAGTCCGGGATCCTGATTCTATTCTGGATTCGGACCTCGTACTTCTGGATACTTTCTGAGTCAGAAGCTGGAATTTATCAACAATTTACTGATAGATATCGGTTATCTTAGCGTATTCTTACAGAAGTCAGAGATGGACAGTTCTAAACAAACTTCTATTCATTAAACTACTAACAATTCATTCAACAAGCATATGATTAGCGATGACCTTCCTGCATGAGATATTAGCAAAAGTTATCATTGTCATTATCAGGTTTCTATTGCAGTGATTTCATTGTAGCATCTAAACTCAGTGTTTCCATTTATGCAAATCTATCCAAATCTTTCACAGTGATTACGTAATCCAGCTTATTAACATCGAATTGTAGATATTTATATATGACTGTGTAATAATGATAAGTCATGTATGTCAGTCAGTAATACAGTTTAATCTGATTATATAATAATTATGAGCCAATCTAATATAAAAAAAACTCTAAAATATAATGAACTGATATTTTTTTTGGTCGTAATTATTGTTTACAATTTATTCAAACTCATTTAAGGGGAACAAATTTTAAGTAACTATTCTGTGGGTGGATATCATTTACCGACTGCTCACATCGTGGAAGAGTATTTATTGAGAAACTCCAATAGTAAATTGGATTAACGTTGGTCTGAGAGGCCTGCAAGTGTGACCGCACATTCAAAGGCACAATTACTTGAAGCCGGTTGCGCATGAACTTTTAATGTAGTTTCAAAGAGTGAGCTTCATTCTTCGAAAGGCCTTAACGATGGAGATGGAGATCCATGGAGAAAGGAGAGATGTGAAATCGTTAGGGTCGACTTTTATTAGCCTCCTCCATTCGTTGTCAGGAGGCAGCATAGCTGCAGATGCTGGTTATCCGATTGAAGCACGTGACTGCGGTCACATTCCTCTATAGTCAATCAGCAGTACGATTTCGCCCTGAGATCTTGAGTTTCTACTTTTAGTTTTATTGTTCTCCAATCGACCTACATGGCATGATAAGACCTGAAAGAACATATATTTCATCCAAAATGGTTTGGTTGGGTGATCATGATAGGGAAGCTGGAGCACCACGTCAAGGTAGTAGCTACGGTCGGTGTTTATGTTTTATGACTTGCTCAAACAGAATCAAGTGGTTTTAGTAAGAGGTCATTCCTCGAGCCCTTGACTTAAAGGTCAATTCTCCATGGATAAAGCATCGAAAACAGAGATACATAGTGGTTAGCAGTAGAATCCAAGAAATACGTTTCATCCTATTCGGAACTAATTGCTCGCTGAATGTAATTTACATCCCAGAGTTGACATTTACTGTGTGACTCAAACACAGTACCGATCGCTTCAAATGCCAGTGGCATTATCTACTTAGTTGCTGAGTTCAGATAGCTACTGGCTTTGACGATAGAATACAGTTTAATTCATTCACATTACAATTCGTAATCCCGACCATAGCTCCTAACCTTGTCATGGTGGTCGAGCTTGCTTATCGTGATCACCCGACCAAGCTTTATGGGATGGAACATATGCTATTTCAGGTCTTACCATGCCATGCAGGTCGATTGGAGAACAGTAAAACTAAAAGTCACAAATCAAGATCTCAGGGTGAAGTCATACTGCTGATTGACTATAGAGGAGTGCGACATCAGTCAGGTGCTTCAATCGGGCAACCAGCATATGCAGCGATGCTGCCTCTTCACAACGAAAGGAGGAGGTTAGGAAAGGTCGACCCTAACGACTTCACATCTCACCTTTCTCCATGGATCTCCGCCGTTATGGCCTTTTGAAGAACGAAGCTTCACTCTTTGAAACTACATTGAAAGTTCATGCTCAACCGGCCTCAAGCAGTTGACCCTTGGAGTCGGCAGTCACGCTCCCAGAGCTCTAAGACCAACATTAATTTACTTTCTTTTCCAAGTTCCTCAAGAAACACCCTTCCTTGGTGTGGGTAGCCGGGAACTGACATTCATCCTCATAACTGTAACAGCACAAGAGAACAAATTGGTCACAATCAAATCCTTCATACACTTCCTAACATCTCTCTCTTATCTCCACGATGGCACAAGTGTATCCATTCTTTGTGTTCTCTCAAAATTCTAATCTTCTGCATTCCTCATAATCTTTACCTTTCTCCTTCTAAATTTATCTCACTGAATTATACTTCTCGAATCATTATCTTCGAACCCAAATCTTCTCTATTACAGCTAATACTTCTACTATCGCTACCATTCTGGGATTTAAATTGACTATTACGTCTCCGTGCTGATGCGGTATGACAACCTATGTACTCATGTACGAAGTTCTATGTCCTGACTGACTGATCGTAATAGAATGCGAATAAAAACCACCAAAAGAAACTGATCAATTTTAACTCTAAACTCTAATAAAGAGACTGCAACAGTCGGATTGCTAATCACACACACACACACACACAAACACGTACACACACATGCACAGGACTTGAACTCACAAAGTAACAATCACATTAAAATCGAAGTAAATCAAATCAAATCAAAGCAAACAAACAAATCGTTCAACTTCCCGACCGTAGCTGTTACCTTGACGTGGTGGTCTGACTTGCCTATCGTGATGACCCAACCGAGCTATATTGGATGGAACTTATATTCCTGAAGCTTCTACCATGCCAGGCAGGTCGGTTGGAGAACGATGAGACTCAAAGCGGCTACCCAAGATCTGAGGGCGAAGTCGTACTGCTGACTGACTGTGGAGGGGTGTGACAGCAGTAAGGTGTTTCCCTCGGACAACAACCAGCATCTGCAGCGATGCTGCCTTCTCACAAGGAACGAAGGGTTAGAAAAGGTCGACCTTAAAAATGTCACACCTCACCCTACCTCATGGATTTCCGTTCCCAGCAGTAAGGTTGCCCACTAAGGGCTTTGAAAGAGCGGAGCTAATCCTCAAAAAACCTTTCATAAAAAGGCCGTGCGTGACCGGCCTCAAGCAGTTGTCTGTGGGGCTCTGTAGTCACGCACCAACACTAATCCATCTTCCTCTTCAGGTCCCCCACGAAACAACCTTCCACGAGGTGTGGGCAGCCGGGGAGTGACAACCGCCCCCTCATACCCGTACCAACCAGCACACGCGAGACAAAATTGGTCAAAACCAAATGAAAAAAGAATGTTCAACTTACTTGTTCAATTAATGAATCGGAATATGGTGTATCGAATAGACAAAATAATGTTTCACCAATTAAACCTAATTCTTCACCAATACAACAATTAATAATACGTATTAAATTGCCAATCATATCACCAGTTTCACTTGACATGGATTGTACACATAACTAAAAATTATAAATAAATAGATAAATAATAATAATAATAATTATTATTATAGATAATAATACATAATAGTAAGATGATGGAGCAAAATTTGTGACTCCAGTATTGTGAGACAGCTCTGAGTATAAGCAATGCTGTTGTTAGAAAACGACTACTAGGTAAGGATGGCAGATCAATAGATGAAGTGGTGAAACTTTTATCAGTTGAGGTGGTTGGGACATGTGTTACGCATGGCTAACCATCGACTGCCTCGAAGAGTGTAGGAGTGTAGGAGTAGGTTGGAAGAAAGTTAGGGGCGGCCAGACCAAAACATGGCACAAATGCATGAAGTCATTGACGAGTGGACTCAGTCATGTTAGTAGATGTAGGTTACCTGGTTGGGGTCCGCGAGACGAAAGTCACTGATAGTCATAGACCTTGAATGACATGGCCCAAAACCGTTTGCAAAGGCGCAGTCACATTCATTCACTGTGTTCTTTCGAATTCTAACCTTCTGAATTCTTAATCACCTCTATCTTTCTCTTTCTAAAATTATCTCACTGAATTATACTTCTTGAATAACATCTTTTACTACCTCTGCTACTACGGAATTCGAATTGACAATTGCATCTCTCTGTGTGCTAATGTGGTGTGGTATGGCAACTTGAACGTAGTTCTACGTTGTAACTGACAATTGGAAGACTGTGGTAGAGTTCTGTTCTCTGAGGTGGATGTTTTAGTTGTGGAGTTGACATCACTGTTTTTCGGAACAACATCATCAGTACAGACGACTAGTTGGAGTTTGTGCTTGTCTGTATGTATTGATGTAAGCCATCTTGTCGATTACTTTCAACTACCTGATAAAAGTGGTTTGGATAAAGAGGATAGAAACTACTTTCTATATAGACAGGTAAACGATTTACCATAATGTGGCTGTCACTTTGACATAACAAACCGAATGTAGCTGTCAACTTGACATGGATGTTGGAATTGCATGTGTGGTGCTGTGGTGCGAACTACTTATAAGTAGTATATAGCGTGAGTGTCAACGTAAAGTCTGGTAGCATAATATGGGGGGAAGATCAAGAAAGGAAGAGTCAGAAAACAATGGAATTTGTATGAAACGCATGAAGAGTGACAATGGATTGATGTTTGGCAACAGGAACAGTCCAGTTCCATAGGATGAACTGATCTTTTGCAAATGAACGATTTACGATATGGTGTTCCGATTTTACTGAGTAACTCTGTAATTTTCGTTAAATACAATTCGGTTGCCTCCACCTGTGTTCTCATTCACTACACATGTCGTAACTAACCAACTGAGCTATATTGGATGGAACTTATGTTTATTCAGTTTGTACCATGAAAAGCAGGTCGATCGGCGAGCAGTCAGACTAAAAGCAGCAACTCATCGTCTGTGAGCGAAGCCATATTGTCGACTTTAGAGAGGTGTAATAGCAGTAAGGTGTTTCCAATCGGACAACCGGCATCTACAGAGATGCCGCCTTCTCACAATGGAAGAAAGGGGTTAGAAGAGGTCAACTGTAACGTTGTCACTCCTCACCTCACCCCACAGATTTCCATCTACAGCAGTAAGGCCATCTGAAGAACGGAGCTAATACTTCATCGTTTGATATTATTTCTATTCAAATGATAGAACTTTCTCTTTTGATTTTGATTGACTGACGTCGGTCAATAATATTTCCAAAACAGTAAACTGTATGACAACTTGAAAGTTATGAGATAATCACAATAACCTAAAAGCACGGGACAGTGCTTATTAACTTGTGATCATGTTATGTGAAGAAGTCATGGATATCTAATGCTACCATACTGCTTTTAATGACTAGTAGGCTAGTTGAAAATTGTTTACAATAGCCTAGATTCATTCATTGTTTGTGTTCTCTAAAGAAATTCTTATCTCCGGAATTCTTCATCATTTTTATCATTCTCTTTTTAAGTTTATTTCACTAGATTTTACCTCACAAATCATATGTTCGAACACTAATCTTACTGATTACTGCTAATACCTCTACTTTCTCTACGATTATGGAATTTGAATTGACAATTGCATCTCTCTCTGTATCTGTGTGTGAGCCGATGTGGTATGGTAACTTCAAATGATGTATGTACGTAGGTAACTACAGCAAGATCTAGTTTTGAAGGCTTTGTTTGTGAAAATCCTTCTCCATGTATACATTTTTAATTTGTTCTTATTGATTCTTTCACTTGTACATTTTGTTAATCTGTTCGATTTCATTTTGAGATGATAATATTTGTATTTTATTATAGTTTCTATTACTTTGGCCTTCATTGAGTTTCAATGTCTCTTTCTGAATTGCATTTATGTTGTTTAAGCTGATACTCTTAGTCATGGCGATAGCCATATTGATTTGTTCCTCTTTTGATTGGGTTGCATGCTTGGACTGAAATTGTGCATCTTCACTGTGAATTGAAGCATCCTCTCAGAATAGGAAACACTCTGTGTTATAAAGTAACCAAATATTATCTGTCGAACGAATCTGATCTATCCAGGAGGTATGGAATATCATATATTTGTTGCTGTTCTGGATTTGATTAATTGAACAGTTTTTAGTGGAATAACTGACTGGTAATATTTGTTTAGGTAATGATGTGCATTTATATTTATGATGAATATTAGAACCACTGTCATTTACCCAAATCACTTTGTTTTGGTTTTCAATTGGGCAAGACGCATATCTAAACTACCTCAACAGTGTTATTCCTCCGTCCAAACCTCAGTTTAGATCCTACAATTCTAGACATATTCCAATAGATCAGAGTTGTTTGGCTTACATATCATGGATTTCAATTATCGGTTCTGAAGATATTTTATTACTTGTCTTGTAATGACGAAACTCTCGTCAAACGAAGTCTAGCTGAAGTCTCGTTAGGAGTCAAGCACACAAACTGAATAATGATGAATCCCTTTGTTTTTAAAGCAAATGCCTTTTAATGAATGTTCTTATGTGTTATGGTCTACAATCAAATAGGGATAAGTATCATGATAGTTCTAAACAAATTCCAATAGATCGGAGTTCTTTGGACCAACATTTCGTGGATTTCAATTATTGTGATGCCGAACACTAGTCAAAAGAAGTCAAGTTCAGGTCTTGTTAGGAGTCAAGTAGGCAAACTGAACGTACGTCAGACAGACAGACCGATACAACGCAGAACTTCGTACGTACGTACATCAGTTCAGGTTGCCATGCCCCATCAGCACAGAGACGTAACTGTCAGTTCAAATCCAAGAGTAATAGTGATAGTAGAAGTATTAGCAGTAATGGAGAAGATAAGGGAGCGAAGATATGATTCGAGAAGTATAATTCAGTAAGATAAATTTAGAAGGAGAAAGGCAGAGATTACGAGGAATGCAGAAGCTTAGAATTTCATAGAACACAAACTGAACGTACGTACATACGTACGCAAGTACAATCAGAGTTAGACATTAACACCGTTGGATGCCGGTTCAGTGGTCCGTTGGTAAGGCGTTCGCCTACAATGCCGAAGGTCCCGGGTTCGAATCCAGCGAGGAGCGGGGATCGTGGATGCGCACTGCTGATGACTCCCATACTAGGACGAAACGGCCATCTTTCAGTGCTTCCAGGTTTCTAATGATGGTCTAACAATGATTGATTGATGATTTCAAATGTGTAAGTACAAAGGTCTACACGTTGTAATTGACTAAAAAGGGGGGGGGGAAAGAATTTGAACAAATTATCCACATAAAATACAAACCAATTCAATCCATCAACTTACTTTACTTGCTGACATTTGATGCAATAAAATAACAATTGCTTTAGCACCTTCTGGGTCATTCACTTTAGCTAATAATTCTAAAACTCTATGTACATTACCAGATAAAGGCAATGAATCAATTAAACCGGGACGATCAGTCAATATAGTTTTACATGATCGAGTTAATAATTGAACTAATAAACTTGTATCTGGTAATTGATGTATTGCCTAATGTAAAATAAAAAAAATAACAACAACACGAATAAGAAGGAGAAGAAGTACAACACATGCATGAAGTGTACATGAACAGAATTGACAAAAATATAACAGTCATTAAAATAATAATAATAATAATAATAATAATAATAATAATAATAATAATATGTGCTGTTTTCCGTTCGCTAACCAAAGGACGGGTGTGATGCGCAGCAGTTCGCTCCGTTCTCCAATATGGATGCGAAACATGGCCGTTAAGAGTAGAAGATATTCGTAGGTTACTAGCATTCGATCATAGATGTTTAAGAAGCATTGCTCGTATATCGTGGGACAGCCGAGTAAGCAATGCTATAGTTAGGAAACGAGTACTAGGTAAGGATGGAAGATCAATAGATAAAGTGGTGAAACTCCATGAGTTGAGGTGGTTATGACATGTGTTACGAATGCCTAACCACCGACTGCTTCGACGATCTATGTTTTGTGGTGTAGGAGTAGGTTGGAAGAAAGATAGGGGTGGCCAAACCAAAACATGGCATAAATCCATGAAGTCACTGACAACAAGTGGACTGAGTCATGTTGGTAGGTGTAGACTATCTGGTTGGGGTCCGCGAAATGATAATAATCAATGGTTAGAGACCCTGAATGACATGGTTCAAAATCGTTTGCAATGGCGCAAGTGCATCTATTCTTTGAACTCTCTCAAATCCTAATCTTCTGGATTCGTTAGCACATCTACCTTTGTCTTTCTAACCTTATCTCACTGAATCATACTTCTTGAATAATATCTTCAAACCCTAGTCTTCTTCATTACCAATAATGCCTCTACTATTTTTATCACTATGGGATTTGATTTGACATCTGCCTCTATGTGCTAATGTGGTATGGCAACATGAACTTATGTACATACGTACGAAGTTCTACGTTGCAACTGACTCACTGACTGTGTGCTGTTTATAATTTCCAATTGAAACGGAGATGACGAACAAACATTGGATATGGATTAAACACACATTGTGGACGGCATTGGCTAACTGCCTCACGAAGTAAACTTTAACTTGAAGTCTTCAAAGCAAAAAGCGGAGAAGAAGACCAAAGAACACATTGAGCTGGAGAATTGGAGGCAAAATATCAGAAGAAAGAATAGTGATTGGGAGCAACTGAAAAAAAGAGAGCTGTTGGGGACGTTCGATACCCAGAACTCACTTGATCAAGGTCGTAAATTTTGGATTTTATTCATGGGTTGATCAGTTGACCTTGAGATTACATTTCCTACCAACCAGGAAAATTCTTGATAGCACACTAAAATAACACATCAACCAATCAAGTGAGTTTTAGCGCTCTAACGTCCCCAACAACAGCTGAGGACAGAGCTGGTCGGTTAGAATACATCTTAACTGTATTGTAATAAAACTGGAAACAAGATGTACAGTTGAAAAGTGATTTCTGACATTGTTAGAAGTACGTTAGCGCAATGGATTCAGTGACTATAACAACCAGTTTGCAATAATCAAATCGAATCGTACGCTTCATCTTCAAACCATGACTGCTACCATCGTGGTGGATACTACTCACAAGGTGGCATATATAAGTAGTATGCAGCAAAGCATTGCTCAGAGGTTGTTATCACAGAGAGAGAGAGAGAACAATGTTTGGACATGCAAAGGTATGAGAGACGGCAATCAATTGCCCGCTAGTATTGCGAATGGACATTGAACAAGACCGGAGAGAGAGAGAGAGATAATGAGTGGATGAATCTGTACGACCAATGCATAATCCATGCTATCTATCAAAGTGACTGGAAGACATTACTCACAAATGAAATGCTACAATGATTTTCTCAAGCAGATACTATCCGAGTCTATGCTCTACAAGTCTAATCCACAAGATGAGACAGCAGTCCTGGAGGCAATGTGCAACATTGGTTTGGAATAAGAATTTTCCGACTAACCTCTCCCACTAACTAGATGGTACCCACTGTACACCCACACCGACCCAGTTTAAGCTGTAGTCGGATATTCACTTTTCATCCTATCAGTTTCATAAACAACACTCTTGATGCAAGAAGGCATTGAGTGTGACCTTCTTGACAACTGGGCCTATATGAGAGAGCATTTGGAGATAAAGAGGGCTAACTCTTCATGTTCATCTCGACAGTATCAAGGCATCTGAAGGGAAGGGGCAGTGAAACACAGAAGAAGTATACACACAATTGTAAATAATAAAAAAAACACCATCTACCTCAATCCATTTCTCCATGCATTCATTTAAAAATAATTCTGGATGACGTAATGTCCAGCCAGGATGTGATATGTACAAATGTAAATAAACACCGGCAATTTGTATTGGACCAAGGCAGGAAACATATTGAGCTAGTTCATTCGGTTTAGTTTTATTCTCTTCCGCCGCCTTCTTCGCTATGACTTCCGTATATGGGACTTTAAATGTATCGGGTAAATTCCATTTACTACTACGATCTTGTAGTTGTGAATTGTAAAAACTATGAATATAAAGCGAAATGTACAGGCGGCATTCAAGTAAGTAAACAATGTATTCATGTATATATGTGTGTCCGTCCGTCTCTCACTCTCTCTCTTTGTGTGTATGTGTGTGCGTGTGTGTGTGCGAGAGAGAGAGATTAGCATAAATCAAGTTTACAAAATCAACTCAATAATCAATAAAAACAAACTGAAGGTGTGTAAATAAATTAGATTCAATTGAAATGTATGGTACATTCTAATCTCATTTTGTTAGAATCAATATGCTGTGTTACCAGGATGATAGCGGATGTCATACCCCTCGGCTGACTAACACCATGTATCGGTATTGTGTTACGCCTGCACGTAACAATGTCAACTTGATATACTTGAACTATTACGAGTTTACCCCTTAGTCGGAAACGCCAGAGCGAGGATCGAGGATCCGGTGACACGACATGCTAATCAAATCCCATTATCCCAACCACCATATTTAGTTTATATAAGAAGATGTGATATGAAGTAGAACCTGTATTCTACAAGCATCCAGAAAGTACGAGGTCCGAATCCAAAAGAGAATCAGGATCACGGACTAGGGATCCGGGACCGGGTCCTGGTCCTGGTCGTGGTCATAAAACGTTACAGATAATGCGTATTTATACATTTTGGTCGAATATGAAACAGCATCGTAGTCTGTGACATTGACAGTTAGGACGACCAATAGGAAGTAACATTTGAAATGCTATTGACAGTCCGGATGACCAATAAGAGACAACACTGAAGTATTTGACTTTGACAGTTAGGACGACCATCATATTGACCAGTAGGAATTGACCAATAGAATTAGAATTACAAAAATAATTCTCTTCGGATATTAAATGAATATCCTAACAATTTCTAGAGAAGCCTAAAGAGGAAGGTAGATTAGTAATGATCTTAGAGACCTGAGAGAGTGACCGCACAGCTAAAGGGGAAAATGTTTCAGGCTGGTCATGCACGGCCTTATTATGAAAAGTATGTCAAAATTTAACTCCGCTCTTCGAATGGTCTTCCGTCGGAGACGGAAATCTGTGAGGTAAAGTGAGGTGTGAAATCGTTAGGGTTGAACTTTGCTAACCCCTTCCTTCCTTGCGAGAAGGCGGCATCGCTGCAGATGCTGGTTGTTCGAGGGAAATACCTGATTGCTGTCACAGCCCACTACCTTCAGCTGTATGATTTCGGGCTCAAAACTTTAGTTGCTGCTTTTAGTCTCATCGTTCCTCAATCAAGGTGGATGGCATGGTCAAATGTCAACGAACATATGTTCCAGCCAACATAACTTTGGTGAGCGATCACGCTAGGCGAGCCCGACCACCTTGTCAAAGTAGTAGCTACGGTCGGCATTTTGTAATAATACACTTGTCCTATGAGGTGATAAATGCAAGTAGTCAACAGGAAAGTTTGGACTTAGGTTTCATGTTATCTTGTACTCGTCAGTAACGTGAACCTACAGTCTTGGAGTAACTGATGCTCCTAGTGGATTTTATCTTGCATTATTCACCTTCACAGTCAGAAACCTTAACATTGATCTAGCCAAGTAGCGACTGATTATCTGTAGGAGCGAGGTGGAATTTGCAACTAATCTCAACATAGTGTACGCGATATAGAGTCACCTCGATTAGTGGTCATACTACAACGTAATCGGCACCAACGAAGAAATGATACACATAACATCGATCACTGAATCAATCTACAGCAACGTAAAACTTCGTACATACGTACTTCTTGAGCATTCCCAGAAATAGTTTGCTTTGTGATATAGTTGAATGGTTTCCACAATATCAGTCCTATCTACTTCCAGTGCTATTCGCCTAATTTCTTCCTCAGCTAGTTTGTTCTTTGCTAAAGTAGGTTATTACTAATCTAGAGTATCTTGTGTTTAGACAACGGTTGTGCCTTTTTGACAATGGCTTTCATAATCCTTCTCCAAAATCCAATCCCAAAAAAACAGAACTATCTCAATGTTTGTATTGATAATTCAAACTTTAGTGTTGGCTGATAGTTGTATACAGTCAAAGATGTTCTTCAATTATAGAAATGCTGGAGCACAGTGGATTGGATGCTGATATACAGAGACGGATTGACAAAGTAAAGGATGCATTTTGGAGCAGCTGAGCAACATCTACAACTAAAAACAACGCTTAGTCAGTCAACAACATCAAAGTCACAAATTCTCAATAGCTACATCAAGACAGTTCTAATGTATGGAGCGGGAACTTGGAGAACTACGAAAAACATCATCCGGAAGATACAGGTATTTATTCAACAGTTGTCTAAGCAAACTACTTCGAATCTGTTTGACCAGACACTATCAGTAACAACCTATTGTGGGATAGAACAAACCAGATCCCAACAGAGAAAGACATCAGGACAGGACACACATTTCGGAAATCACCTGATTGCATCACTAGGGAAGCGTTCTCACTCAGAACTATAACATAGCGAAAGGAAAACACATTTGAAATCATGAATCGATCAATGTTAGACCACCATTAGAAACCTGGAAGCACTGAAAGACGGACGTTTCGTCCTTGTATGGGACTCATCAGCAGTGCGCATTAATGACTCCTGCTCCTCGCAGGATTCGAACCCGGGGCCTTCAGTATTGTGCGCAAACGCCCTAACAATTGGACCACTGAGCCGGCATCCAACGGTGTTAATGTCTAACTCTGATTGATCTAGGGAACAGACAGATTAATGAATATGCTACACTGAAAATTGGAAACCGACATGAAAAAATGAGAAGCAATTTAGTAGAATTGAAAAAGGAAGGCTCAAAACACAGTAGACTGGAGAATGTCGGTCGGCGACCTATGCTACACTGGGGATAACACGAGTAAGTAAGTTTTATAAAGAGCTCAATTAATAGGAAACTGGAAGTTAACTGATTGAAGAGAAAAAACTTCATTACCTTTGTGTTTGTTCACTTAAAACTTTAGTTAAAATATTGCGTAGATTAGAATTCCATATCATTTCAGGATTTTCATGATCAGCTGAAAAAAATTTGAAAACCGAAAGAAAAGATTAATGTTAATTAAAACTGAGAAATTAAGGGTGATACATGTTCAATACAATAATACAGATGGGTCATAGGCCAAGGTCAGCCAAAATACAAACTGATACATGAAATGATTTGAAGTCAATCAATCTCAGTAGGCTACAATGTAGAACTTCATACATACATACATCAGTTCAAGTTCCTATACCATACTAGCCTAAAGTAGTAGAGGTCGTCAAAGTACTAGTTGTAATGAAGAGGGTTAGCGTTCGAAGATCTTATTCACTGAGAATAATTTAGTGAAATGAATTGGAAAAGAGAAAGATAGGGGTGATGAGGAATCCAGAAGATAAGGATTTCAGAGAACACAAAGAGTAGATGCACCTGCGTCACTAAAGACGGTTTTGAACCATGTCATTCAAAGTCTCTAAACATCCGTTTGCTATCGTCTCGCAGACATTAAAAAGGTAGTCTACATCTACTAGCATGACTCAGTCCACTTGACAGTGACTAAATGGATTTGTGCCATGTTTTAGTCTGACCGCTCCTAGCTTTCTTCCAACCTGCTCCTACACCACAAAAAAAATCGCTCGTCGAGGCAGTTAGTGGTTAGGCATTCGTAAAACATGTCTTGATTGCCTCGAATGATGAAGTTTCAATACTTTATCGATTGCTCTGACATCCCTAATTACAGAGCAAACACGAAGAGTAAATTGGGTTGGTGCTTTATTTGCACAAGGTGAAATTTTACTAGGATCCTGTATGTGCTTTTCCAAGACTGCATTTCTACAATTGAAGAACATCTGGAATTCAAAACAACCGCCTATCAACCAACATTAAAGTCATAATTTTCAATACAACACAGTTTTACTGTATGGAGCGAAAACGTGGAACATCACAAAAGCCATCATTTAGAAAACAGAAGTGTTTATTAATAGTTGTTTGAGCAAAATACTTCGGATGCGTTGGCGAGACACTATCAGCAACAAGCTACTGTGGAAGCGAATAAACCAGATCTCAGTGTAGAAATTAATCAGAAAGAAGCGCTGAAAGTGGATAGAACACACATTGTGGAAAGCACCCAATTGCGTCAAAAGACAAACCCTCACCTGAAACCCTTAAGGCCAGACGGGACGAGGAAGACCAAGGAACACACTTTGTATCAGGAATCGAAGACAGAAGGAGGCATAGGAAGGAATAGGCAATCAGGTAGAATTGAAAATGAAAGGAGAATACTGGTAGGCAGCCGATGCTTCATTACACCTAACAGGCTTAATTAGGTAAGTGAATAATAAGCGATAACGTAACTCGCGCAGTATATACACATAGTCAGTCAGTTGCAACGTAGAACTTCGTACATATGTACATCAGTTCATGTTGCCATACCACAAAAGAATAGAGACGCAATTGTCAATTCAAATCCAATAGTAGAAGAGGTAGTAAAGGTATTTGAAGTAATCGGAGAGGTTAGGATTAGAAGATATTATTCAAGAAGTATGATTCAGTGAGATAAGTTTAGAAACTAGAGTTGTTGAAGAATCCATAAGATTAAGATTTGAGAGAACACAAAGAACACAAATGCACCTACGCCATTGCAAACAGTTTTGAGCCATGTTATATTCAAGGTCTCCAACCATCGATTATTATCATCTCGCAGACCTCAACCAGATAGGTAGTCGACACCTACCAACATATCCCCTCAGTCCACTTGTTGTCAATGACTTCATGGACTTCTGTCATGTTTTGATCTGGCCGCCCCAAACTTTCTTCCAACCTATTCCTACTCCTACACTACAAAACAAAGCACATACACATTTATTTGTTCGTTAGTTAGTTAATTAACTCTGGGCAGCATCATCGACGAGAAAGGTGGATCCGATGCAGATATGAGGGCGCGGATCAGCAAAGCAACGGCTGCATTTCTACAGTTGAAAAATATCTGCAAATCCAAACAACTTTCAATCAAAACCAAAATCAGCATTTTAAATACAAATGTCAACACAGTTCTAATGTATGGAGCGGAAACTTGAAGAACTATGAAAGGCATCATCCAGAAGATACAAGTGTTTATGAACAGTTGTCTACGCAAAATACTTCGGATTCGTTGGCTAGACACGATCAGCAACAACGTACTGTGGGAGAGAACAAACCAGATTCTAGTGGAGGAGGAAATCAGGAAGAAGCGGTGTAATTGGATAGGAAACACATTGCGGAAAGCACCAAACTGCGTCACGAGACAAGCCCTTATATGGAACCCTCAAAGCAAAAGGAAAAGAGGAAGGCCAAGGAATACATTACACCGAGAAATAGAGAAAGATATGAGAGGAATGAACAAAAACTGGAAAGAACTGGAAAGGGAAGCCCAGGACAGACAGAGTTGGTTGGAGAAAACTGGTGGGCGGGCTATGCTCCATTGGGGGTAACAGGCGTAAGTAAGTAAGTAAGTAGTTAGGTAGTTAGTGAGTTACCACATAAATTAACTTACCATCGAATAATGCCAAAAATGTTTCTGGTTGATCTTTCAATGTATCGACAAATACTGTCGGCAAATATTGATTCAACATAGCTTGTATACGTCGACCAAATTGTTTATTCATTAAACAATGTGATATCAATTGCACACTAGATTGACGTATCGATTGTTTCAATGAATGACATAATAGGTCAAGTAAATAAATTAAACCACCAGTGGCAATGAATTCTTTTAATAATAACGATGATGTAATCAACTGTTCCATGATTTCGATCAATATAAGATGAGCTTAAAAACAAACAAACGAAAATAAAAGATAAAAGATTAAAACAAAGTAAGTGATCAATATGTGTAGGAGCATTATTTTATTTATATAATTTTTATTTTTAAAGATGATGAGATACTTACTGTCTGTTACACGCATGCACATGTAAACATGTCATTTTGATAGGGCTTCAACTATAGTACTGCGGTGTACGCTACTTATGTTCACATAAGTAGTATATGATATCAAAAAGGGAAATCAAACGTCTGACAGCCAGCGATCGAGGAGGAAAGAATGAGAGAACAAAAGGCGATTTGTAGGTAACATAAAGTGAACTGAAGTCTGAACAGTCAGTCTAAATGAAAGAACACTGAAATCTGAAACAAATAAGGATTAGTTTGCAAATGATGATTTCACAGGAAGGTTTTGTACATATGCCTAACAACTCTGTAATATTCGCTTAAATATATATTGTTGATGTCCTCACCTGAGTTTTCGTGCACAACATTTCTCGAACCCGGGACCTTCGGTATTGCGCGCGAATGCCTAGCCATCGAACCACTGGGCCGTCAAACTCCGCGACAAGCCGATCCGTGACCGCCTTCCATGTCATCACCTCGCCATCCAGGCTGTCGTACACAGCCTTAGCTCGGTCGCGGAGCAGCGATCCCAAAGCCACCGTCTTATCCAGCTTCCATCCGGCTAGCTCCGCCGTGGCCTCGAACTCCCTCGCCCACGGTAATTTCATCCTCGCAGCTACACCGCACGTTGTGCACGAAAACTCAGGTGAGGACATCAACATCTATATTGAAGCGAATATTACAGAGTTTCCATGCATATGTACAAAAACCTTCCCGTGAATCATCATTTGCAAATTAATCCTTATTTGTTTCAGATTTCAGTGTTCTCTCATTTAGACTGGTTCAGACTTCAGTTCACTTTATGTTACCTACAAATAGCTCTGTGTTCTCATACTTTCCTTCTCGATCTTTTGCTGTCAGACGTTTGATTTCCATTTGATATCATATACTACTTATGTGAACATAAGTAGCGTACACCACAGTACGAGTTTACCTTAGTGGGGGGAATACGAGAGCGAGCAAGGATTGAGGATCCGATGACACACAATAGGCTACCCAAAATCCCAGTGTCCTAACGCCCCCCGCCCATATTGAATAAAAAAAAGACGACTTGATATGAAGTAGAATATGTATTCTACAAACATTCAGAAAGTACGTGGTTCGAGTCCAGAAGAGAATAAGGATCCCGGACTAGGGATCCGGGTCCTGGTCATAAAACGCTACAGATAATGCGTATTTATACAGTTAGGTCGAATAGGAAACAACATTGAAGTCTGTGACATTGACAGTTAGGTCAACCAATAAGAAACAAGATTTGCAGTGACACTGATAGTCAGGACAACCAATAAGAAGATAAGATACTGATATTTAGGACGATTATAAAATTGACCAGTAGGAATTAACCGATAGGAATTGACCAATAATTGTTTTCGGATATTGGATGAAGGATATTTGTAACATTTTTATGCTCGTCACTAGTTGATATGCTTGAAACTATGACGAGTTCACCTTAGTCGATTATACGAGAACACGACAGCGAACCAGTGTCCAGGTCGTCTACTTTGATAAGTTACCTCAAAGAAACTAACGAAGAAGTCTTGATATAGAGTAGAAAGTGCATGCTACAAACACCCAGCCAGCACACAAATTGCGTTCATTTATAAATCATAGAAACGTCCTTGGGAGAGTCACAAAAATAGCATACCAAAATGACACAGCAACCAATTACAGCCAAGGATTTTCCTGATGGGAAATGTGAACTCAAGGTAAACTGATCAGCCGGTGAAGAAAATCCAAAATTAAGGGCTTTATCAAGTGAGTTCTGGGGATCTAACGACCCCAACATAAACACAACAACCTGAATAGTACAACTCAATCTTGTGGAGAAATTACACAAGTTTACCTAACACAATGATGATGAACCGACCATTTGCAGCACTTAACTGTACATCAATGAGAGGCCATAGTCAACGAGTGGAGTTCAACCAATTTTGGTTTTAAGGTGCTCACCAAACGAAGACAATCAGTGAAGTTGCGCGAAACCCTTAGATCGTTCAAAGTTAGACATGAACGTAATTGGATGTCGGCTCAGCGGTTTAAAGGTTAAAACTGATCGTGTTGTGTTAGATTTTCGCGTGTGCAGTAGTTGTGGATGAACAAGGCGATGCATCAGTCCCATACTAGGACATATAGGACGTCCAGTGCTGTCATGTTGCTAATAGTGGTCTTACAATGATCGATTCCAGTGAAACTCAATCATCTTCATAACTGTATGATGGAAATTAACGTATTTTTTTTAGTATAGAATCTAGGACTTGTCTCCAGCTGAATGTAGCTATATCTCTCAGAAATAAAGTTTTCTTTGAGACAACAGACTACTACAATTTACTTCGAATGTCATCATCAGGTGATCCACTTAGCCATTGAGTCCAGTTAGCTGCTCAGTTGTACTTAAAACGAATATCCCGACCGTAGCTACAACCTTGAAGTGGTGGGTTGGGCTTGCCTATCGTCATGACCCAACCGAGCTATATAAGCTGGAACATATGTTCTTGCTAGTTCTACCATGCCAGGCAGGTCGACTGGAGGACGGTGAGACTAAAAGCAACAACTCAATGTCTGAGGGTGAAGTCGTATTGCTAATTTTAGGCGGGTGTGACAACAGTAAAGTGTCTCAATCGAACATCCAGCATCTGCAGCGATACTGCCTTCTCACAAGAGAGGGAGGGGTTAGAAAACGTCGACTCTAAAGATGTCACACCTCACCTTACCTCACGGATTTCCTTTGCCGTTGGTAGGGTCATTTGAAGAGCAGAGCTAACACTTTAAATATTACCCATAAAAAGGCCGTATGTGATCGACCTAAAGCAGTTGTCCCTTGGGCTCTGCGGTCACGCTGCCAGCTCCCTAAGACCAACACTAATCTACCTTCCTTTTCAGGTTCCTCAAGAAGCACCCTTCCACGGTGTGGGCAGCTGAGAAGTGACAACCGCCCTCTTACCCATAAAACTATCCATACTAAACGAATATAATAAAGATCATTGACTGATAGTCATTGATCTTGTTACTCATTCTTTTCATTCTCAAGTTTAGTCAATAAGTATTAGACTGACTTTCAAGTATAGAGATAAAGAGAGAGAGAGTAACAGTTCTTTCATCATGTGTACGGTACATATTGTTTACTTAATAAGGTCATCTATGCATATCAGTCAGTGTTAGTACATACATAACACACACCCAAACAAACACACATTGTTACTTGTTAATTATATATGAATTCTCTAAGTATTTTGACTTTGCTTATTTATTGATCGTCTACAAAAGTGATTTACACTGAATCAATCAAACATTAAAAAAAAGAAAGTTTCTCATTTTATATCCTGTTTTGGTTGCTGAAAATTTTCTGAATGAATAACTGTTATGGACCACTAGCCTGGAACTATTGAAATGGCGGTTGTTTCGGCCTGGTATAAGACTCATCAGTACCTATTCTCAGGACTCAAACCAATGGCGCTCTTTAGTCTCGCATGCGAACACCTAAACCTCTGGAGCAATGAACCGTCATGTAACTTCCATCCAATTCACTGTCTTGTGCGCCTTCACTCACTGTTTTCCGTGAGCACTTTGATAAACATTTCAAGATATCAGAAGAGCTGGATAGTGGTTCGTAGTGTAGTCCAGTATGCGCGTTTTGTCCCAGTCACTAACTCGATGTACTCCTGCATCTCAGAGCTATCGGTGTTCATTCAGGAATTCAAACACAGTACCATTAGCTTGAAATAGCGTATGAACCTATTGTCCGTCACTGGTTACCACCGTAGGGGACTGTATCTTCACTGGCCTTGTAGATTAGATTTATATGTCAAAGGCTCGCAGAGGAGAATGGATCTCTGAGACCAACCACCTACTTTGATTTCAGCACTAAGACAATATTTCAACCCATTCAATGAATTCAAAAACTTGTGATATTACTTACTTACTTACACCTCTCACCCCCACTGGAGCATAGGCCGCCAACCAGTTTCCTCCAACCAACTCTCTCCTGGGCTTCCCTTTCTAATTCTTTCCAGTTTTTGTTCATTCCTCTCATGTCTTTCTCTATTTCTCGGCGTAATGTGTTCCTTGGCCTTCCTCTTTTCCTTTTGCATTGAGGGTTCCAGGTAAGGTCTTGTCGCGTGACGCAGTGCTTTCCGTAGTGTGTTTCCTATCCACTTCTACCGCTTCTTCCTGATTTCCTCATCCACTGCAATCTGGTTTGTTCTCTCCCACAGTACGTTGTTGCTAATGGTGTCTGGTCAACAAATACGATGTATTTTGCGTGGACAACTGTTCATGAACACTTGTATCTTGTGGATGATGGCTTTTGTAGTTCTCCAAGTTTCTGCTCCATACAGTCGAACTGTTTTGACATTTGTATTGAAAATCGTGATTTTGGTTTTGGTTGAAAGTTGTTTTCGGTTCCAGATATTTTTCAACTGTAGAAATGCAGCCCTTGCTTTGACGATTGGCGCCCTCACATCTGCATCGGATTCACCTTGATTGTCGATGATGCTGCCAAGATATGTGAAGATGTTAACGTCCTCCAAGGCATCTCCATCAAGAGTGATTTGGTTGGTGCATGTTGTGTTGCATCGAAGAATTTCGCTTATCCCTTTATGTATGTTGAGACCTACTGCTGCACTGGTCGTCTTCTCTTGCATTTGTTGTTGCGTGTGCGATAGAAGAGCCAAGTCATCTGCGAAGTCCAGATCATCCAGCTTCGTCCTAGCTTCCCACTGAATACCGTGCTTCCCTTCAGATGTCGACGTCTTCATAATCCAGTCGATGGATGACCAGGAGAAAGAGAAAGGGTGAGAACAAGCAACCTTGCCTGACACCGGTCTTCACATCGAAAGAGTCTGTTAGCTGTCCTTTGTGTACGATTTTGCAGTTGAATCCATCATAATTGTGATATATATATATATATATATATATATATGCATATATATATATATATATATATATAGGCATACATATATAATATACCTCACAACAACAACAACACATACCTCGTGGAAGAACCACGAATAACATCACCAGTGAACTTAATAAGTGAGATGCAGCCAAATCTTCAAGACATAATGAATTGGTAGAAACAGCTTGAATAACCTATTGAAAAAAATAATAAAAAATGGAAAACACAATTCATCATAATATCGATTGCAATAAGATAAATGTGTGCACCTGCACACACACACACTGAATTCAACAGAATCAAATATAATGTACATGTACATGTACGCTCACATGCACAAGTACAGTCGACAGTGAGGAGAGAGTTTTTTCTTCCTTGATGAATGCTCTCTTATGGTGTCTGTCTGTTTCTGTGTGTGTGTGTGTATATAGAGCCAATACGAGGAACTCTTAATCACTGACTTCTTATGACAAAGATGTTGTTTGATAAAAAGTGAGAGGATGAAAAGTGAATGTCCAGTCAAGTTATTCGGCATGTAGAATTCATCTCAGGAAATGGGAAAATCTTTATTCAAAACCGCAAATACATTTGAGCTGCGGAGATCCTCAGGGAACAAATGAGGTATGAATCAAGCCGATAACAACATAGAACTTCGTACGTACGTACGTACATCAGTTTAAGATGCCATACCACAATAGCGCAGAGATGTAATTGTCAATTCAAATCCCATAGTAGTAGGAGTAGCAAAGATATTAGCCGTAATCGGAAAATTCAGGGTTAGAAGATATTATTCAAAAAGTAGAACCTAATGAAATAAACTCAAAAACAAAAAGATAAAGTTATGAGAAACTCTGAAGGTTAGAATTTGAGAGAACACAAAGAATAAATGCAATTGCGCCATTGTGTACGATTCTGAGCCATGTCGTTCAAGGTGTCTAACCATCGATTATTATCATCTCGCAGACCTAAACCAGGTAGCCTACATCTAATAACATGACTCAGTCCACTTGTCAGTGATTTCATGGATCTCTGACATGTTTTGGTTTGGCCGCCCCTAGCTTTCTTCTAACCTACTCCTACACCACGAAACATAGCTCGTCGAGGCAGTCGGTGGTTGGGCATAGGTAACACGTCCCGACCACCTCAACTGATGAAGTTTCAAAACTTTATCTATTGATTTGCCATCCCTAGCTAGTACCCGTTTCTTAATAACAGCAGTGCTTACTCGAATGTCCCACGATATACGAGCAATGCGCTTCGGAGACACCGATAATCGAAGAGCAGCAACCTACGAATATCTTCTACTCCGACTGGCTATGTTTCACAGCCATAAAGTAGGACGGAGAAAACTGCTGCGCAGTTAAGGAATGAAAAAACTGTAACCGATAACATGAAGCATTGATTTCAAACGGCTATCCGCTAAAGTTCGTCAACAGGTGTAGAAATCAGTTGAGATAAAAGTCTGTTTTTCATTCTGATGATAAGCAAAAGGTTTTTATCACTTTTCCATTTACAGATGATTCGAATGGCCTAATATTAAGACAGAGAATAAAAGCAGTCATAGAGAAAACATACTACGCTGTGAAAAACTGCATAGCATTGAAAAGACTAACTCCATGATTCCACATAGACCTAAACGTTGCTCGAATGATGAATACATCACATCCCATTGTATTTATCAATTTACATGTTTGTGTGGACACACATATACATAAGGAGGAGAGTAATCGGACTTTGCAATCAAGGATTATGGAACATCATATACCTAAGTGGCTTCAAAATCAGTTAACGTCAGATGAGCCGATTAGCGTGGGAAATAGAAAACCATGTTCATCGATCGCAAAACACATTGAGAGACAGAGCATGAGATTGACATCAAGACAGCCTACAAAATATTGTGTCGAAATGTTGAAGCACTCGAATTTCGAGGTTTATGGAGGTGTTGGCTATTAGAAAGTTAAAACCCCCGCTTAGGTGTACAGAAACAATTTTTCATAACCTTGAGTTTACTGTGGCAATCTTTAAGCCTACCCTTCATTATTCTTTCTATATGACGTTAATTTTCTCTCTCCTTTATATTTACAATGATCACCTTATGTCTATTTGAACTTTTATTTAATTGATCTTTTATTAATCTTCACATCAAAATGCCTTGACAAGTGTGCATGTGTGTGACCAGATTGTTCAAAATGTGTATAGCGCGCAAACACATCACAACATTTTTTCAGATCAATTACGTCTTCTCATCATTGTTCTATCAAAATTTATAAAAGGGACTAATTGTTTTAAACATCCATTAATTTGCAATACGCGGTTGTGAAGATTGTTAAGTTACACATTTTTGAAACCCGGAATCGATCAATGTTAGACCACCATTAGAAACCTGGAAGCACTGAAAGACGGCCGTTTCTTCCTGGTATGGGACTCCTCAGCAGTGTGCATCCAGTGGGAAGACGTGACCAGTGAAGTTCAACCTGTTCGGGTGTAGGCAGTGTCTACCGAAGACTGTGTATGAGGTTGCGCATCTCCATGAATTTGATCAAGTTAGACATTAACACCGTTAGATACCGGCTCAGTGGTCTAACGGTTAGGGCATTCGCCTACAATACCAAAGGTCCTGGGTTAGAATCCTGCGGGGTGCAGGAGTCGTGGATGCGCATTGCTAAGGAGTCCCATACCAGGACGAAACGGCCATCTTCCAGTGCTTCCAGGTTTCTAATGGTGGTCTAACATTGATCACTGATTCATGGTTTCAAAAATGTGTAACATAGAATAATTGTCATACAATATCATAAATGGATAGTATAGTGAAAAGTCGCCCCACTGGATGTTTAACAGTAAGCCACGTTCCTCACGAGGATAAGACCTATAAATCTTGGTCTGGACTCATAATAGCGTCTTAGGAAAGTTCTGCACAAGGAAATAACAGACACACCCAATATTCCTTGACTTTTTAAAAGATTACCATACAACGCAAAATAGCAATCAATACGTATTGCATAACACACGTACACACACAGACACACACATACACACACTGTCACATTCAATCATGCATCAAATAATTAATAGCTTAACATATTGATACTTACATCTAATGTACGCAGTTGGAGTTCCGGATGATCATGTAAATCCAACAGTGAGAATAATAATGGAAAGTGTCCAATACACTGGATTTCTAAACCTGATGCAACAAAGAGAAAAAAAGAGAGAGAACAACTGATGATTACATCATAAGAGGAAAAAGATTCATGTTACGATATCAATCAATCAGTCACTCAATCAGTGACAACATAAAACTTTGTATGTACGTATGTACGTATGTGCATCGCAGTTCAAGTTGCCATACTACACCACCACATTAGCACACAGAGAGATGCAATTGTCAATTCAAATCCAACAGTGATAGACGTAGTAGAAGTATGAGCAGTAATAGGAGAGATTAGGATTTGAAGATACTATATTCAAGAAGTATAATCCAGTGAAATATATTTGAAAAAGAGAAAGACACAGGTGATGAGCAATTGTAAAGATTAGGATTTGAGAAAACACAATGAATGAATGCAACTGTGTCACTGCAAATCATTTTGAACCATATCATTTAAGGTCTCTAACCATTGGTTACTATCGTCTAGCAGACATCAACACCAACTAGGTAGTCTACATCTACCAGCCTACTGGTCAAGATGATTCTTTCTGAAATCATGGATGAATCATTGTTAGGTGTTGGAGATGTTAGATCGCCAAAACTCGCCTGTTAAATGCCTTATTTTGGATTTCACGTTTGCCAGCATGGACTGATCAGTTGACTGTGAGATTTCATTTCCCACCAGGAAAATCCATGGCTGTGATTGGCTGCTGTGTATTTTAGTGTGCTGTTTTCTTAACTGTCCCAAGGACGTTTCTATGATGGATAAATAAACGAGATTTGTGTGCTTGATTGTATTGTGTGATTGCTGGGTGTTTGTAGAATATACTTTCTACGTCTACAAAGCCTTTTTACTCTATTTGGGGATTCAAGGTAGCCTACCTGGACGCTGGTAAAAGTCTCGTTCTCGTCATCGACTAAGTGACGAGCGTAATAACTGGCGACGGTGGTTTTGGAAACATGGATGCTGCCAAACTTGAATTATTACTTGAGCAGCAGCTGAAACTGATGCACATGTTAACAGACATGAAGATTTCCTCTTCCACACAGCCCAGCTCATCTAATGCCACCATAGCTCCATCGGTCGACGGCATCGCAAATAGCATAGTTGAATTTCATTATGATCCTGATGCAAACGTCACTTTTGACATGTGGTTCCGGCGTTATGAAGATTTATTTAAATTTGGTTTCGCCAACCAAGATGATGCTTGGAAGGTTCGGCTGCTACTTCGAAAGTTGGGTGCAAGTGAGCTGGATAATAAGTACTGCATGAGAAACCTGAAAACACTAAATAACGGCCGTTTCACTCTGGTATGAGACTCGTCAGCAGTGCGCAACCACAACTTCTGCTACTCGCAGGATTTAAACCCAGGAAGTCAGTTGTTGCGCTCGAACGCTTAACCCCTAGACAACTGAGCCGGTATCCAACGGTGTTAATGTATTGAAAATTCTGAATTTGGCGTTGGTTGATAATTGTTTTAAGTTCCAAATGTTGTTTGATTGTAGAAATGCTACTCTAGCTTTGTTCATCCGCACTTTCACATCGGCATCAAATCCACCGTACTGAGATATGTTAAGGTTTTTAAAACCTTCACAGCATCTTTATCCAATGTGATTTGGTTGGTGCACGTTCCGTTCTCTATCGAAGAATCTTGTGTTTCCTTTGGTGTATATTGAGACCTACTACTGTTGTTGTTGTTGTTAAACTGATCGCCTTCTGTAGAATTCTTTTGTTGCGTATCAGACATAGAACAGCCATTTCATCTTATAATTACACATACATTGTTATGCTCGTTACCTGTTGATCCGCTTGAAACTATTACGAGTTCATCTTAGTCGATAAACGAGAACAAGACAATGAACCAGTGACACCATAGGCTACTCTAATCCAAGCGTCCCAAGGCCCCAATAAATATAGGATGAAGTCTTGATAAGACGTAGAAAGTGTATTCTACAAACACCCAGCAAAGTCAATCAACTGGAGAACACAAATCACGTTTAATTATAAATCATAGAAACATCATTGGGAGAGTCACCAAAATAGCATAGCAAAAATAACATATCAACCAATAATGGTCAAGGATTTTCCTGTTAGGAAATATAATCTCAAAGTCATCTGATCAACCCATGAATTAAAATCCGAAAATTAAAACCTTTATCAAGTGAGTTCTGGGGATTTAAAGTTCCCAACACTCCTCCCCCCTTTTAAATACCGTGCGCTCCTGGGGTCAACTTGAATCTCGACTGTTGTTCACCGCTGTCTGAGTGAGAGGATAACTTCTGGAACGGAGATCAGCTTGCTGCTGAGTTTCCTCTCGTAGTGGGGCTGCCGGTAAGCTGAAGGTATCTAGCAGGATGTGAAGGGGAAGATTTACTCCTGTTGATGGGCGAATCTGAAGATAGCCGATTGCGGAGATCTAACGTCCCCAACACATACATATATACACACACACAATACTACTACTCCTACTGTAGTGAAGGAGAACACAGGTGAGGGCAACCGAATTGTATTTAGCGAAAATTATGGAGTTACTCAGTAAAATAGGAAAACCATATCGTAAATCGTTCATTTGCAAAATATCACTCCATCATATCGAACTGGACTGTTCCTGTTGCAAAACATCAATCCATTGTCACTATTCATGCGTTTCATACAAATTCCATTGTGTTCTAACTAACTCTTCCTTTCTTGATCTTCCCCCATCTTCTGCTGCCAGACATTACGTTGACACTCGCGTCATATACTACTTATGAGTAGCTCGCACCACACTACTACTACTACTACTACTGATAATAATAACAATGATAATCACAGACGCGTTCACTTACCAGTATTATGTCGTATCACATTAGTCAAAGCTTCTAATGCTGAACTAACATTAGTCACACATTGATGAGTGATATGATTCGATTCGGCGCCCCAATCAATTTCACCATCATCATCAACATCAACGGCATCTTGATCATCATTATTCACTGATAAATAATCCTCATTGTCATCATTATCTTCATCAGGCGCATTATTGCATCGATGGTGTTCTTTGCCAGCGTGATTATTACTATTATTATTCATGAAGTGTAAATCTGAATTAGCATGATTCATAGAATGGTTGTTGAATGATGATGCAACATGACTGGTGTAAACTTTGTCTGTATTCAGATGATGTAATTCATTGGTAAGAAATTGAAATAGATCAATGATGAAACCTTTTGGATTCTGAAATAAGTTGATTTTTGGAATAAGAAGGGAAAAAAACAAGGCAAATTGTTAGAATATTCATCTAATATCCTTAACAGAGAGAATATGATTGGTCAATTGTATGATTGTCAATGATCATCGGTTACTTTCATTCTGCATCATACCCCAACCATTTAGTCTATACACTTACCATCGTGGCTCAGTTAAACTTGTCAATGACTTCATGGATTGCTGCCATGGTTTTGATCTGGCCGCCCCCTTCGATTCCTTCCTCACCTACTACTAATCCTACACCGGGCATCATCGGTTGTCGAAGCATTCAGTGATTGGGTACACATAAAACTTGACCTAACCACTTCAACTGTTGAAGTTACATTACTTTATCAATTAATTTGTCATCCTTATCTTGTATCCTTTTTCCCTTAAAAAACTGCATTAATTATTCGATTGTCGCAGGATATACGCGAAATGCTTTGACGATACCGTTGATCCCATACTATTAACCTAGGAAAGAATATCCTTGCTTCTTAGTGCGTCATAATTTCACTCTCATAAAATAAGAATTTGTTAAGATATTCATTAAATATCTTAAGAGAATTATTCTCGTAAGTCTAATTCCATTGGTCAATTCCAACTGGTCAATATTATGGTCGTCTTAACTGTCAATGTTACAGACTTCAAATGTTGTTTCCTATTCGACCAAAATGTATAAATACGCATTATCTGCAACGTTTTGTGACCCGGACCTGGACCCAGATCTTCAATCCGGGATCCTTGCTTTCTTCTGGGCTCGGACCTCGTACTTTCTGGATGCTTGTAGAATATAAGTTCTACTTCATATCAAGTCTTCTTGTTTTAGTCAATGGGGGGTTGAGACGCTCGGATTTTGGGTAGCCTATCGTATCGCCGGATCCTCGGTCCTCGCTCACCTTTTCCGACTAAGGTAAACTCGTAATAGTTCAAGCATATCAAATGACGTGTTTACGAGCATGCATACTGATCAACCATGAAAGTGACTTTCCACCTAACAGATTATTTATGATGAACTTATAGTAAGTTAGTTATACAAGTCCAACTATCTATAGATTCAGATTGCAAGGTATGTAAAATAAAATGGCAGAAAATGTATTTGTCGATGACGAAAAAACACAGAAAAAGTAAACAAATCACAAACAACATCACTGACTTCAAAGCAAACTGTTTGTTGAAGTACTCAATTAGATTTTATGAGTTGTCAAGAGTGTTTTTTATATAATGAAACTAGATAATGGCCTCAATTTTTAATCCTTCTTTGATTGTGACAAACTAGGTCTTGTGTGCTGTTACAAGTATGAGAGCGGATGGCACTGCCGGCTGCCGGTCACACACGGCCTTTTTATGGGAAGATTGTATAGTGTTGGCTCCGCTCATCAAATTGCCTTACCGACGGAGATGGAAATCCGTGGGGAAAGGTGGGGTCTGACATTTATAGGGTCATCCTTTTCTAAACTATTCCTTTCTTTTGAGAAGGCAGTATCGTTTTCAGAGAGGAACACCTTACTGCTGTCACACTCCTTTTCAGTCAGTAGAAGGACTTCACTTTCAGACCTTAAGTTGCTACTTTCAGTCTTACCGTTCTCCGACCAACCTGCCTGACATGGTAAGAACTAAAGGAACACATGTCCTAGCCAATATTTCTCGGTTGGGTGATCACGATAGGCAAGTCAGTTCACCATGTCAAGGTACCAGCAACGGTTGGGTTTTTTAAATCTTACTCTGAATTTTAACTGTAAGTCTCTTGAATTTTTAAATAGTAGAATGATAAAGTACTGCATAATAGTTGATATTAGTTTTGTGATGTGGTACGAATGTTAGACACCTAAATCTCACTTGATAAAGATATTAATTTTGGATTTTTTTTCATAAGCTGATCTGTTGACCTTGAGGTTAGATTTCCCACCATGAAAATCCTTGGCTGTAATTGGTTGCTGTGTTATTTTGGTATGCTATTTTTGTGACTCTCCCAAGGACGTTTCTATGATGGTTAAATAAACTCCATTTGTGTGCTTGAGATTATTATATTTTCTAGGTGTTTGTAGAATACACTTTCTGATAACTTTAGCACGGCCTTGGGATGCTCGGATTAGTCTGTCGTGTCACTTAATCGCTTGTCTTAGCTCTCGTTTACCGACTAATGTGAACTCATAATAATTTCAAGCATATCAACTAGTAACGAGCATAACATGATGAGAGACGATTGAAAGACTAAACTCAACACTCCAGACTAACTGGTAATACCACAGCCTCGAACTTGTTAGCATCATAGCTAATCTTAGTTGGTGACGCAATCTCTCTATTAGATGATAATCCTAACTGTGATAACATTAGCTCAACTTAATCACATTCAACTAATAAGGATTGATCAGATCACAACTAGTAGTATTCCACTGATATGTTTATTGACTTTTAACTGTTCATTGTTTTGTAATTAAACAGTGTTTTCTGATTGGCTGCTGGTAGGCTATTTACTGCTCAAGGTCATCAGCCTATTGTACTTTTATCGAAATGAAATTGCATTTATTTCTCCATAATATTTTAAAGACATGATATGTAATTTAATGAAATTAGGTATTGATTTCGTTGTAACGGCAAAAGTCTTTCATACTTTCAGACTTTGAATAGAAAGAACTATGCAAAGCAAAACAAACTTTTAATCGAAGAAAATTAATTTACACTGAAAAAAAAGGAAACTACAATCGTATCCTATGAGTTTGACTGTGTGATTACGGAAGTGCGTATGAAGAACAGGCGTTGATGGAGAAAAAAATTTAGCAACGATACATTTGCATTTTTTTTTTCAAAAAGGTGTTTAAATGAGGCAATGCATTGTCGCTAACACTTCAATTAACTGTTGCCAGGAGGAAATCAGGAAGAAGCGGTGGAAGTGGATAGGACACACACACTGCGATAAGCATCAAACTGAGTCACAAGATAAGCCCTCACTTGGAACCCTCAAGGTCAAAGGAAAAGAGGAAGGCCAAGGAACACATTAAGCCGAGAAATAGAGAAAGATATGAGAGGAATGAATAGCGATTGAACAGAACTGGAAAGGAAAGCCAAGGACAGAGTTGGTTGGAGAAAACTGGTGGGCGGCCTATGCTCGATTGGGGGTAACAGGCGTAAGTAAGTAAGTAAGTTATCCTATAAAGTAACTCAAGAGATGTTTTTTTATTTAAGAAAGTTGGAAAACAGAAATCTCAACCTAGTGTAGCCAATCAGTAATGTAGTGATAAACTCAACATCTAAAATACTAAATTTATTTCGAAAAATCCTTAAAGGTATTAGTTATTTTTAATCGGAGTTAGACATTAACACCGTTGGATGCCGGCCCAGTGGTCGAATGGTAAGGCGTTCGCGCAAAAAACCGAAGGTCCCAGGTACGAATCCTGCGACGTGCAGGAGTCATGGATGCGCACTGTCACTGATGAGTCCCATACCAGGACGAAACGGCCGTCCAGTGCTTCTTCCAGGTTTCTAATGGTGGTCTAACAATGATTGACTGATGAATTTAAAATGTGTATTAGTTATTGTAATTGTGTTGTATTGTAGCTAACAATTAAGGTCATAAGTCAGTATAATCTGTCTCGCAGGCGAACGCTTAACCTTTAGACCACAGAACTGGCATCCAAAACAGTGTTCATGTTTAAATTTGATCAATCCACGGTCTTGCGGTACATCGTCATACATTGTCTTCAGTAGACACTGCTTCACATCCGACTAACATAAATCTCTACAACCCTTGAATGAAAAGTATCATCTGTTCACTAGTGACTGGTTTCGTAAGGAAGTTTCTCCGACTTCTAGTGAGAAGTAGTGGTTAGTGGAGTTCAAGTCGGCTAAATGGTCTAGAGGCTAAGTGTTTGCCCGCGAGACCGCACATCCTAGGTTTTATAATCGGATTCAAGGGACGTGAATGCGCACTGACAAAAATGAGTACTATACTAAGATGAGACGGTCGTTCAGTAGTTTCACGTATCTAATAGAAATCTAACATTGATCGATTCATAATTTCAGTGAAGCTCAACAGTCTACACAAACCTATAATTAAAACCGCAAGATAGTCAGACGGAAAAGTAACCAGTTCAAAATAACAAAATGTATTTCATGGTATCACCTGTTGACAGACAGACAGTTGCAACGTAGAACTTCGTACGTATCTACATAAGTTCATGTTGCCATACCACATTAGCACAGTGACGCAAATGTCAAATCAAATCCCATATTGATAAAGATAGTAGAGGTATTAATGGCAGAGAAGAAGACTAGAGTTTGAAGAAATTATTCAAGAAGTATAATTCAGTGAAACAAGGTTAGAAAGACAAAAGTGGAGGTGTTGACGATTCCAGAAGATTAGGATTTGAGAGAGCTCAAAGAATGGATGTACTTGCGCCATTGCAAACAATTTTGAGCCATATCGTTCAAGGTCTCTAACCATTGGTGACTATCGTCTCGCGGACCTCAACCAGGTAGTCTACATCTACCAACATAACTCAGTCCACATGTCAGTGACTTCATGGATTTCTGCCATGTTTTGGTCTGGCCGCCCCTAACTTTCTTCCAATCTACACCTACACGACAAAACATAGCTCGACGAGGCAGTCGGTGGTTAAGCATTCGTAACACATCTGTTGATCATTATTCGAACTCGATTCTAGGATTCGTTCGTTCAGATGATGTTGTTACGAATGAGATCTCTAATCAGTATTGCTTGGTATATTCATCAATTTGAATTTCAACGATCGTTTCTCTAGTCTTAGTTTATTCTACCTTCCCAAAATACATGCTTATAGCTACTAGCAACAAAATCCTATTCACTGCCTCTACGTGTCAGCGGAAGTCTTAATGAAGTTGAAAGAACGAAACCAGGGAACCTTGATTCCAAACCAATGGTGAACATGATCTACATACTGTATTAGTAGTACACAAATGCTTCTATACTACTAACTCAGTATACAAAACATGTTCTATAAAAGAAAAGATGAAATCATGAGTGGATCATTACTAGGCTGACATTATTAGAAAGCTAGAAACATTGATCGGTCGTTTTGACCAAAGTTTTTGATTCATCAGTGATCATTGAGCAGCCATGACTGTCAAACAAGAGAGTCGGACTTAGTGTAAGATCCATTTTTGAAGGCTTTGTTTGTGAAAATCCCTCTCCATGGTACATTTTGTTAGTCTGTTCGATTCCATTTTGAGATGATAATATTTGTATTTTATTCTAGTTTCTAACACTGAGTTTCTATGTTTCTTTCTAAACTGCATTTATGTTGTTTAAGCTGATACTTATTAGTCATGGCGAGAGCCATATTGATTTGTTCCTCTTTTGATTGTGTCGGTTGCTTGCTTTGACTGGAACTGCACATTTTGATTGTGAATTGAAACACTCTTCCAGAATAGGAAATACTCTGTGTTATAAATCAACCAAATATTATCTGTCCAACGAATCTGATCTATCCAGGTGGGATAGAATATTAGTTATCTGTTGCTGTTGTCGATTTGATTAATTGAACAATTATTGGTGCAATAACTGAGTGATAATATTTGTTTAGGTAATGATGTTGCAATGCTCATCTCTAGATACGCTTAAACTATTACGGGTTCATCTTAGTCGATAAACGAGAAAACAATGAACCAGTGTCCAGGTAGGCTACTCTGATTCCTTGAGCAAAATGCATCAGCAAGAAGTCTTGATATAGTGTAGAAATTGTATTCTACAAACACCCAACCAGCATACAATCCAAGCACTCAAATTGCGTTTATTTATACCCCACAGAGACGTCCTTGGGACAATCTCAAAAATAGCACACTAAAATGACACAATAACCAATCACAGCCAAAGATTTTCCTGGTGGGAGATGTGATCTCAAGGTCAACTGATCAGTCCATGAAATAAATCCAAAATAAACATATATCAAGCGAGTTCTGAGAACCTAACATCCCCAATAGATGTATATTTATATTTATGATAAATATTAGAACCACCGTCATTTACCTAAATTACTTTGTTTCGGATTTCAACTGGGTAGTAGCGCCTGTCTAAACTACCCAAACAGTGTTATTCCTCAGTTCACACCTCAGTTTGGATCCTACAATTCTAAACAAATTCCAATATATCAGTCTAAACATCAGTTTGGATCTTACACCTAGAAACTTCGGTTTTGTGCGCGTGAACGCTTAGCCTCCAGATCATTGAACCAGTACATTTTAAACCAGTGTTCATGTTACTATGATCAATTTTTATTTGAAACCATGAATCGATCAATGTTGGACCACCAATGTTGAAACCTGGAAGCACTGGACAGCTGCATCCACGACTGCTTCATCCCACAGGATTCGAACCCAGGACCTTCAGTATTGTAGGCGAACGCCTAACCATCGGATTAATTTAACAATCTTCAAAACAATAACCGTAAAATTAGAAAAAACACAGACACACACACACACACATGTAAATAAATAAACCGACACAATTCAAACTTACATCTAATGCATAAGCTGGTTGTTTATTATATAAACGTACAAATACTTCACCAATTAGCAATTCTTCTGCATATGATTCATGTGTGAATGACAGGACAGCATTCAGATTACATTCACCCTAAAATAAAAATATATAAAGAGAGTGAGATGGTAAGCAATTTTGACACAATCAGTTACTAGTGCCTCCACATATAATATTCCAGTTTGCTTACATTTAATTTGGTTAAGCCCTTTCGATTAATTTATTTAGCCAAGCCATTTGTATTGCAACAATTTATATGTTGTACCATTCGTTCTTATTATTATTGTCTGGTTTGTATGATGAGCTCACATGACATGTTCCACTTGTCACTTGACCTCATCAATCATTATTCATGTGTGTGCATGCCTATTTCGCTTGTCACGTGTCTTTCTTATATTTGTCTGACTATATATTCCTAGTCACGCTCTATCTCTTTGAGTTGGCTCACTAGCCTTCTCCACATCGCTTCATTCGCCCATTCGTTTGCATTGTAATCCTAGGAGTTGTGATTCAACAGCCTTCTCCAGTACACATCGCTTCGTTCGTTTTATTCACTGCTTTTCCGCTCCGCTTTGTGGCGTGTTCCAAATAAACGTATTAAACACTACGAGTTCGCCTTCTGATTTATAAACCGTCAGACGCTAGTTAGTAACGATTGACTGGACGAGCTAATTACCGAGCTTAAGAACACGCATTAAATCGACACACTACGAGTTAGTCAGTCAGTCAGTTACAACGTAGAACTTTGTACATTACCTACATCAGTTCCGGTCGCCATTATTACATTAGTACACACACACACAGAGATGCAATTGGCGATTCAAATCCCACAGCAGTAGAAGTATTAGCGGGAATGGAGAAGATTAGGGGTTCGAGGAAAATTATTCAAGAAGTAGAATCTACTGAAATAAATTTAGGAAGAGAGAGAGACAAAGAGGTGACGAGGAATTCAGAAGATTAGAATTCGAGTAAAACTGTTACGCTTGCACGTAAACACGTCAACTTGATATACTTGAACTATTACGAGTTTACGAAGTCGGAAAATGAGAGCGAGGATCGAGGATCCGGCCACATGACATGTTTCTCAAATCCGATTATTCCAACCCCCATATTTAGTGAAAATAAGAAGACATGATATGAAGTACAACACGTATTCTACAAGCATCCAGAAAGTATGATGCTCGAATCCAGAAGAGAATCAGGATCCAGGACTAGGGACCCGGGACCGAGCCCTGGTCGTGGTCATAAAATGTTACAGATAATGCGTATTTATACATTTTGGTCGAATAGGAAACAGCATCGAATTCTGTGACATTGACAGTTAAGACGACCTTTTCCTTTTGCCTTGCTTCTTCCAAGTTAGAGCTTCTTTATGTGATGCAGTTAGGTGATGAATTTATTGAATGTGCGTCCTATTCACTTTCAGCCGCTTTTTCTTAATTTCTTCCTTAGGTGGACGATAGTTTGATCTCTGTTACATTAAGTTATTATTGATGGTGTCTGGAATGTTTTGTGTAGACAGAAGTCTATAAAACACCAGTGGATAACACCAATCAATAACACACCATCTTCTAGTGTGCAATTATTTCCACATTGTAATTTGTACTATTGAGAATCCAAAATACAAATGAAATAATACAGTACCTGAATTGGCTTGTTACAGCCAAAAGTCAGGAAAGTTCACTATCCCTCTCTCCAAGCTTTCCTTACATATTATTCTTATATAAAGCTTTGAAGGAAGGATTTGTTTGTGACCGATTTAGTCTCAAGTGCTGTTACGGGTATGAAGGCGGTTGTCACTTCCAGGCTGCCCACACTCTGGAAGAGGGCTCCTTAAAAGACCTGAAAAGGAAGGTAGATTAATGTCGGTCTTAGAGACCTGGGAGCTGGACCGCAGAGTCCAAGGGACAACTGCTTGAGGCCGGTCACGTACGGCCTTTTCATGAAAGAATTTTTGATTATTAGCTTCGCTCTTTTTATAGCACATAGTGAGGCACCCTTACCGACAGAGACGGGAATCCGTGAGGTAGGGTGAGGTGTGACATTTTTAGGGTCGACCTTTTCTGACCCCTTCCTTCCTTGTGAGAAGACAGCATCAATGCAGATGCTGGTTGTCCGAGGGAAATACTTTAATGCCGTCACATCCCTCTAAAGTCAGCAGTACGACTTCGTCCTCAGACCTTGAGTAGCTGCTTTTAGTCTCATCGTTCTGCAATCGACCTGCCTGGCATGGTACATTTTTCAGGAACATATGTTCCAGCCTATATAGCTCAGTTGGGTCATGACGATAGGCAAGCCCGACCACCACGTCAAGGTAGCAGCTACGGTCGGGCTACTGACAAGGAAGTCACATTGACTTATTTTCTTCATCCTGGGTGTTGTTTACAAAATTAGGAAGAAGGAAAGAGAGGGAGCACATAGGATTCAATTAGAGAAATTGGAAAACCCTGATTGCAAATCATGGACTCTACTATCCTGACAAAACAAATGATGCATTTATCAACTGTTGATCACCAACCACCACGTCACTACACTGTCTTGTGTATCAAACCTGTTGATCAAATGCTCAGGGAGTGACTCCCTTAAGAAAACCACCTGATTTACTTCAGTCCCACAAACACTATTTCAGTCCATCCATAAATCCCGTAACTTGTGTGATGTAAATATTACTGAAATCATCAACCAATCATTCTTCGACCACCGTTAGAAACTTGGAAGCACTGAAAGATGGCCGTTTCGTTCTGACATGTGACTCATCAGTAGTAGTGAGCATCCATAACTCCTGTTACTCGCAGGAGGCGAACCTAGGACCTTCGGTCTTGCGCATGATTGCCTAATCACTGGTAGCTACATATATTTGGGTATCCTTTTATATCAAAATCGTGTTCGATGTTACGCTCGTCTCTAGGTATGCTTAAACTATTACGAGTTCACTTTAGTCGAATAGCGAGAACAAAACAATGAACCAATGACACGGTAGACTACTCTGATCCCTTGACCAAATTGTATCGGCAAGAAGTCTTGATATAGTGTATTCTACAAACACCCAGCCAGCACACAATCAATCCAAGCATTCAAATTGCGTTTATTTATACTCTATAGAGACATCCATTGGACAATCACAAAAATAGAACCCTAAAATGACACAATAACCAATCACAACCAATGATTTTCCTGGTGGGAAAAGTGACCTCATGGTCAACTGATCGACCGTGAGGACCTAACAGCCCCACCAACATTTGAATAAACAAACATTTGTACACAAACACAGCAACAAAAAACAACTACTACTTACCGTTTTAATTAAACGTACAACTTGTAAATCAATTAAAGTTTCTAATTCCGCTCTACACCGATTATCCCATATCAAATAAGGTGTCACAGAATTCGTTGTCAATAATTTAGCTAATGAACGTAAATATTTGCCTCTTGGGGTATCCAATGGGAAATCGTGAAGAATTTGTGTATCTTCTGTGGCACCAGCAGTTCCATCAGTTAATCGACCAATTTGACTTGAATCATAAACATTTAATTCAAGAATTTTTCTAGCTAAATGTGGTGTCAACAGTCGACTTAATGATTCCATTACATCCGGACCATCACGCATTAAATAATCATCTTCTGTGACTTCACGACCAGTACAATAACTATTGACCATACGACCAATAGCCCATAGAGATAATAACGCGAGACGATTGGCTACAACCTTATTAGTAGAATTAGCAGTACAAAGAAAAAAAAATTCAAGAAAAATAATTCAACATTTTGAAATTGCAGTTATTTATTCAGCTGACATATATATGAGCACTAATAGGTGAATCTAGAATATAATCAGAGTTTCATCCTAAAAGACACTCGTCAGCTTAATATACTTTAATCCTCCTACCTAGCGTTGATAGTTGAATACAATGTGATATGACGACTATGTTGGTTGTGTGTGGTGTTTGTTGCCAAGTATGAGGGCAGCGGATATCACTTACCGGCTGCCCACACCGGAGAAGAGTATTTCTTGAGAAACTTCAAAGCAATATTGGATTAGTGTTGGTGATAGGGAGTGTCAAAGTTTTCTAATCCCTTCCTGACTTCCGTTGTGAGAAAGCAGCATCGTTGCACATGCTATTTGTCCGAGAGAAACACACCTTACTGTTGTCTCAGCAGCAGTTCACTCTGTCCAACTATACGGTTGCGAAACATGGCCGGTAGGAGTAAAGGACATTCGTAGGTTACTAGTATTCGATCATCGGTGTCTCCGAAGCATTGCTCGTGTATCCTGGGACGACCGAGTAGGCAATGCTATCGTTAGGAAACGAGTTGTAGGTAAAGATGGCAAATCAATAGATGAAGTAATGAAACTTCATCAGTTGAGGTGGTTAGGATATATGTTATGAATGCCTAACCACCGACTGCCTCGACGAGAAATCCATGAAATCGCTGACGCGTGAACTGAGTGATGTTGGTAGATGTAGACTAACTGGTTGGGGTCCGCGAGACGAAAGACAGCAACGGTTAGAGACCTTGAATAATGACATGGCTCAGAATCGTTTGTAATGGTACAGGTGCATCCACTCTTTACGTTCTCTCTAATTCTAACCTTCTGAATTCCTCATAATCTCTACCTTTCTCCTTCTAAATTTATCTCACTGAATTATACTTTTCGAGTCATATCTTCGCTCCCTAATCTTCTCCATTACTGCTAATACTTCTATTATTGCTATCACTCTTGGATTTGAACTGACAGTTACGTCTCTGTGCTGATGTGGTATGGCAACCTGAACTGATCTACTTATGTACGAAGTTCTGCGTTGTATCCATCTGTCCGTCTGCTCCCCTCTACAGTCAGCAGTATGATTCCTCCCCCCCAGACATTGAGTTACTGATTGTAGTCTTACCGTTTTCCAATCCACCTGTGTGGCATGGTGGGTAATCACGATAGGCAAGCCTGACCACTACCACATCAAGAGGTACCATCTACAGTCAGACAATAACAACACGAACCTATCTACCAGTTTTTACTCTGAATATGTCGTCACAAACGTAAAATTTTCACCACAATTCAAATAGACATCAATAGAGCTATGAGTACTCCACTACCTTCAAGGATTCGTTCGATCCATAGTTTCGCTAGTTCAACTTTCAAATCAACAGGAACTACACTACTGATCGTAAAATGTTCCCATATATATATTAGGAAAAACTGACATGCGTCCGCATCATCATCATCATCATCATCGCCATCATGATCAGAAATCACAAACCACAAAATTATTCAACGATATTTCTATCCAATCAAATGATTACACTTACTTGTGAATTAGTCTCTTCACTAATCTCGACACCAGCTTCTTCCAGTGTAAAATCATAAGCGAATACATGTTGTAACAGTAGAAATAAACCGCCATATTCATAACATGTAACACATAACCAATAATCAATACAGAATAATGCAACACATGTTGCAGTTAAACAACATAATTGCGGTAAATTCTATCAGAACAAAACAAACAAACAAAAAAGAAATAGATGGATAATATTGATAATTGAATTTTATATGTTGTTTAGCTGTATTGATCTAAAAAAACTTAATTTACCCTCAATTGGGTGCATTGATTATCACAGGAGAACCAAGGGGACTGCCCACGTGTTAACACTATAACGTGAACAGTTCGGATCAATGTCGTAGAGCAACCGCCACTACAACACAGGTACCTGACACACCGGTCGACCATTCACACCACTTATATACACTTGTACATATATACGGATTATTTCTGACCCATGATCGCGTCAGTCGTTATGAACCGCATGAATAGGTCGATTCGACCTATTTCGCTTCCCCACATGACTGTCCTGATAGACTGACCCCCTGAGATATTTAAGGATGGAGGTCCAGGTTTAGCAGCTAGGTTGACTGAGATCTTAGGTAGAATCTGGGAACTGGACGTAATCCCATCCGAATGGTCTCAATCACTGATTGTCCCAATCTATAAGAAAGGACAGAAGTCTTCTTGTGACAATCACAGGGGAATCAGTCTAACTAATATAGTATCTCAAATATTGGCCTCAATAATACTTCGACGCTTAACGAAAGCTCGTGAAGAACACAATAGAGAGAAACAGGATGGTTTTCGACCTGGACGTGGTCGTATAGACCACATCTTCACACTACGACAGGTCCTGGAACACAGACACACATTTAGGCGTCCTACAATAGTTGTCTTCCATGACCTTAAGGCGGCATTTGACTCTGTTGATCGTAAGGTTCTGTGGCAGTGTCTGTCATTGAAATGGAGTCTATTCAGTGCTGATGGCCCGGTCACTGACTAAATCTCAGCACGGATACAGAAGGCTCGATTGGCTTTCGCCAACCTGCACCACTTATGGCGAAGGCGAGATATCCGTTTGCTGACTAAAGGACGAGTGTACCGCGAAGTAGTTCGCCCCGTCCTCCTTTATGGCTGTGAAACATGGCCAGTGAGAGTAGAATATATTCGTAGGTAACTGGTTTTCGATCATAGGTGTCTTCGAAGCATTGCTAGTATACCGTGGGACAACCGAGTAAGCAATGCTGCCTCGACGAGCTTTGTTTTGTAGTGTAGCAGTAGGTTGGAAGAAAGTTAGGGGCGGCCAAACCAAAATATGGCACAAATCCATGAAGTCATCGACGAGTGGACTTAGCCATGTCGGTAGTTGTCGACTACCTGGTTGGGGTCCGCGAGATGATAATAATCGATGGTTAGAGACCTTGAATGACATGGCTCAAAATCGTTCGCAATGGCGCCGGTGCATTTATTCTTTGTGTTCTCTCAAATCCTAATCTTCTGGATTCTTCAACACCTCTAGTTTTGACTTTCTAAACTTTTCTCACTGAACCATATTTCTTGAATATCTTCTAATCCTAACCTCTCTGATTACTTCTAATACCTTTACTATCTCTTCTACTATTGGATTTGAATTGACAATTACATCTCTGTGCTGATGTGGTATGGCAACATGAACTGATGTACTAACGTACGAAGTCCTACGTTGCATCTCACTGATTATTATTAGCAATGGTGATAGTAATACAGCGCATCCGAATGACAATGGACGTCCCGGAATGTTGGAAGATAACCAACCACCCGTATTAATGAATTCGGTCACCCCGCTAACTAAATTTTTATATGGTAAATGATTAGCTAAATTTGGCCAAACCATCCTCACAATGTTTAATCACAATGAATCTTTTATAGGCCTATATAAATTACAGGAAACTTTCAACTCTATAGCTGTATTGATGATGTAATAAATTGTGTCAAGTTATAAGTTGACTTTCTTTTTTAAAAATTAATAAATACAAAGTCAAAGTGTCCTTTAGAAGATTTGTCATCTGCACTGTTGTAATCCTGAAGAAGGTTCAGGTAAGAAAAATAGTAACTTTAACAAGCAATTTAAAGTCAGTCAGTCAGTCAGTAACAACGTAGAACGTCGTACCCATGTACACACGTCCAAGTCTCCATACCACATTAGCACACACATAAAGATACAATTGTCGATTCAAATCCCATAGTGGTACAGATAGTAGAAGTATTCTATGGATAATGGAGATTAGAATTCGAAGAAATATATTTGAAAAGAGAAAGATAATGGAGAGAAGGAAATTCAGCTTTGAATTCAGATTTGAATGAACAGAAAGAATGAATACACTTGCACTATCGCAAACGCCTTTGAACCGCGTAATTCAAGATCTACAACCATCGGTTCCGATTGTCTTATGGGCCAAAACCAGATAGTTTACATCTACTAACATGACTCAGTCCAGTTGTCAGTGGATTTGATGGGTTTTTTTTTAACCATGTTTTGGTTTGGCTTCACCTAGCTTCCTTCTAGCCTACGCCTCTACAGTACCACAAGACATCGGTCGTTGGTTAGGCATGCGTACTTTCAAGATGTATGTAATTTAAATTGTATAGTTATAAGGTGACTAGATTATCGTGTTCATAACATATTCCTGTTATAGTAAGAATCTTATTTTACCTATCTATTATTATTCAACGATTTAGTATTTTTACAGTCTACTCTCTCAACAATTACAGTCACTTATTAGATATGATTTGGTTTGCGATTGTATATAGACAATACAACGCAGAACTTCGTACATAAGAACATCAGTTCAGGTTGCCATAACACATCAGCACACAGACGCAACTGTCACTTCAAATCCAACAGTGATAGCAATAACAGAAGTATTAACAGTAATCGAGAAGATTAGTGAGTGAAGATATGATTCGAAAAGTATAATTCAGTAAGATAAATTTAGAAGGAGAAAGGTAGAGATTATGAAGAATGCAGAAGGTTAGAATTTCATAGAACACAAAGAGTGGATCCACTGACGCCATTGCAAACGATTCTGAGCCATGTCATTATTCAAGGTCTCTAACCATTGGTGACTTTCGTCTCGCGGACCCCAACCAGATAGCATACATTTAACAACATGAGTCAGTCCACTTGTTGTCAATGACTTCATGGATTTATGCCATGTTTTGGTTTGGCCGCCCCTAACTATCTTCAAACCTACTCCTACACCACAAAACATATCTCATCGAGGCAGTCGGTGGTTAGGCATTCGTAACACATGTCCCAACCACCTCAACTAATGAAGTTTCACTATATCATCTATTGATTTGCCATCTCTACCTACAACTCGTTTCCTAACGACAGCATTGCTTATACGGTTGTCCCAGGATATACGAGCAATGCTTTGAAGACATCTGTAATCAAATACTAATACCAACGGAAGTCCTCTACTCTTAACGGCCAAGTCTCGCATCCGTACAGTAGGACGGAGCGAACTGCTGCACAGTACACTCGTCCATTGTATATGAAAAAAATGATGCATGAAGTACAGGAAAGAATCGTAGACAAGCGGATATCGGTGTTCGTTCATGCAAATTGGATTTGGGGGAATTAGTGTTTGGGCAGAGTCGTCTCTCCTTGAGGCATAGAGTAGCACGACCTTGTTGGATATTGCACAATGACAGATCGTCCTGGATGTTAGATTAAAATCATGGATTAAGCGTTGGCGAAGGTTCTGCGCCCATAATTCTCAAACTCGTTTCGAAGTATGCTTAAACTAATACGGGTTCACTTTAGTCGAATAACGAGAACAAAATAATTGAACCAGTATTCAGGTAGGCTACTGTGAACCCCCTGACCTAATTGCACCAGCAAGAAGTCTTGATGAGCGTAGAAATTATATTCTACAAAACACCCAGCAATCGCACAACACAATCAAGCAAACAACTCTCGTTTATTTATACATCATAGAAACGTGCTAGTGGGACAGTTACGAAAATAGCACACTAAAATGACACAACAGCCAATCACAAGCAAGGATTTTCCTGGTGGGAAATGAAATCTCAAGGTCATCTGAACAGCCCATGCCTGCAAAGGCATTTATCAAGCGAGTTTTGGGGATGTAACAACCCCAACAAGTAGATGCACACTTTCACTGATGAATAGTAGTCCAACACACCAGGATGAAACCACAAACTTCCAATGCTTTCAGATTTCTAGTAATAATCTGAACAAAGATTGACTCATGATGTTTTTTTTAAAAACAGCAAAAAAAATGAGGGGTGGAGAAAAAAACTCAAAAATCAACTTACTTTATAATATAACAATCGTAATGTATCTTTTAATAATTGCGGTGTCTCTTGTATACATTGACGTGATGAAGGAAATAATGATGCCGCTGCTAACACCGATACAATATGTCCGCATACTTTCACAACAATATGTTCAGGCAAACTAGTTGTACGTGATAAATGTATAGCGCATTGTGTAAATGCTTTATGTAATATAGGGATACCATTTTCACGACGTAATTCTTCAGCATTCAGCACACTAGTTATAACAGTTTCATAGATTAGTTCTGTAGCAGCAACTAGGAGTACAGTATTTTCAATCGAGTCATTATTATTGGCTGACGATGACGATGAGGATGGCTGTGAATTGTTTGTGTTGGTAGTATTAGTAGTATTAGTAGTACTACTAGTAGTGTTAGTAGTATTAGTAGTAGTATTGTCAGTTGTAGTCTGTGTATCAAAAGTATATAATTTATCATCAGATATTTCAGTTTGTATTGTTGCTATAAGCATTGGATAGCCAGCGTATTTCTCCGAAATCAGTACTGTATTACATGGTATGAAGATAAAAAAAAAAAAACAACGAGAAACCAATTATAACAAGTGATTCATCAACAGAATGAGAGTGATTAAGAAAGATAAAAGTGAATCTATGGCAGAGTCATTGATGAATTCTGTTACACATTGATGTAAACATGTCAATTTGATAGGCTTGAACTCTGTATTACGAGTTTACCTTAGTCAGTAAAGGAAAGGATCGAGGATTTGGTGACACGATAGGCTACTCTAATCGGATTTTCCCAACTCCCTCATTGAGTAAAAGAAGAAGACTTGATATGAAGTAGAACATGTATTCTACAAACATCCACAAAGTACGAGGTCCGAGTCCAGAAGAGAATCAGGATCCCACAATAAGGATCCGGTTCCGAGTCCGGGTGATGTAACGTTACAGATAATGCATATTTATACAGGTAGGTCGATTACGAAACAACATTGAAGTCTGTGACATGGACAGTTAGTAAGACAGATAGGAAATAAAATTTGAAGTGACACTGATAGCTAGGACGACCATACTATTGACCAGTAGGGATTGACCAATAGAAATAGACTTACAAAAATAATTAATTCTCTTAGGATATTTAATGAATATCCTAACAAATTCTTATTTCATGACAGTGAAATATGACGCACTAAGAAGCCAAGATATTTTTTCCTAGGTTACTAGTATGGGATCAACGATATCGTGAAAGCAATGCGCGTATATCCTGCGACAATCGAGTGAAAAATGCAGTTTTTAGGGTAAAAGGATCCAAGGTAACGATAGCGAGTCAACTGATGACGTACTGAAACTTTAACATTTGAGGTGAGTAGGGCAAGTTTTATGTGTGCCCAATCACTATGTGATTCGATGATCGATGATGCCCGGTGTAAGAGTAGGTGAGGAAGGAAGCGAAGGGGCGGCCGAATTCATGAAGTAACTGCGAAAGTGAACTGAGCCACGATGGTTACAGACTTTGAATGACATGACTCAAAATCGTTTGCGATGGCGCAGGTGCATCCATTCTCTAGCTTCCCTAGAATGCTAATCCTCTGAATTCCTCATTAGCTCGATCTTTTTCTTCCTGAATTTATTTCACTGAATTATACTTCTTGAATAATATCTTCGAACCCTAATGTTCTCCATTACTGCTAATACTTCTACTACTTCTAACACTATGGGATTTGAATTGGCAATCCCATCTGTCAGTGCTCATGAAATATGGCAACTGTTAGGATATCCATCCAATATCCTAAGAGAATTATTGGTCAACTACTATTGGTTAACTCCTACTGGTCGACTGGAGTGTATACAATTATACCTACATTAATTGTTGCACCGGTTGTCAAAAGGGCCATCAACTTCGTAACTTCCATTTTGCGGCATTATAACTCTTCTAGACGAAGACCTTACAACTGCTGGGGGGGGGAGAGTTTAAATGGTTTAAATTATTTACTATGGTTAGCACTTTCTCACCAAGTTGGTTTTCTATAGGATAGGTTCGATAACATGATGCTCAAGCCTCCCCCTTCTTCATCTGGGGGCTTGGAACAGGTAGTAACCCAAGAATAGCTTCATCTAAGTCAGAATTTATGGAAAAGCACTGGAGGTGCAAAAGACAGACATTAGGGAAATCCCTCAAATGCATCATAAGCTAAACCTTAACTTGGAATCCTCGCAACTAGCCAGGAAGGCTCAGGATAGAGTAGGTTGGAGAATGTGGGGCCGGTGGGTTTACAGTTCATTACGTTCAGCCGGCGTAAAAGTGATAAGGAATTCAGAAGATTAGGATTTGAGAGAATCCATAAAATGGATGCATCTGCGCGATTGCAAACCATTTTCATCCATATCATTCAAGGTAACTTAAGCATCGATTACTTTCGTCTCGTGGAACTCAACCAGGTAGATCTATATCTACCAGTATGACTCAGTCCACTAGTCAGCAACTTCATGGATTTCTGCCATGTTTTCGTTTGACCATTGCTAGCTTTCTCCCAACCTACTCCTACAAAACAAAACATCGCTCGTCGAAGCATTCTGTGTTTATGCATACGTATCAAGGTACTGGATGTGTCATAGTATACATGTATGAAACACAAAAATCCGAAATAAAAGTAAATAGAGAAACTTACACGAACGATAACGTTTGTACACAATACTTTGAGCTCGAAGCATCAATTGAATATGGAGACGATTTGGACCACGTGATAATTTACTACGATTGCATAGAAATTGATAAGCTTTTGTGACGGATTGAAATTTATCCTGTGACAAGGGAAAAAAATACGATTCACCTAATTCGGGCATAATAAATATCATTGCGGGGTTGTTGTGAAGATTGTTAAGCTTCACTTATGACCATGAATCGATCAATGTTAGACCACCATTATAAACCTGGAAGCACTGGACGGCCGTTTCGTCCTGGTATGGGACTCTTCAGCAGTGCGCATCCACGACTCCTGCTGATGAGTCCCATACCAGGACGAAACGGCCGTCCAGTGCTTCCAGGTTTCTAATGGTGGTCTAATATTGATCGATTCATGGTTACAAATAAAACATAATAAATTTGATTGAAACATACAACCCTTTCCAAATTCTTATCAAGAGTAGAAAATTGTTTACTGGTAATTAAAAGTGTAGTGAAAAGCGGACCGACAACCTTGAGCGTGACCTATCAGCTGATCAGACAAAAAATAGGCTGCCTCTACTTATGATACAAAAAGTCCACAACGCCATATAAACAACACCAGAAAAAAATAACAAATGAAACAGGTAAACTTTGTTCAGAAAAATTATCATCCTTTGCTGAATAAGTTTGAATAAGTTCAGCTGAACGCACGAAAAGTCAAACTAGTGTTAGGGCTTATCACAAACTAAGACCAGCTATGATGCAACAAAAGCTGAAAGTTAGTTAGGTATTTTGAAGTTCAGTGTGGAGTTTTAATGACATCAACTATATGATACAATGCTCTGTCGATCGATTGTCTCCAAATTCAAGAGACTTATTGTTAAGATATTCACCAAATATCCTACGAATATTATTTTTAGAAGTACAATCCTATCGGTCGAAATTATGGTCGTTTTAACTGTCAAAGTCAAATACTTCAATGTTGTCTCTGATTTGTCTTCCGGACTGTCAATGTTATCTCAAATGTTCTTTCCTATTGGCCGTCCTAAACTGTCAATGTCACAGACTTTGATGCTCTTTCCTATTCAACCTTAATGTATAAATACGCGCTATCTGTATGCCTTCGTGATTCGGACTCCGATTCCGTTTCTCCTGCCTACCTCTCTTTTGTACTCGACCCAATAAACAACTCCATCCCACGGTGTTGCGTTCTGATATCTGGGAGAATTGGAAATAGCATTTTGGGTCGTTTTGGGATATTTGAATTGGACGCCGCTAGGATTGAATAGCTATACGTAGCAGCGTTACAACACTTATAGTTGAGAATTAGAGGAGGCGAATACATCCAAACTTCATTAAACACTCTCAACTAAACATTTGAATCATATCGAGTACTTTTTAGGATATTCATCAAATATTCTAAGAGAATTATCTGTAAGTCTAATTCTATTGGTCGATTCCTGTTGGTTAATTCCTACTGGTGAATAGTATTGCCGTCCTAACTATCAATCTCATTGACTTCAATGTTGTTCCCTATTCGACCTAATTGTATAAATATGCATTATCTGTAACGTTTTATGACCTAGACACGGATCCTTAGTCCGGAATCCTGATTCTCTTCTGGATTCGGACCTCGTACTTTCTGGATTCCTGTAGAATTCGGGTTCTCCTTTATATCAAATCTTCTTCTTTTACTCAATGAGGGAGTTGGGACAATCAGATTAGAGTAGCATGTCGTGAGTCACCGGGTCCTCAATGCTCGCTCTCGTTTTCCGACTAAGGTAAACTTGTATTGTAGTTGAAGCATATCAGATGACGTGTTGATGTACATTCGTAACAGTACTATATCTGTTGTCGTTTATAATTTAGCGTAAACACAATGTCGCATAACATGCACCAACCAAATCACATTTGATGACGACGCCTTGGATAATGTGGAAATCATTACATGTCTCGGAAGCATCACTGATGAGCACGGTGAGCCTTATGCCGATGTAAATACACAGATTAAAAAAGCAAGACCAACATCTCATCTCCACGATTGAACAACATCTGCAACTCAAAACAAATATCAATCAAAACCAAAGTCAGAGGTTTCAATACAAATATCAAGACAGTATGGGATAGAAAGTTGGAGAACTATGATAGCCATCATCCAGAAGATACAAGTATTTATGAACAGTTGTCTACGTAAAATACATCGGATTCGCTGGCAAAACACGATCAGCAACAACCTACTATGGGATAGAACAAATCAGATTCTAACCGAAGAGGAAGAAATCAGGAAGAAGCGGGGGAAGTGGATAGGACACACATTGAGGAAAGCAGCCACCTGCATCACAAAACAAGCCGTCACTCAGAGCCATCAGGGATAAAAGAAAATAGAAAGACCAAAGAATATAATGAGCTGGGAATTAGACACAGACACACGAAAGGACGGATAACAACACAGAGAAACAACTGGAAAGCAGAGTGTAGAACAATATAGATTGTTTAGAGGAACCTAGTTAGCGACCACCAATCCACCACTAACGGTTTACATTAAATAAATTGTTAATTAATCACGTGAAAATCAAACAAACTTACTCTACCATCAGGATTTTTATCCGGATGATATTTCATTGACATTTGATAATAAGCTCGACGGATGAAAGACTCTTCATTTGACCTACATTATTTGTATGTGCGTGTATGTGGGTGTGTGCGTAAAATAGAACAAAATCATGTGACCAGAGTGAATATTTCAAAATAATAAGAGACTAATTATCAATTTAAGGATTGAATTTATGAAGTAATCAATATTAGATCAGTTTTAGAAACTTGGAACTGCTGGACGACTGACTTAGTGTGTAAACAACTCTCAAGAACTACGCATCTATAACCTGCAATTCACTGGAGTTCAGTTAGGACCTTCAATCTCTCGTGAGAACGTTGAACATTTGGATCATTAAGTCCGCATCCAACAGTGTGAATTTGTGTAACTTCAATCAATCCGGGAAATTGTAAAACCATCATCCAATGTCTTCGATATGTATGTAACTGCCTTGCAGCTACTTACTTACTTACTTACTTACGCCTGTTACCCCCAATAGAGCATAGGCCGACCACTAGTTTTCTGCAACCGACTCTGTATCCTGGGCTTTCCTTTCTAGTTCTCTCCACTGTTTGTTCATTCCTCTCATATCCTTCTCTATTTCTCGGACTAATGTGTGTGTTCCTTGGCCTTCCTCTTTTCCTTTTGCCTTGAGGGTTCCATGTGAGGGCTTGTCTTGTGACGCGGTTGGGTGCTTTCGTAGTATGTGTCTTATACCACTTCCACCACTTCTTCCTGATTTCCTCCTCCACAGGAATCTGGTTTGCTCTCTCCTACAGTAGGTTGTTGCTGATGGTGTCTGGCCAATGAATCTGAAGTATTTTGCGTAGACAACTGTTAATAAACACTTGTATCTTCTGAGTGATGACTTTGGTAGTTCTCCATGTTTCCGCTCCATACAGTAAAACTGTCTTGACATTTATATTGAAAATGCTGATTTTGGCTTTGGTTTAGAGAGCGAATTACTAATGAGTATACAATAATTCTCAGTATGAATACTGTCGCCGAGTGTTTCCACGATTCTATCACAATGTGACCTAACACTTTGACAGGCTCATGATTTCAGCAAAAAAAATCAATACATACAAGCAGTACTAACAACAAAAATAGTAAAATACAACCTAAAAAATTCACTAAAATGTTTTCTTAATTATGAGTAGAAAGCAGTTAGTGATATTTCATCTGTAATCAATGTGTTTTGTCTTGATTTAAGGGCTCTTCAGCAGTGTAGGCGTGTACAAGGTCACATACATAGAATCGAACCACATAGTATCAATCAATTAATTTAATAACTTGCAGTATTCAATTACGTTTAACTTCATTAGGCTTATTAGTCCTGGTGTTAAAGTCTTACATTACATATATGAAACATCATCCGTAAAAGTAGAGGATACTTGTCGGTTCGAAGTATTCGATCATCATCAGTAAGTCAGTCAATCAACAACAACACAGAACTTCGTACGTACGTACGTACATCAGATCAAGTTGATATAACCACATTAGCACAAAGACGCAATATCAATTCAAATCCCATGGTAGTAGAGGTAGCAGAAGTATTAGAAATAATCAGAGATATTAGGGTTTGAAGATATGATTCGAGAAGTAGAATCCAGTGAAATAAACTTAAAAATAAAAAGATAACCTGATGAGGACTTCAGAAGATTAGGATTTGAGAGAACACACAGAATGAATGCACCCTGAATCAATGTAAACTGATTTGAGCCATGTCATTCAGAGTCTGTAACCATCGATTACTATCTATCATCTAGCGGACCCCAACCAGATAGTCGACACTTACCAACATGATCCAGTTCACTTGTCAGTTACTTCATGAATTTCTGCAATGGTTTGGTTTGGCCGCTCCTAGCTTTCATCCAACCTATTCCTACACTACAAAACATAGCTCGTTGAGGCAGTCAATGGTTAGGCATTCGTAGCACATGTCCGAACCAGCTCAACTGATGAAATTTCAATATGTAATCTTTTGATCTGCACGTAAACATGTCAATTTGACATTCTTGAATCATCACGAGTTTAACTTAGTCGGAAAACAAGAGCGAGGATCGACGATCCGGCAACACGCCAGGCTACTCCTGTTACTCACAGGAGTCATGAATGCACACTGCCACTGACAGGTCCCATAACAGAACAAAACAGCTGTGATTCACAGCTTCCAGTTATCTAGTGATGATGACTGATTTATGATTTCAATGTGTAACTCTAAATGTAAAGAAAAAAAACAGAAAACTTACGAATTTAACAGTGTAGGATCTAATCCAAGTTCTTTCAATGCTTCTTCATAAGACATATTCACTGGTTTCTTTTGTAATTCATCACGCCATGCTTTTAGGATATCACGTAATAATGCTATCTATTAAGTGAAAGAAAATATTTTTGTTTTTTAATATGAACAAAAAACATTCATTAACGAATAAACACGATGAAGGAGTCAATGTTCAATGTGAATTGTTTAAGAAGACGGAAAATTATTGTACTGATAACAACAACGACATATCCAGGCAGTTGTATGAATTGTTTGCTTATGACATACTTCTATTCGGTGAAGACGCTGACAAAATGCAGAGGATTCCGACTAAGGAAGGTGAAAATGCAAGCATGTTCGTGATGCGGTTCTCACCCTCGAAATGCAAAATGTTGCTTCAAGATTGGATTGCATCGGTACCTGACAGGAAGTGAAGTAGTCAAACGTGTAGACCGCTTCACTTATTTCGGGAGTTTCATCAGTGCCGATGGCCTGGTGACTGACGAAATCTCAGCACGGATACAGAAGGTTTGATTGGCTTTTGCCAACTTGCATCACCTATGGCGCAGGCGAGAAATCCGTTTGCTGACTAAAGGACAAGTGTACTGCGCAGTGGTTCTATCCGTCTTACTTTATGGCTGTGAAACATAGCCAGTCAAAGTAGAAGATATTCGTAGGTTACTGGTTTTCGATCATTGGTGTCTCCGAACCATTGCTCGTATATCGTGGGACAAACGAGTAAGATATGCTGTTGTTCGAAAATGAGTATTAGGTAAGCATGGCAGGTCAATAGATGAAGTGGTGAAACTTCATCAGTTGAGGTGGTTGGGACTGGTGTTACGAATGCCTAACTACCGACTGCCTCGACGAGCTATGTTTTGTGGTTTGGGAGTAGGTTGGAAGAAAGCTAGGAGCGGCCAGACCGAAGTCGGTCACAAATCCATGAAGTCACTGACAACTGAACTGAGTCATGTTAGTAGGCATAGATTAGCTATATGATTGGGGTCCGCGAGACAAGTTATGACGAAAACATTACATAGCTTCATTCTATCAACATTTGAACAACACCTATTATATAGTGGATAGAAATAAATCCTTACGAGTAGTATCATCCATTGCATACTTACCATCCTCAATTTCTTATAGAGTTCGAACTCGCCGCCTAAAGATAACCCCAAACCATATAGGGTTCAAGCTTAAAAACCCAATTCTTTGTATTCATACATACTTCCATATTTCGTCAATTGAATGCTTTTAAATTACGTAATTTAGATCATTTTCCCCAGTCTTGAACTTACCTCCAATTACGAAGGCACAACCGGCACTTATTATTGTTCAGTTATGTAATCTATTTGACTGAGATTACTGTTTCATAATTCAGCTGAATATTTTCATATAAATTAGTCGTCTATACTAGGGCGAAGCCACATAATGGACAAGCTAATTGAATACAATCAACCAAAACCGTCAACAGAACGGAAATCAAGTACAGGAACCAATAAACGGATCATCCTACCATACATAAAACACATATCGGAGCATACAGCACGACTACTGAAACCATTTGGAATTGGTGTGGCACACAAACCAACAGAATCACTTCAATCAATCCTGTATGTAGACCAAAGGACAAAATGACAAAGGAAGAAAAACCAAATATCATCTACAAAATAAATGACTGCTCAGATTGTGAAAAACACTACATAGTAGAAAGTGGACGTCTGCTTCAGCTTCGTTTACGCGAACACCAATTAGCAGTCAAACGCCACGACAACGCTTCGCTTATATCAATACATACCGACGGTTATGAACATACATTCGATTGGGACAATGTGGAAATACTGGATAGGGGGAGGAGAAAGAACACTAGAGAATTTTTAGGAGCTTGGCTCGCACTCAGGTCAATCAGCATTCAACAAACAAATCGACATTGACCCAATTTATCAACCAATCAGGAAAATCATAGGTGACACAGGATCAAGAAACAGATCAATAGGGGGATACAATCAAAACAAAGGTCCAAACAACCAAGGTTTAAGGTCAACAGCAACCAATCAAGATCGAGGTTAGCAGAACAAGCTACAGGTCAAACGTGGAGAAATTCGAATACTTCACTTTTATCTGAAGTTTGTGCTGATGATGTTGTTCAGCAGTACAATGAAAGCTGCACAACCAAAACAACCAGCTCAGAGAACGAAACACCACCACAACAATGACTGTCATTTATACGGGTGTGGAGATTGGATCTATCTATGATTTCAATAGAAACTCATCAATGTTAGACTATCACTAGAAACTCGGTAGCCCTGGACCGTCCATTTTTTTTTCGTCCTAATATGGGACTCATCAGCACTGTGCATCTACGACCCATCTCACTAGTCAGGATCGAACCTGAGACCAAGAGAAGACAGCCGTCAAGTCTCAAACATCCATCAATCCATAAGTTCAATAAATCTCTACCCGATATTTGTGGGTTGTTTTAAAAAATCATTTCACAAGACAACTAACTTACCGGATCACGTATAGGCCAATCAGGGAATCGTTGTGTATCGCATAAATGACGTAAATAATAATTATGACAAAATAATTCATTTTCCAATTGTGGATAAATAATAATTGGCATACCGATAAATCGATACACAGCACGTATATTGCTTTGTAGACGAGGTGAGAAATCCGCTAAATGCGATGTAATACGACCAATCATATAACGTCTACACAAATACAGTAGGGGATTAATCGAGTGGGAACAGTAACATGCTTTTTAAAATTAATGGTGAATTTAAAATGAACAACATAATCAATGAAAAAATAGTGAAGAATGTTGTATGGCGGGGTTCGAACCTGGAGACTTAATTGCAGTGAGTTGGACATTTTCACTACATAGTCCATATAAGCGTCAAACCGAAACTAATCTCGATATAGTGAATCAATAAGAAGTGACCAAAATGGAAGGACATTTAATGACAATCAGAAATGTCCTAAAGGACGAATGTATATCATTTGTCAAGAAATGAATTCGTTTTCTAAGGGGATAAAATATTATTCGGTATAAATGTTAGCGTGTAACACATACCCCTACAATAGACAACATGGCTCATCAAGGTAGTCAGTCAGTCAGTGAGCTAGGCATACATGTCACACATGTCACAATCACCTCAACTGATGAACAGTCACTCTTTTATACATTAGTGCAATCCCCACCGAAGCTGCTACCTTGACGCGGTGGTCGGGCTTGCCTATCGTCATGACCCAACCGAGCTATACTGGCTGGAACACATGTTCCTGCAGGTCCTACCATGCCAGGCAGGTCGATTGGAGAACGATGAGACTAAAAGCAGCTACCCAAGGTCTGAGGGCGAAGTCGTACTGCTGACTGCAGAGGGGTGTGACAGCAGTAAGGTGTTTCCCTCGGACAACCAGCATCTGCAGCGATGCTGCCTTCTCACAAGGAAGGAAGGGTTAGAAAAGGTCGGCCCTAAAAATGTCACACTCCCCCTAACTCACGGATTTCCGTCTCCTTGGGTAAGGGTGCCCACTAAGGGCCTTTAAGAACGGAGCTAATCCTCAAACAACGTCTCATAAAAAGGCCGTGCGTGACCGGCCTCAAGCAGTTGTCTGTGGGGCTCTGCGGTCACGCACCAACACTAATCCATCTTCCTTTTCAGGTTCGTCAAGAAACAACCTTCCACGGTGTGGGCAGCCGGGAAGTGATAACCGCCCTCATACCCGCAACAGCACACGAGACAAAATTGTTCAAAATCAAATCCTTCCTACATTCCCTAATACCTCTCTTATCTCCACAACTAACTCTTCTCACATTCATTTATTACAGTGCACAGCTAATGCAAACGATGCGAGTTTGCGAAACGTCGTTCCTGGTCTCCTTAAACCCCGTTCCAAACTACATGTTGGAGCATTCAATGTACGGACATTGTGTCAAATAGGGCAACAGGCATCATTAGCTAGGACTTTAGAATCTCGTTCCATCGATGTGTGCTGCGTCTCGGAAACGCGCATACAGGATCCGAGTAGCATCACTCATTTGACCTCACCATGTCAAGATAAAGAAGCAGCTCGATTTACCCTTCGTGTATCCGGTAGCCCTAATGCTGCTTCTAGGGGCCTCGCCGGTGTAGGTATAGCATTGAGTCGTAGGGCAGAACAATCTCTCCTTGACTGGATCCCTGTAGATAGTCGATTGTGCGCCGTCCGACTGAACGGGATAGTAAGGACTCGGAAAGATAGGGACACTCGCCGTTGCCTCTTCGTCATATCAGCCTACGCCCCCACTGACTGCAGCCCAGATGATGTAAAAGATGAGTTTTACAGAAAGCTTTCGGACCTCCTCCAAAAAGTTAAGCGCTCTGATATAGTAATAATGGCTGGTGACTTCAATGCACAAGTAGGTAGACTAAGTGAAAATGAAAGACACCTAGGTGGATGTTACGGTCTCGCGGCTCAAAGAACAGACAATGGCGACCGTCTGTTGCAACTGTGCTCAGATAACCAACTATTTCTAGCAAACACTAATTTTAAGCATAAAGAAAAACACCTTTTGACCTGGCGACCCCCGAAGTCGTCTCAACGTTGGACACAACTAGATCATATCGCCATCAGCCACCGATGGAGGGGTTCGATAGAGGACTGTCGCTCGTTCTGGGGCACATGTTTAGATTCAGATCATGCCCTAGTGCGAGCACGTATTTGTTTGAAAGTGCTTGCTGGATGTAGGAAAGACACCGTAAGAAAGCCTCTTAGGGCTTTACTTGATGATAATCAAGCTAAGAAAATATTTCAGGAGGAACTAGAAAAACAGTTAGGCGACCATGCAAGTGATTCCCATCCTGAAGCAGGTTGGAATCATATCAAGAAGGCTGTGGAAACAGCAATGGTATCTGCTAGCAAGGTAAACTACAATGCTAGGATGAAGCAGTGGATATCAGTCGCATCCACCGAACTGATGAATGCTCGAAAACGCATTCCACCTGACTCTGAACATGATGAGGAGCGTAGTCAGCTTAGGCGCAGACTTATAAAAAGCCTACGTAACGACCGTGAACAGTGGTGGGTGGCGAAAGCAAAAGCGATGGAAAAGGCAGCGGCGATAGGCAACACTAGACAACTTTTCCGCCTTATCAAAGAAACCGGTATTAGGAACCCGAATGTGAGTGAGACTATCTCGGAAAAGGATGGTCTTATCATCCATTCTCAATCTAGGAGGCTGGACCGATGGGCAGAACACTTTAGGGATCAGTTCAACTGGCCTTCAGCCACACTTCGGTTGCCCACGATCTCCAGTCATCCTGAATGGCAAATCGATTTAAGTACTCCCAGTTTAATGAAGTTGAGAAAGCTATAGGAAATCTAAGGGGAGGTAGAGCGGCAGGTCCCGACAGGCTTACCTCTGAGATGTTTAAGTATGGTGGTCCAATTTTAACGGTTAGACTGACCGAGATCCTAGGTAGAATCTGGGAAATGGACGCAATCCCATCTGACTGGTCTCAGTCGCTAATTGTCCCAATCTACAAGAAAGGACAGAAGTCCTCTTGTGACAATCACAGGGGAATAAGTTTAACTAATATAGTTTCTAAATTGTTAGCCTCGATTATAATTAGAAGTCTATCTAGAGCTCGTGAAGAGCAAACTCGAGAAAACCAGTCTGGTTTTCGACCTGGACGTGGTTGTATAGACCACATCTTCACACTACGACAGGTCCTGGAACACAGACACACATTTAGACGTCCGACGATAGTCGTGTTCCTGGACCTTGAGGCGGCATTAGACTCAGTGGATCGTGAGGTTCTGTGGCAGTGTCTGTCATTGAAAAGTGTACAAAAGAAGTACATTAACCTTATACAAGCACTCTACTCGAACACCACTGGTCGGGTGAGAGCATATGGCGAACTGTCATCTGAATTCTCTACATCAAGTGGTGTCCGTCAGGGCTGTCCACTCTCTCCATTCTTGTTTAACTTTGTCGTAGACATCCTCTTAGAGTTAACATTAAGCTCGTCAGATTTTTCAGGGGTTGACCTTCTACCAGGAAAGTCGCTTACTGATCTAGAATATGCCGATGAGATAGTTCTATTCGGTGAAGACGCTGACAAAATGCAGAGTCTTCTGACTACCATAAGCAACAATGCGAGCATGTTCGGGATGCGGTTTTCCCCCTCGAAATGCAAAATGTTGCTTCAAGACTGGGTTGCATTGGCACCTGAACTAGTGATAGGGAGTGAAGTAGTCGAGCGTGTAGACCGCTTCACTTATCTGGGGAGTCTCATCAGTGCTGACGGTCTGGTGACTGACGAAATCTCAGCTCAGATACAGAAAGCTCTATTGGCTTTTGCCAACCTGCGTCACTTATGGCGTAGGCGTGATATCCGTTCGCTAACCAAAGGGCGGGTGTACTGCGCAGCAGTTCGTTCCGTTCTCTTATATGGCTGTGAAACATGGCCAGTGAGAGTAGAAGATGTTCGTAGGTTACTAGTATTCGATCATAGATGTTTAAGAAGCATTGCTCGTATATCGTGGGACAGCCGAGTAAGCAATGCTGTCGTTAGGAAACGAGTACTAGGTAAGGATGGCAGATCAATAGATGAAGTGGTGAAACTTCATCAGTTGAGGTGGTTGGGACATGTGTTACGTATGCCTAACCACCGACTTCCTCGACGAGCTATGTTTTGTGGTGTAGGAGTAGGTTGGAAGAAAGCTAGGGGCGGCCAGACCAAAACATGGCAGAAATTCATGAAGTCATTGACAAGTGGACTGAGTCATGTTGGTAGATGTAGACTACCTGGTTGGGGTCCGCGAGACGAAAGTCATCAATGGTTAGAGACCTTGAACGACATGGCTCAAAGTCGTTTGCAATGGCGCAGGTGCATCCACTCTTTGAGCTCTCTCAAATCCTAATCTTCTGGATTAGCCAGCACCTCTGCCTTTGTCTTTATAATCTTATCTCACTGAATTATATTTTTTGAATAATATCTTCGAACTCTAGTCTTCTTTATTAACATTAATGCCTCTACTATCTTTATCACTATGGGATTTGATTTGGCATTTGCGTCTCTGTGCTAATAATGTGGTATGGTAACATGAACTTTTGTACATACGTACGAAGTTCTACGTTGCAACTGACTGACTGACTGACTGACATTAGTGCAATGAATTTCCAACGATTTGATTACACATACCGACTTGTTGTAAAACTAAACCGACGGAATGGTACAAAGAGGATACATAGACAGACAGATACAACGCAGAACTTCGTACATAAGTACATCAGTTCAGGTTGTCATACCACATCAGCACAGAGACGTAACTGTCAGTTCAAATCCAACAGTGATAGCAATAATAGGAGTATTAGTAGTAATGGGAAAGATTAGGGTTTGAAGATATGATTCAAGAAGTATAATTCAGTGAGATAAATTTAGAAGCAGAAGGTTAGAATTTCATGGAACACAGAGTGGATGCACCTGCGCCATTGCAAACGATTTTGAGCCATGTCGTTCAAGGTCTCTAATCATCGGTGACTTTCGTTTCGTGGACCCCAATCAGGCAGCCTACATCTAGCAACATGACTCAGTCCATTTGTCAGTGATTTCATGGATTTCTGCCATGTTTTGGTCTGGCCACCACTAACTTTCTTCCAGCCTATTATTCCTACACCACAAAACATAGCTCGTCGCGGCAGTCGGTGGTTAGGCGTATGCAACACATGTCCCAACCACCTCAACTGATGAAGTTTCATTACTTCATCTAAGAACGGGAAGAAATATTGAGAGACATAAAACAGTGTGAAACTCATCACGACAGATGATAAAACAATATTACCAAACGGCGTTTAGTGAGTTAAACAAATACATAAAGGATATGGTATATGTTCATACAGCCAAGGCTTCAATGTATAGCTTGGTCAACTCAAGTGAATACTTTTATACAATACAAACAATGATGTGTTTACGAATAGAGGACAATAGAAATTGATTATCAGTTAGTATTGATTTCTGTAACCTTTTTTAGTTGATGTTTGTTAAATTATGCGCATACACTTTGAATAGATTGTTTTAAATAAAGTTATGTTTATTTGAGACATTAAGTATAAGAAGGCATTCATTTTAACATGTATATATTAACATGTATACAGAAAAACAAAACACTGATTATACTTTAGTCTTGATATATTCAGAGCAAGATACTACAAAACATGTTACTCATGCACGTAAACATGTCCATTTGATAGGCTTGAACTATATTACGAGTTTACCTTCGTCAGTAAACGGGAGCGAGGATCGAGGATCCGGTGACACAAGACATGCTACTCTAATTCGAGTGTCCAAAACCCCCATTGAATAAGAGAAGAATATTGCATATGAAGTAGAACTTGTATTCTACACACATCTAGAAAGTACGAGGTCCAAGTCCAGAAGAGAATCACGATCCTTGACTAAGGATCCGTGTCCGGGTCATAAAAAGTTACAGATAATGCATATCTATACAGTTAGGTCGGATAAGAAACGAAATTGAAATCAGTGACATTGACAGTTAGGACGACCATACTATTGACCAGTAGGAGTTAACCAATATGAATAGACTAATAGTTCTCTTAGGATATTGGATGAATATCCTAACAAACCATTTACAAGCATACATGATATCCGTAGGCGACTTTATAGGCGTTTTATATTTAGAAGCACGCAAAATTCTCTCAATGAAAACACATCATAATATACAGAGATATAGATAAGGCAAATTGACTTTAATTCATACAGATAAATAGTGATCTGTGAATAGAGATAGATTAAATGGATTGCGTAATCGAATAAATAGAAACTGATGATCGATAATTCCAGCTCATATCACACGCACATACACGAAACGATGCGTAAAAAACTTCCAAGAAAAGAGCACGACAAGCATACAGTGGCCGCCAGACCAAAACATGGCAGAAATTCATGAAGTTACTGACAGTTGGAATGAACCATGTTAGTAGGTGTAGACAGCTACCTGGTTGCAATCTGAGAAGCTATCGCAGCCGATAGTTAGTGAATTTAAATGACATGGCTTAATCAGTCAGTCAGTTTCAATGTAGAACTTCGTACGTACGTACATCAGTTCAGATTGCCATACCGCATCAACACAGAAACTCAACTGTCAGTTCAAATCCAATACTGGTAACGATAGTAGAAGGATTAGCAGTAATAAAGAAGATTAGGATTCAAAGATATGATATGATTTGAGATGTATAATTCAGTGAGATAAGGTTAGAAAGAGAAAGATAGAGATGATGAGGAATTCCGGAGGTTAGAATTTAAGAGAGAGTGGATGCACCTACGCCAGTGCAAACGATTCTGAGCCATGCCATCCAAGGTCTCTAACCATTGGTGACTTTCGTCTCGCGGACCCCTACCAGGTAACCTACATCTACCAACATGACTCAGTCCACTTGTCAGTGACTTCATGGATTTGTGCTATGTTTTAGTTTGGCCACCCCTAGCTTTCTTCTGACCTACTCCTACACCACAAAACATACGTAACACACGTCCCAACCATCTTAACTGATGGAGTTTCACTACTCCATCAATCGACCTGCCATCTCTACCTAGTAATCGTTTCCTAACTATGGCATTGCTTACTCGGCTGTCCCAGGATGAATGACATGGCTGAAAAAATTGTTTGCAAATGGCGTAGATGCATCCATTGTTTGTATTTAATCGAACTTTGACCTTGAAAATAACTGATGACCTTTTTTCTAATACTCGAATCATATCTTCAATTACTGTTGATACTTCTACTACCTCTACTACCATTAGATTTAAAATGACAATTCCATCTCTGGCAGGTCAATAGATGAAGTAATGAAACTTCATCAGTTGCCTCGTCGAGCTATATTTTGCGATGTAGGAGTAGTTTGGAAGAAAGTTAGGGACGGCCAGACCAAAACATAGCAGTAATCCATGAAGTCATTGACAAGTCGAGTCGGTAGGTGTCGACTACCTGGTTGGGGTTCGCGAGACGATGGTAATCGATGGTTAGAGACCCTAAGTGACATGGCTCAAAATCGTTTGCAATAGCGCAGGTGCATCCACTCTTTGTGTTCTAGGAAATTCTAACCTTCTGAATTCCTCATCATCTCTATCTTTCTCTTTCTAAAGTTATCTCACTGAATTATACTTCTCGAATTATATCTTTGCTCCCTTATCTTCTCCATTACTGCTAATACATCTACTATCGCTACCATTCTTGGATTTGAACTGACAGTTGGGTCTCTGTGCTGATGTGCTATGGCATCTTGAACTGCTGTACTTACGTACGAAGTTGTACGTTGCTGTTAATGATGATGATGATTCCATCTCTGTGGGCTAGTGTGATATAGTCACTTCAACTGATGTACTCACTGACCTACTCATCAAATTCCTTCTACATTGTAGCTGAATGATTAACTGACTGACTGAATGAATGATACAACAAGCATACAGAAAATTAAATTAAATTAAATCAAAAATCTATCTTACCGCATTTCTGAATTCCATATAGCTTCAGGTGAATCAAAATCACCAAGAAATATTTCGGCAAATTTTTCAGCCGGATGATTTTCCAGATAAGCAATCATAGCATCCGGTAACATATTGCCTAATATTGATCGTGATGTTAAATCCATGCCAGATGAACTATGACCAATGAACTTGAAATAAATGAGGTGAACAGCAACAATAACAACAGAAAAAACATTTACAAATTAAGAATTCAATGCAATGAAGAGGATAGAAAATAATCTGACAAGTGGACTGAGTCATGTTGGTAGATGTAGACTAGTAGCTGGTTGGGGTCCAAGAGACGATAGTCACCAATGGTTAGAGACTTGGAATGACATGGCTCAGAGTCATTTGCAATGACTCAAGTGCATCCATTCATTGTGCTCTCTCAAATCCTAATCTTCTGGAATGGTCAGTACGTCCACCTTTGTCTTTCTAACACCTTATCTCACTGAATTATACTTCTTGAATAATATCTTCAAACCCTAGTCTTCTTTATTACCATTAATACCTCTACTATCTTTATCACTATGGGATTTGATTTGACATTTGCGTCACTGTGTGCTAATGTGGTATGGCAACATAAACTTATGTACATACGTACGAAGTTCTATGTTGCAACTGACTGACTGACTGACAGATAATATATGAAGTAAGCGAAACACTTCAATGTGGAGACAGTCTAGTCTTCGGTGGGTAATTCTAATTAGAAGCTGTGACCAGGTGTAAGGCAGTATCCTGCAGTAGATAACGTGTGAGGTTGTGCTAAACCTCACATTGATCCGCGTTAAAGATTAGTACCGCTGGATGCCGTCTCGGTGGTCTAGAGGTTAGCCGTTGCGAACGAAATTTCTGAGTTTGATTCCTGCAAGCGGTATTCGTGAATGCACACTGCCACTGAAAACCCTCATACCGAGTGTAAACGGCTGCCAAGTACTTTCAGGTTCCTATTGATGGTTGAACAATGATTGATTTAACGATTTTAACTCATCTTTTGTTGTAGTGGTGTTTGGTTCTCTGAGTTGGTTGATTTGGTTGTGGAGCTTTCATTGTTCATCTGCTGAATAACAACATCATCAGCACGAACTTCAGATAGAAGAAGTGAAGCATTCGAATTTCTCCACGTTTGACCTGTAGCTTGTTCTGCTAACCTCGATCTTGATTCGTTGCTGTTGACCTTTAACCTGTCGTTGTTTACACCTTTGTTTTGATTGTTGCAATCAAATCCGAATGCTTCACTTCTCGGTCTGAAGTTTGTGCTGATGATGTTGTTGTTCAGCAGGGTAACAATGAAAGCTCCACAACCAAAACAACCAGCTCAGCGAACGAAACACTACCACCACAATCATCCACCTGAGCTACAAATCTTCTCCACCATCTCATCTTTTGTTCCCTCTATCTAAAGGATTTCAGTCAAAAAGCCCAAATACTACTGTCTCTGGATAGACTTGATTATGAATTTGATTCGGCAAACAAAAAACACATATCAAGTAAAACATATACTTTGAAAAATCTTTGAGATTGTAGAAAATTTTACTGATTCTAAATGCCTTGTGTTTAAGGATTACTTTACGAGTTATAGTTTCTATTCTGTCGGAAAGATATATTTAAAGCGAAGAGGATCGAAACTACACGACAATAATTCATGATCAAGTCTATCTGCATCAACTGGAGTTGTCAACTGCCCGTACAAACAAATAGCATTGGGCTAGCTAGTACTAAGGTCGTGGATGTGCATTTCGTCCGATTCGTCACTCGTCAGCTCGGTTTGACAGCATATCAAAGTTCATATTCACACCACAATCTATCTATTTTCTATGAAGCTACGTGTCATAATAGCTACAAAGACTTATTATGATATAACTACAATCAACTTTGTGAAAAATCCAATTCAATGAAGAAGGATTCGAGCCAACGACTGATCTACTAAATGTTTTACAAATAGCCAGATAATTTTCATACTAATATCAGAGTAGTTCGAAAAAACGATTTTTCTAGAAAACTCACACTGCACTAAGATTATGCTTGTGATATGAGAATAAACCAACACTCACACAGACACACACACACACAGACTCAATACCAACGCATAATATATACTACTAATTATAAATAAGTAACTTTTTTTTAATGTATTCAGTTTTCGTGGTCATACGACATAATCTGATAAAAAGTGTTCATCTTAAGTAAACAGTAATTTCGAAAATATATTTTATTGTATTTAGAATAACGGAAACAACAGCATACGAAGAAAAAAAACTGAGAAAATTATCATCCATATCGATCAACAACTACTGAATTGTAAGAAGCTTACAAAAAAACTCTAATTCATTCCTATTGATTGTAAGAAATACATTTCATTGAGTTTTAATGATATTATCAACCGATCATTGTATAGATAACTTCATGAGAAACTTGGAAAAACCGTGAAAGGACAACTGTTTCGTCCTTGCATGGAACTCATCAGCGGTAGTGCGCATCCATGACTGCAGCTACCGGCAGGATTCGAACCCCGGGACAATTTAATCTTGTGCGTATACGCCTAACCACTGGGATCAATGAACTAGCATCTAACAGTATAAACGTCTAACTCTAATAATAATGGGCCTAACAATGATTGGTTCATGATTTCAATGAAAATCAACGATCACCAAAAACTCCATGATGGAAAATTATTTCATCGATGTTTAGAAATGTAAGTGATCAGTCACTTTTTGATATATATGTGCAGTCAGCCGCGCGAAGTGACAAACGAACGAAAGAAGGATTGTTCGTGGAGATAGGAGATTTACTAGGAGGTTTAGAAAAGATTTGATTGTAATCGATTCGGTTTCATGTGCTTTTACGAATATGATGGCGGTTGTTACTTTCACCTCAGCCCAAACCGTGGAAAGGTACTTCTTGAAGAATCTGAAGAGGAAATCTGGTTAGCATTAGTCTGAGTGACCTAGAAGCGTGATCACAGAGCCCAAAGGACAATTGCTTGAGGTCCAGCACGCATAGCCTTTTTTTAAGGTAGTATTTAAAGTGTTAGCTCCGCTCTTTAAGAGGCCTTACCGAGGATTCCCATGTTAACCACACTTGGATTTTCATGTACATTGTGAATTATTCTTGGAACACAATGTTTTCAAGTGATATTTCACACTTCAGTAGTCTGCAATATGACTCCGATTTGGACGAATAATCTCTAGTATGCGAACCACGTTTGTGCAACGGAGTTAATAAAAACCCAAAGACTGATTCAGTTGAGTAAGTTAGTTTTTCGTTACGTGAAAGTTCACATAGACAAACATGAGCATGCGAAGCGTACAATCAATGCAAAGCGAAGCGAAGTGGCGAAAGCGAGTGAATCGATTGTGGTAAGACAAAACTAAGCTGGACATTGTAACAACAAATAAAGCAGAGCGATGTGTACATACGTTCAAATAAAAAAAAAATAACCAAGATTTTAAACGACACGGTTGACAAAATCGATAGACGTGTGAATTTATGTCCTCAGAGGAATGACTTGATCAATTTGTCTAAAAGGATATGAGACAAGCTCTGTGCGCTCGACATATATATACACACACACACACACACCAACACCTAGAATACCTTTTCGCTATTGTTTTGATAAAGCAGTAGCAGTGCACTTCAATTGTAAGAAGTGTAACAGTGTTTAAATTACTGTTTATGACGTTATCCATGTGATTCTGGTCACTTTCTATTGCACAGCGATCAAAGATAAATGTTTTGAAAGGTAAAATGGCTGAACTTTCAGTATGAAGCAACATTTTGCATTTCATGAGAGAAAACCGAATTTCGAACATGTTTGCATTGTTATTTAGGGCAGTCAGAAGACTCTGCATTTTGTCAGCATCTTCACCGAATAGGACTGTGTCATCAGCATATTCTAAGTCAGCAAGCGTATCGCATAGTAAAAGGACCACTCCAGAACCGTAAGCCATCAGCATATCGACGACAAAGTTAAACAAGAATGGAGAGAGTGGACAGCCCTGACGCACATCACTTGAAGTAAAGAATTCTGATGACAGTTCGTCATAAGCTCTTACTCCACCAGTAGTAGTGTTGGAGTTGAGAGCCTGTATAAGGTTATTGTACTCCTTTGGTACACCTTTTAATGACAGACACTGCCACAAAACCTAATGATCCACAGAGTCGAATACCGTCTTAAAGTCGACAAATACTACTATTGTGCGACATCTGGAACTCCGAACAACTTTCAACCAAAACCAAAATCAGCATTTTCAATACAAATATCATGATAGTTCTACTGTATGGAGCGGAAACTTGGAGAATCACCAAAGCCATCATCCAGAAGATACAAGTGTTTATTAACAGTTGTCTACGCAAAATACTTCGGATTCGTTGGCCAGACACCATCAGCAACAACTTACTATAGGAGAGAACAAACAAGATTCCAGTAAAGGAGGAAATCAGGAAAAAGCGTTGGAAGTGGATAGGACACACACTAAGAAAAGCACCGAACTGTATCACGAGACAAGTCCTCACATGGAACCTTCAAGGCAAAAGGAAAAGAGGAAGGCCAAAGAATACATTACGTCGAGAAATAGATAAAGATATGAGAAGAATGAACAAACATTGGACAGAACTGGAGAAGGAAGCCCAGGACAGACAGAGTTGGTTGGAGAAAACTGGTTGGCGGCCTATGCTCCATTGGGGGTAACAGGCGAAAGTAAGTAAGTAAGTAAGTGAACGTGTGCCAGTCATATATAATTATCGATCAATTAATCAATAAAAAAGCTGAAACGCAGCATATAACAACACACTTTGTACAGAACTCATCATCAAATCTATTGATTGATTGAATCAAAATGTAGCAACAACAACAATGATGATGATGATGATAAAACTTACTTCATCTAATCGTAATGCTTGTAACAAGTGAACATCTTTTAAAAATTTTGCAATTGGTAAAATATTACTACCAGTATATAATAGAATAAAATAAAATATTCCAGTTAAATACAGACGTGGTAATAGAGGATTATGATCCATCACAGAGTGTAGCAAAGAGACAACACGTTCAACTAATGGTGGATCGAATGTCAGAAGTAGCTGAAATAAGAGAAAAAAGAAAAGAGAGGAAAATTAGTGATTAACTAGAGTAGTAGTAGATGAGTTGTTCAATTTGTTAACTGTTGATATTTTTCAAACAAAAAAAATGGGATTACTACTACTACTACTGTGGTGCGAGCTACTTATAAGTAGTATATGACGTGAATGTAAACGTAATGTCTGGAAGCAGAAGATGTGGGAAGATCAAGAAGGGAAGAGTGGGAACACAATAGAATTTGTATGAAACGCATGAATAAGTGAAATGTCAAACAATGGATTGATGATGGATTGAAGATTTGCAAATTAACGATTTACGATATGCTTTTCCGATTTTACTGAGTAACTCTGTAATTTTCGTTAAATACAATTCGGTTGCCCTCACCTGTGTTCTCCTTCACTACATTTGATGTCGCTGCCTACACAAAGAATGAAGATATCATGGCCGAAGGAATTTGAGGCCGTGAAGGGGCTCGGGGCGGAGTTGGTGGTGCTGGGGACGCTGCGGGGAAGTGGGGCAAAGGCTGTATACGACAGCTTGGACGGTGCCGCCGGGAAGACGGTCACGGAGCGAATAGTGACGGGGTTCGTTGGCCCAGTGGACAAGGAGGAGGCGCCGCAGAGGTTACGGTTGGCGAGGTTATCTGTCGATTGTGACTCAATGGTGCTGGCTGTGGAGCTCCCGATGTTGCTGCGCCGTGCGCTGCCGAGTATGGACGGGGAGTGATTAACTAGAGTAGTAGATCAGTTGTTAGATTTGTTAATTGTTGATATTTTTCAAACAAATAAAATGGGATTACTACTACTACTACTACGAAGACGACGAAGCAACAGTTCCTTGAAGATGGCAGATACCCAAAACATGACATAAAGCCATGAAGTCACTGACTACAAGTGGACTGAGTCATGTTGGTGGGTAGATGTAGGCTATCTGCTTGGGATCCGCGATGCGAAAGTCACTAATGGTTAGAGACCTTGAACGACATGGCTCAGAATCGTTTGCAAAAGCGTAGGTGCGTCCACTCTTTGTGCGGTTTTTAATTCTAACCTTCTGCACTCCTTATAATCTCTACCTTTCTCCATGTAAATTTGTCTCACTGAATTATACTTCTCGAATCATATCTTTGCTCCCTAATCTTCTCCATTACTGCTAATAATTCTACTATCGCTACCACTCTTGGATTTGAACTGAGATTTGCGTTTCTGTGCTGATGTGGTATGGCAACCTGAACTGATGTACACGTACGTACGAAGTTCTGCGTTGTATCTGTCTGCCTGTTTGACAACAAGTGGACTGAGTCATGTTGGTTGATAGATGTGGGCTAACTGGTTGTGGTCCATGAGACTATGCTAACTGATGGGCAGAGAGACCTTGAATGACTTGGCTTAAAGTCGTTTGTAATGGCGCAAGTGCAATCATTCATAGTGTTTTCTGAAAAACTCTAACCTTTTGAATTCCGCATCACCTTTATCTTTCTGTTTCTGAAGTTATCTCATTGAACTATACTTCTCCAATTATATCTTCAAACCCTAATCTTTCCCATTACTGTTAAAACTTCTACTATCACTACCATTATGGGATTTGAATTGACAATTATATCTCTGTGTTAATGTGGTACGGCAACCTGAACTGACGTACATACATGCAAAGTTCCAAGTTGCTGTTGATGATGAGTGATGGCCGTTGTAGCTTATTAATGAGTTCTAACTACTGTATGAGAACTATACCTTCAATATTTCTTGTTGTCTAAATTCCAACTGCATGCCATCTCAACAAACTGGATACTTTGTTGAATTATTTAGATTATAGTATCGATATGATTTAGTGACTCACTTACGAATGCCCAACCACCGACTATCTTGAGGAGCAATGTTTTGTGGTATAGGACTAGGTTGGAAGAAAGCTAGGGGTGGCAAAACCAAAACATGACACAAATACATGAAGGCGCTGACAGCTAAACTGAGTCCTATTAATCAGTCAGTCAGTCAGATGCAACGTAGAACTTGGTATGTATGTACATCAGTTCATGTTGCCCCATACCACATCAGCACAGAGATGTAATTGTCAATTCAAATCCAATAGTGGAAGAGGTAGTAAAGGTATTAGAAGTAATCGGAGAGATTACGATTAGAAGATATTATTCAAGAAATATGATTCAGTGAGAAAAGTTTAGAAAGTCAAAACTAGAGGTGTTGAAGAATCCAGAAGATTAAGATTTGAGAGAACACAAAGAATAAATGCACCTGTGCGATTGCGAACGATTTTGAGCCATGTCATTCAAGGTCTCTAACCATCGATTATTATCATCTCGCCGACCCCAAACAGGTAGTCGACAATTACCAACATGGATAAGTCCACTCGTCAATGACTTCATGGATTTCTGCCATGTTTTGGTCTGGCCGCCCCTAACTCTCTTCCAACCTACTCCTACACTACAAAACAAAGTCCGTCGAGGCAGTCGGTGGTTCGGCATACGCAAGACATGTCCCAACCACCTCAATTGATGAAGTTTCATCACTTCATTAGTAGGTGTAGACTACCTGGATGGGGTCCGCGAGACGATAGTAACCGATGGTTAGGTACTTTAAATGACATGGCTATCAAAATGGTTTGCAATTAAGCGTGTGCATCCATTCTTTGTGTTCTCTCAAAACAAGTTTTGTGTAGGCGAAATGAACGATTGACTGACTAACTGATACACACACACACACACACAATAAGAATCAGTGTGTCAAAGTATCTATCACAAAACCATAGAGAGGAAAAAACACAAAAAACCCCCATTATTATTCTCACTTGTATCATATGCGGCAAACAATTCATATCAGAAATAGCACGACGTGGTTTAGGCAGCGGACGTACAACACCACCATGCAATAAATCCAATGCAGAACAACTGTTACATAATCTATGCAATATGTCAATACATTTGATAGCTAAACTTGTATAATCTGTAAATAATCCATTGGAATAATTTAGTTTATCAATTAAACAGCCAACATTTAAATCGTGTTTATCAGCTGTTGCTGTTGAAGAAGGATTATTGGACAAAGATGACATGGTAGATAAATTCGAGGTGGGCGATGCTGTTGATGTCCAACGAATTTGTGCTACATGCTTGGCTGGCAACCAACCTCCACCATGTAACATTTCATAAGATAAAGGTGTATTATTATTGGTATTATTCCCGGTCGTCCCTGGATCAGTTGAGCCGAATGAATGAGTTACATCATTATTAGGTACAGAAGACGAAGAATTTGTATTGGTTAAGCGATTATTATTATTATGTGATTCATTCAGATCATCAATGAAATCATCTTCAGCTAGATAACCATCAGGACGACAACGTGGTGTAGCATCTAAACCTTGAGCATATAATTTTGTGTTGCTGGTGATTTGTTGATTTTTAATAAGATTTTTTAGCTAAATTTTAGAAATATAAATATACATAAACATGATATTATTATATTTCAGTGGATAAAAAAAGTTTTTCTCGGAGTTCCAGTTGAGAAGACGTGACCAATGGAGTTCTACCCTGTCGGGTGCAGTAGGCAGTAACTACTAACAAAGACAAACGGGTGAGGTCGAGCAAAATCCCTAGATCAATCAGAATTAGACATTAACACCGTTGGATGCCGGCCGGCCCAGTGGTCCGATGGTAAGGCGTTCGCCTACAATGCCGGAGGTCCCGGGTTCGAATCCTGCGAGGAGCAGGAGTCGTGGATGCGCACTGCTGCTGATGAGTCCAACATCAGGGCGAAACGGCAGTCTTACAGTGCTTCCAGGTTTCTAATGGTGGTCTAAAAATGATCGATTGATGATTTCAAATGGATAAAAAAGTGTTAGTTTCCAACAGATGATCAGTGGCAGTAGCAGTTGGCCTCTGTAATAGTAGGGGTCATAATAGACACACGAAAACAGAGAGAAGCTGGATTCTCTGATAGAGAAAAAAAAAACAACGTCTACCAACCAAAATCAGAATTGAATGGAGAAATTGATGAGGATGTAGAAATATTTGTTTAACTGAGTAGCGTTAATGATGAACAAGGTGAATACAATGTAAGATGTACAGTGTAGGGATCCAAACTGAGGTTTGAAGTGAGTAATAACACTGTCTAGGTAGTTTAGATACGTGTCTTGACCAGTTGAACTCAAAACAGGTGATTTGGTTAAATGACAGTGGTTCTATTATTTATCATAGATATAAATATGTATAAACATCATTACCTAAACTAATATTATCACTCAGTTATTCCATCAACAATTGTTCAGTTATTCAAATCCACAACAGAAACGAATAAATGATATTCTATCCCTCCTGGATAGATCAGATTCATTCAAAAGATAATATTTGGTTGCTTTATAACACAGAGTGTTTCCTATTCTGGAAGAGTGCTTCAATTCACAATCAAAATGCACAATTCCAGTCATTGACTAGTGAACTGAGCCAGGTCGGCAATTGTCGACTAGCTGGTTGGGGTCCGCGAGATCATAATAATCGATGGTTAGAGACCTTGAATGACATGGCTCAAAATCGTTCGCAATGGCGCCGGTGCATTTATTCTCTGAGTTCTCTCAAATCCTAATCATCTAGATTCTTCAACACCTATAGTTTCGACTCTCTAAACTTTCCTCACTGAATCGTACTTCTTGAATAGTGTCTTCTAACCCTAACCTCTCTGATTACTTCTAATTCCCTTACTAACTCTTCTACTAATGGATTTGAATTGACAATTACATCTCTGTGCTGATGTGGTATGGCAACATGAACTGATGTACTTACGTACCAAGTTCTACGTTGCATCTGACTGACTGACTGATTCCAGTCAATGCAAGCAATCCAATCAAAAGAGGAACAAATCAATATGGCTGTCGCCATGACTAATAAGTATCAGTTTAAACAACATAAATACAGTTCAGAAAGAAACATAGAAACTCAATGAAGGCAGAAAAATAGAAACTACAATAAAATACAAATAGTATAATCACAAAATGGAATCGAACAGACTAACAAAATGTACCATGGAGAGGGATTTTCACAAACAAAGCCTTCAAAAACGGATCTTGTTTGACCGTCATGGCTGAGCACTGATCACTGATGAATCACAGACTTTGGTCAAAACGACCGATTATTGATTCTAGGTTTCGAATAATGGCAGTCTAGTAATGATCCACTTATGATTTTCACAAACAAAGCCTTCAAAAATGACCCTTACATAGAGATACGGATCGGCAAAACAAAGGAAGTATTTTCACAATTGAAGAATACCAAGAACTCAAAATAAGCTGTCTATCTCTGTCAACCAACACTAAATTGATCATTTTCAATACAAATGTTATGAGCGTTCTACTGTATGGAGCGGAAAATCGGAAAACTACTAAAGTCACCATCTAAGAGATACAGATGTTCATGAACAGTTATCTATGTAAGATACTCTAAGTTTGTTGACCAGACACCATGAACAATAACTTACTGTGAAAGGAAAAACAACCAGATTTCAGTGGAGGAGGAAATCAGTTATAAGCGTTGGAAATGGATAGGACACACATTGCAGAAAGCAACCAACTGCATCACGACAAAAACCCTCACTTGGAATCCTCAGGGACAAAGGAAAATATATAAAACATGAAACACACTTTGACGAGAATTGGAAGATGTGAAAAGAATGAACTGCAATCAGGTAGGACTGAAAAGGAATACCCAGAACAGAGTACATTAGAGAATACTGGTCTACGACCTATGTGTTGGGGACGCTAGATCACCAGAACTCACTTGAGAAATGCCTTAATTTTGGATTTTATGTTTCCCCGCGTGGGATGATCAGTTGACCTTGAGATCGCATTTCCCATTAGGAAAATCTTTGACTATGATTGGTCGCTGTGTATTTTAGTGACTGTCCCAAGGACGATTCTATGGCGTATAAATAAACGCGATTTGTGTGTTTGATTGCATTGTGTGCTGGCTAGGTGTTTGTAGAATACACTTCCTACGCTATATCAAGACTTCACGTAAGTCAACCGATCAGGGTAGCCTACCTGTACGATGGTTCATTGTCTCGTTCTCGTTCATCGACTAAGGTGAACCCGTAATCGTTTCAAGCACACCTAGTGACGAACTTAACACTATGGTCCACGATCAAAAAACCTATATCTGACTAAAGTTACAGTATAATAATAATAAAATAGGTCTCGTGAATTTCAGTTCAATAATCGACAGACAATGCACTCGCCATATGATCTGTAAATACTTTCATGCTGTGAGATACAGAGTGGAATCATTGATGTGTAATTGTAGATTAGTGTTCCTAACAAGAAATACAAACAATTATGCTTTGATATGGATAAACTACATACATGATATTTTTTTGATATAAATAGATAATACATGTATGGTGCGCGCTACTTATAAGTAGTATATGACGTGAGTGTAAACTTAATGTCTGGCAGCAGAAGATAGGGAAAGATCAACAAAGGAAGGAAGAGTGAGAACACAATGGGATTTGTATGAAACGCATGAATAGTGAAATGTCAGACAATGGATTGATGTTTGGCAACAGGAACAGTCCAGTTCGATATGATGGATTGATATTTTGCAAATTAACGATTTACGATATGGTTTTCCTATTTTACCAATTAACCCTGTAATTTGGGATAAACACAATTCGGTTGCCCTCACCTGTGTTCTCCTTCACTAGACATGTAGGGTATCGTCTGAACACTATAAATAATTACCAACTATGAATCACAATTCAAAGAAATCCTACTTTTTTTAAAAACATAAAATGCCACGTGTATGTTTATTATTGAGCGACTGGAGATGGGAATCACCAAAAAAATAGTAAAACTCTCTCTACATTATTTTTTAATTTATTTGCATTGATAAGTTGAATTCATCCCCATAGACAGATGGAATTGTAATTGACCAATCGCAGTTGGCATATACATATATATGTTTCGCTCTATCCCATTCGGAATTCTGTTATATACTCGTCGCTTGATATGCTTGATACTATTACAAGTTCACCTTAGTCGATAAACGAGAACGAGACAATGAACCAGTGTCCAGGTAGGCTACTCTAATCCGTTGACCCAAAGGAACCGATGAAAAAGTCTTGATATAACGTAGAAAGTGTATTCTACAAACAGCCAGCCAGCACACAAATTGCGTTCATTTATGCATCATAGAAACGTCTTTGGGAGAGTCACAAAAATAGCACACTAAAATAACACAGCAACCAATCACAGCTAAGGATTTTCCTGGTGGGTAATGAAATCTCAAGATCAACTGATCAGGCCAAGAATAAAATCCAAAATTATGACATTTATCAAGTGAGTTCTGGGGATCTAACGTCCCCAACATGTGCTGTTACGGGTATGAAAAGTTTTTTGAGTATTAGCTCCGCTCTGAAAGGCCGTTAGTGGGAACCCTTACCACCGGAGACGGAAATCCGTGCAACAAGGTGAGGTGTGACCTTTTTTCTAACCCTTCCTACTTTGTGAGAAGGCAGCATCGCTGCAGATGCTGGTTGTCCGAGGGAAACACCTTACTGCTGTCACATCCCTCTGAACGTCCCCAACACATACATATACATACACAGATTCATCCTCAGTTAAATGTATATACATTCCAAAGTTGATGTTCACTCCGATATAAGAACTTAGCACCGAACGGTTTACACACACCAACACATTATTCCTAACTATCAATGCAGAGATTCAAATAACCAATTGAACAGAAATACACACTTTGCATCAAATGTACGGACCGAGTATCATCTTGTGTTATCTAGTTTCAGTAGTTTAAAATGCTGCGTAAAACTGATAGTATATCAATTGAAAAGTACATATTTAAACAAAATACAATACATACTTCATTAAAACTAATTGGACCTTGAATAAGATTCGATGTAGATTTGGTTGTAGTAGAAGTAGTCATGGATTGATTAGCTGTTTTTTGCCCTCCCGGTATAGTTGTATTCATATACCACCATTCACGTTGTGTACTTGCACCGGTACCAGTAAGTTCTTGTTCAGCACTAGCTTTCAAAACATTCGATTGAAATGGTGTAGGTGCACGACTTGTATGTAAATGTGCTAAACATGCTAAATCAATGAGAACACGTACACCGTCGGCATCGACAAATGACATGACATTATCCTATTCAAGCAACAACAAAAAACCGCTGTTTATTACAATAGAAACATACATTTAGTAAAACAAGTACAGATTTGTGTACCTACCTGGCTTCAAACTATATTCTCATTCATGAGATTGAGGAAGATAAAGTGAAGTTCAAACCGGTCGATTGATTAGTGGACCAAAGTTGAAAAACTTTTAGACAAACAATGAGGAAGGTGCATGCATTGTTTGTGTTCTCTTAAATTGTAATCTTTTGAATTCCTCATCACCTCTATATCTGTCCCCTTCTAAATTTATTTCACTCGATTGTACTCCTTGAATAACATCTAGAAATCCTAATCTTTACGATTACTGCTCTCATACTTCTACTACCTCTACTACTATGAAATTGGAATTGATAATTGGGTCTCTGTGCTAATGTAGTATAGCAACGTGAACTGATGTATGTACGTACGTACGTGCGACCCTGAATGACATGGCTCAAAACTGTCGGCAATGGCGCAGGAGCATTTATTCTCTGTGTTCTCTCAAATCCTAATCTTCTCGATTCTTCAACATCTCCAGTTTTGACTTTCTAAACTTTTCCCACTAAATCATACTTCTTGAATAATATCTTCCAATCATAACTTCTCCGATTACTTCTAATACACTTACTACCTCTTCTACTATTGGATTTGAATTGACAATTTTATCTCTGCGCTATTGTGGTATGGCAACATGAACTGATGTACTTATGTACGAAGTTCTACGTTGTAGCTGACTGACAGACTAGACAAACACCAGTAAGTACTTCAAGATAATGAAACATACAATACTCGGCAGTCAGCCATAATAAGACTTGAAATTTTTTTACCTGCTTGTATCATGATAAATAATCGTTTCCTTTGGTGAAAAAAATCAAACTTTTCCTTTTAAATAACTGCTTCAGTGATTAGCTCACTGGTAGCGTGTATCAATATACCGCCGAGCCCGTAAGGTGTCCCAGCCTTTCAATCAATCCATTTTTCTTCAGTTATTCACAAATGTTTCGACCTTGTCGATTATTCGGATATAATCTCGGTTGTTTTTATTTAAGTGTGTGCGGGCACTGATTAAATCCCCACTTATCACATATGTCCTAGCTTATTTTTGTCTGACTATGAATAGCTAGTCATGGCCTCATTATAATGGCTTTTGAATTTTGCGATCTGTGAGCAATTCTACCATTTAGTTCTGTTGTCAAGTAGTGTATCGTTTATTGTTAGCAAGCTTAGCTCGGTCTGGAGCACTTTTTGGGTTACTGTCGCTGTTAACATCTGATAAACGCCGAAGGTTGAGTATGGGGATAAAAATCCCATTCAACAGAAAACCAGATTGCTAATAAAACGTTAACTGGAACAAATAATTTAAACCACTTATACTCTACACCGGGAGTTCAAAGTTTTTGTTCCGAAGACTTTCCGAAAATCTTCGAAGTCACGAGATTGATGTCCATCTCCTGACAATCAGAGCAGATATTATTATAGGTACATGGAATGTACCTTCATTGTCGGAAACTAGAAGAATTATTCAGTCAACAACATACATCAGTTTAAACTGCCATACCACGTAAGCACACAGAGATATAATTGTCAATTCGATTCCTGCAGTAGTAAAGTTGGTAGACGTATTAGCAATAATGGTGATCAAGGATCGAAGATATGATTCAAGAAGTATAAACTTCAAAAGAGAAAGACAAAAGTGATGCACAATTCAGAGAACTAAAAATTTAGAGAAGACAAACAATGGATGCATCTGAGCTATCGCAAACAATTTTAAGCCATATCATACAAAGTCTCTAACCATCCGATAACACCATCTCGCGGAAACCAACCAGATAGCGCTTACACCTATCAACATGGCACAGTCCACTTGTCAGTGACTTCATGGATGTATGCCCTTAGCTTCCTTCTAACCTATTCCTACAACAGGCATCACTGCTTGCTGAGGTGAACTACTGCGTAGTTCTTTGGTTATGGTAGGAAATTCATCGAATATCTTAAGAGAATTATTGCTCAACTCCTATTGGTTAATTCCTATTGGTCAATTTTATGGTCGTCTTAGATATCAATGTCACGTACTCCAATGTTATTTCTTATTGGTCGTCTGGACTGTCAATGTCATTTCAAATATTCTTTCGTATTGGTCGTCTTAACTGCCAATGTCACAGACTTCGATACTCTTTCCCATTCGACCTAACTGTATAAATACTCATTATCTGTAAAGCGTTTCATTCCGTTCCGTCCTGCCTTCCTCTCTACTCTGTACTCGACCCATTAAACAACTTCATCTAACGGTGTTATGTTCTGATACATAGGAGATTTGGGAATAGTATTTGGATAGAGAAATGAGAAGACATATTTTGTGAGATAGTGGTACCATTTCGTGCTTTCTCGTCAGTCACATACAAGCAACATGTTATTTGTGGAAATACAGTTTTGAAGATAAGGTCAAAATTTCTTATTTAGCATGACATTCACTCACTAGAACCACCATGGTAAACAAAGGTCAACATACAGTTGTTTTTGAACACATAAAGTTGGACTTTTCCGACCAATCAAGAGTAGTTTGAGTGTGTGTGGGCTTTGATTACATGTCACAACTCTAAAGGCTGATTTTGGGTCAATTTGATGACCATTCATCATTACATGTTTTGCAATGGACGAGGCTGGGTTCCTTCATCGATTTTGAGATGATGGGCTAGGTTGATGAAACATGGATTTGATTAGCCATTTTGGAATATGTTCCCCTATCCTGCCTTCCAATCGGCGATCTGTCCTCCCTAAGTTACTTTCTCCGCAGTTACATGTTTTTACACAAATAACATGTTGCTTGTATGTGACTGACGAGAAAGCACGAAATGGTACTCTATCTCACAAAATATGTCTTCTTATTTCTCTATTCAAATTTATCAAAGGGAACCACAGTTTTGAATAGTAGTTGGGTCGTATTGAAGAATATCTGGATTTGAATAGCTACGTAGCAGCATTAAAACAGGTTAGCCAGTCAGATGCAACGTAGAACGTCTTACGTAAGTACATCAGTTCATGTTACCACACCACATATTAGCACAGAGATGCAACTGTCAATTCAAATCCAATAGTGGTAGAGGTAGTAAAGGTATAAGAAGTAATCGGAGAGGTTAGGATTAAAAGATATTATTCAAGAAGTATGATTCAATGAGATAAGTTTAGAAAGACAAAACTAGAGATGTTGAAGAATCCAGAAGATTAGGATTTGAGAGAATACAAAGAAGAATAAATGCACCGGCGCCACTACAAACGGTTTTGAGCCATGTCATTCAGGGTCTCTAACCACCGATTATTATCATCTCACGGAGCCCAACCAGGTAGTAGTCGACAATTACCGACATGGCTAAGTCCATTCGTCAATGATTTCATGGATTTCTGCCATGTTTTGGTTTGGCCACCTTTACCTTCCTTCTAAACTATTCCCCTACAACAGGCATCACTACTTACCGAGATAAACTGCTGCGCAGTTCTTTGACTAGCCAGTGGATATATTCCAAATGAAGAAATAACACAAAATTGAACATTGAACATTGAATAATAATAATAATAATAATAATAATAATAATAAATGATGAAATAACCCCAAAAATCACTTACTTTATTCAACATTAATTTATCTAACAATAAAAGTAGACAATCTCTTTCTGATGCATAAATTGTACGATCTAATAAATACACCAGTAATGGTATATCTGTCACGCAGCCAATTTCTACATAACAACGATGATATACAATGGACATAGCATGTAAGCACAAGCAACGCATTGTAAGACGACGTAATGCATTATTATTGGATGTTTTCATACGAGGATTCAATGTACCATGTTGTAGAATTGAATAATCCTGTATTGCATAAAATGGATCCGAAGCGACATATTGTAGATAACGTCGGAATAATTCATTGAAGAATGCCGTGCTTGAAAAGGAGGATGATAGAAATAAGGGAATAAATCAATAATTCAATAGATATAAGGCAAAGGATGATTTGTTTAAACAAGATATCAGTCAGTCAGTCGGTCAGTCAATCAGCAAGTTGCAACGTAGAACTTCGTACATATGTATGTACATCAGTTCAGATTGCCATACCACATTAGCACACAGTGACGCAAATGTCAAATCAAATCTCATAGTGATAAACATAGTAGAGGTATTAATGGTAATGAAGAAGACTAGTGGATTTAAAGATAATATTCAAGAAGTATGATTCAGTGAGATAAGGTTAGAAAGACAAACGCATAGGTGCTGACGAATCCAGAAAATTAGGATTTGGGAGAACACAAAGAATAAATGCACCGGTGCCACTGCAAACGATTCTGAGCCATGTCATTATTCAAGGTCTCTAACCATTGATGACTATCGTCTCGCGGACACCAACCAGGTAGTCTACATCTACCAACATGACTCAGTCCACTAGTTAGTGAGTGACTTCAAGCATTTCTGCCATGTTTTGGTTTGGCCGCCCCTAGCTTTCTTCCAATCTACTCCTACACTACAAAACAGCTCTTCGAAGCAGTCGGTGGTTAGGCATTCATAACACATGTCTCAACCACCTCAACTGGTGAAGTTTCACCACTTCATCGATTGATCTGCCATTCTTACCTAGCACCCGATTCCTAATAACAGCGTTGCTCACTCGGATGTCCCACGATATACGAGCAATGCTTCTTAAACATCTATGATCGAATACTAGTAACCTACGAACATCTTCTACTCTCACTGGCCATGTTTCACAGCCATAAAGTAAGACGGAGCGAACTACTGCGCAGTACACTCGTCCTTTAGTCAGCAAACGGATATCTCGCCTACGCCATAAGTGACGCAGGTTGGCAAAAGCCAATCGAGCCTTCTGTATCCGTGCTGAGATTTCGTCAGTCACCAGGCCATCGGCATTGATGAGACTTCCAAAATAAGTGAAGCGGTCTACACGTTCGACTACTTCACTCCCTATCACTAGTTCAGGTGCCGATGCAACCGAGTCTTGAAGCAACATTTTGCATTTCGACGGGGGAAAACCGCATCCCGAACATGTTTGCATTGTTGCTTAGGGTGGTCAGAAGACTCTGCATTTTGTCAGCGTCTTCACCAAGTAGGACAATGTCATCGGCATATTCTAAGTCGATAAGCGAGCATCCTGGTAATAGGTAATAGGTCAACAGATGCTTTTCCTTATGCCTAAAGTTGGTGTTTGCTAAGAATAGGCGGTTATCTGAGCACAGTTGCAACAGACGGTCGCCATTATCTGTTCTCTCAGTCGCTACACCATAACATCCACCAAGATGTCTTTCCTTTTCACCTAGTCTACCTACTTGAGCATTAAAGTCACCAGCCATTATTACTATATCAGAGCGCCTAGCTTTTTGGAGGAGGTCCGAAAGCTTTCTGTAGAACTCATCTTTAACCTCGTCTGCACTGCAGTCAGTGGGGGCATTGGCAGAAATGACGAAGAGGCAACGGCGAGTGTCCTTATCCTTACGAGTCCTTACTGTCCCGTTTAGTCGGACAGCGCACAAACGAATATCCACCGGGATCCAGTCTAGGAGATATAATTCTGCCCTAGGACTCAACGCTATGCCTACGCCAGCAAGACCCCGGGAAGCAGCATCAGGGCTACCGGGTACACGAAGAGTGAATCAGACTTCTTCTTCGTTTTGACATGGTGGAATCAGGTTAATGACTTTACTAGTATCCTGTATGCGCGTTTCCGAGACGCAGCATACATCGATGGCACGAGTTTCTAAAGTCCTAGCTAATGATGCATGTTGCCCTATTTGACACAATGTCCGTACATTAAAGGCTCCAACATGTAGTCTAGAACGGGGTTTCAAGAGACCAGGAACGACGTTTCGTGATCTCGCTTCGTCTGCATTAGCGGTGCAGTGAGAAAAGGGAGTGTGAGTAGAGTTAGTTGTAGAGAGAAGAGAGGTATGCTTTGGTGTAGGAAGGATTTGATTTTGACCAAATTGTTCTCGCGCGCTGTTACGGGTATGAGGGCGGTTGTCACTTCCCGGCTGCCCACACCGTGGAAGGTTGTTTCTTGAGGGACCTGAAAAGGAAGATGGATTAGTGTTGGTGCGTGACCGCAGAGTCCAAGGGACAACTGCTTGAGGCCGGTCACGCACGGCCTTTTTAAGAAACGTTTTTTGAGGATTGGCTCCGTTCTTAAAGGCCCTTAGTGGGCACCCTTACCCAAGGAGACGGAAATCCGTGAGTTAGGGGGAGTGTGACATTTTTAGGGCCGACCTTTTCTAACCCTTCCTTCCTTTTGAGAAGGCAGCATCGCTGCAGATGCTGGTTGTCCGAGGGAAACACCTTACTGCTGTCACACCCCTCTGCAGTCAGCAGTACGACTTCGCCCTCAGACCTTGGGTAGCTGCTTTTAGTCTCATCGTTCTCCAATCGACCAGCCTGGCATGGTAGGACCTGCAGGAACATATGTTTCAGCCAGTATAGCTCGGTTGGGTCATCACGATAGGCAAGCCCGACCACCACGTCAAGGTAGCAGCTTCGGTCGGGAATGGAGGTACAGGGTGGTAAAGGAATGTGAGAAGAGTTAATCGTGGATATAAAAGAGATGTTAGGGGTGTAGGAAGGATTTGATTATGACCGATTCGGTCTTCCATGCTGTTACGCGTATGACTGCGGTTGTCACTTTCCGGCTGCCCACACAGTGGAAGGTTGTTTCTTGAGGGACCTGAAAAGGAAGGTAGATTAGTGCCGATCTTCGAGACCTGTGAGTGTGACCGCAGAGACCAAGGGACAACTGCTTCAGGCCGGTCACGCACGGCCTTTTTATGAAACGTTTTTTGAGGATTAGCTCCGTTCTTAAAGGCCCTTAGTGGGCACCCTTACCCAAGGGGACGGAAATCCGTGAAACAAGGTGAGGTGTAACATTTTTAGGGCCGACATTTTCTAACCCTTCCTTCCTTGTGAGAAGGCAGCATCCCTGCTGATGCTGGTTGTTCGAGGGAAACACCTTACTGCTGTCACACCCCTCTACAGTCAGTCAGCAATACGACTTCGCCCTCAGACGTTGAGTAGCTGTTATTAGTCTCATCGTTCTCCAATCGACCTGCCTGGCATGGTAGAACCTACAGACACATATGTTGCAGCCAATATAGCTCGGTTGGGTCATGATGATAGCCAAGCCCGACCACCACGTCAAGGTAGCAGCTACGGTCGAGGACTAAATATAGACGATACGCTTTTCATTCTCACAATTCGATAAACAACACAATCGCCACTCGATTGCAAAGAGTACAGCTTCTCTCCATTAGTCAATTAATTTGCATAACCATGTGAGAATATTTTAAGACAGAGAAAGCGAGTGAATTCATGCCACTTTTAACCTATTCCAAGAAATTCGGAGGGCTGGCTTTCATCACTGTACAACATCAACAACGCCCAGATAACGGCCATCCATCGTCCCGACGTGTGGCTTCACGGCATTTATAAACTGATATGAATAATACAAGCTAACCGTTAACAAACATAGAGATCTCGATTATATATATTGTTAGGATATTCACCAAATATCCTAAGAATATTATTTTTAGAAGTACAATCCTATTGGTCGATTCCTATTGGCCGAAATTGTGATCGTTCTAACCGTCAAGGTCAAATACTTCAATGTTGCCTCTTATTGGTCATCTGGACTGTCAATGTCATTCAAATGTTCTTTTCTATTGGTCGTCCTAAACTGTCAATGTCACAGACGTTGATGCTCTTTCTTATTCGACCTTAGTGTATAAATACGCACTATCTGAAAGACTTAATAATTCCGTTTCTCCTGCCCACCTCTCTCTTCTGTATTGGACCCAATAAACAATTACATCTCACAGTGTTGCGTTCTGATATCTAGGAGATTTGGAAATAGCATTTTGGGTCGTATTAGGATATTTGCATTGGACGCCGCTAGGACTGAATAGCAATACGTAGCAGCGTTACAACATATATATATATATATATATATATATATATATATATATATATATATATTCTACTTACCTATCACGAATACGTGACAAACCAACCGATGGAATATTCATTGTACGTGTACTATTATTCAATGTAGTTGCTTCAATCACTTCATTTGCATGACGATCTTCTTCAAGTAATAAACGTAGAAAATAATTACCAACACGTGGTTCTTCAATTAAACTTGGATAATTCACTTTAAATTCTTTATAATTCCATGAAACAAGACTTGCCTAAATATACAGAAGAAATAACAACAAAGTAATAGAGTGAAAAGGAAAGCATAACAAAATGAAATATGCATGAATGTGTCAAGTTTACACAATTAGACATATTGACCTTTAATTGGGTTTATGGTCATTTAACGTTAGATTTCATAGGAGAACACAAAGGAGACTGCCCACGTGTGATTACTACAACGTGAACAGTTCGACTGAATCCCATGGTGCGACCACCACCACCATATAGGTAGGTACCTGACACACTGGTCGACCATTCACACCATTTATATACACTGAAACATATGTAGTGATTATTTCCGGGATCATTTCCATGATCGTGTCGTCAATCAATTTACGCAGTATGATGAACAGGTCAATTTGTCTGACCCCGCTTACATGACTGTCACAAACTTATCATTATTATTACTATTATTAGCAATGGTGATATGCAATACAGCGCATTCGAATGACAATGGACCTCGAGGAATGTTAGAAGATAACCAACCACCAGTATCAATGAAATCGGTCACGCTGCTAAACAAATTTGTTAATCGAGACTGTCAAGCCATTCATAATGTTCACCACAACGAACCTCTGGTCTTACAGGAAACGTTCAGTTCTCTATAAAGCGATATACCTTATGGTATACACATATACTCTATCAGCAACAACCTACTGTGAGAAAGAACAAACCAGATTCCAGTGGAGGAGGAGGAAATCAGAAAGAAGCGGTGGAAGTGGATAGGACACACACTGCGGAAAGCACCTAACTGCGTCACAAGACAAGCCCTCATATGGAACCCTCAAGGTTAAGGGAAAAAAGGAAGGCCAAGGAACAAATTACGCCCAGAAATCAAGAAAGACATGAGAAGAATGAAAAAACATTCGACAGAATTGGAAAAAGATGCCTAGGACAGAGTAGGTTGGAGAAAACTGGTGGACGGCCTATGCTCCATTGGGGGTAACAGGTGTAATCGGATCGATCGATCGATCGGATACACATAGGATTGCAACAGATTCAGCTCCACATTATGCGAATGAGTTCAAACACTCTTATTAGCCGTTTGTATCGACTCCTGTCACAGGAAGTCGATAAAAAATAGTACTGAGTCCCGGTGGTAATGTATACCCAGTTCAAATATATATTCGGTAACACATTTCAATGAACTCATAACATCATAATAAACAAAAGTACTTTCAAATATGCATTGATAACATTTGCAAAACAATTATGAGCATAAGAGTAAAGTATGATGGAATATCTTCTCTTTTTTATGTAATTATGAAGATTGATGTTTTACATTGACGTCGTCTCATACCCAAGACGAAATGGCTGTCTTTCAGTGATTCCAGATTTACAGTACTGGTCTAAATGATGATTGATTCACGATCATGAATATCGGTAGAGTAGACAAGAGTAAAAACGTTGTCGATCGCTGAAATAATTATTTGATATTTGTAATAAATTTTGTTATATGAGACTGGTTTACAACACACGTATACTTCATTAATGTCGGTCCAACAATCTTATATATTCTGATTAGCATAAGAGTAGTAGAGTACGCGTTACACATCCAAGTAAACAAGGTCAATTTGATATGCCTGAATTATAACGAGTTTACCTTAGTCAGTCAGTCATGCAAAGTAGAACTTCGTACGTAACTACATCAGTTCATGTTGCCATACCACATCATCAGAGAGATGCAACTGTCAATTCAAATCCAATAGTAGAAGAGGTAGTAGTAAAGGTATTAGAAGTAATCTGAGAGGTTAGGATGAGAAGATATTATTCAAGAAGTATGATGATTCAGTGAGAAAAGTTTAGAAAGTCAAAACTAGAGGTGTTGAAGAATCGAGAAGATTAGGATTTCAGAGAACACAAAGAATAAATGCACCGGTGCCATTGCAAACGGTTTTGAGCCATGTCATTCAGGGTCGCACGTACGTACATACATCAGATCAGGTTGCTATACTACATTAGCACATAGACCCAATTATCAATTCAAATCTCATAGTAGTAGAGGTAGTAGAAGTATGAGAGCAGTAACAGGAAAGATTAGGGTGAAATAAATTTAGAAAGAGACAGATAGAGGTGATTAGGAATGCTTGCAAGACACCTATGATCGAAAACCAGTAACCGACGAATATCTTCCACTCTCACTGGCCAGGTTCCACAGCCATAAAGTAAGACGGAGCGAACTTTACCTTAGTCGGAAAACGACAGCGAGGATCCGGTGAAACGACTTGCCACTCTAATCCGATTTTCCCAGCCCCCCCCCCCATTGAGTAAGAGAAGAAGGCTTGATATGAAGTAGAATCTGAATTTTACATGCATCTAGAAAGTACGAGATCCGAGTCTAGAAGAGAATCAGGATCCCGGATTAGGGATCCGGGTCCGTGCCAGAGTCATAAAACGTTACACATAATGCGTATTTATACAGTTAGGTCGAATCGGGGAACAACATTGAAGTACGTGACACGGATAGCTAGGACGACCACAATATGGACCAATGGGAATCGGCAAATAGAATTTACACTTACAAAGTGATTCTTCGTAGGATATTTGGTGAATATCCTAACAGTATCAATCTATAAAGTATTTGTCTGTTACATTGATCCATGATTTAGTCTAATGATATAAAAACTGTTTTAAAAAAAAAAACAGTTAATATCCTCCGATACTAGCGTAAGATGTATAAAGGCTGTGAATTCTGTCTGACATGCGTTAGATTCAGATATGAATGCATTCCAACACACTAACCTCCCCTTCAAATCCTCCCCATGAAATGAGTACTTGGAGGAGGAGAGAAGCGTATGGAGTAAAATATATCTGACTACCAAATAACAAATGCAAATACTTATTTATATATACACACATTCCTCCTCATCCTCCTACTCCTCAGAGTATGAATCTACTTCTTGACCAATGATATGCATTTGTCCTTCAAGGACACTTCTAGCTGTCGTCAAATGACCTTCACATTTATTTGCTTCTGATTGGTTGATTATACATAATAAATACACCACTAACATAACTGGAATAATTATATTGCAGAATAAATAAAATTGCTCAAATGATTTTTTCTCAATCATGAATTTTTGATCGCTCAAGATTCGACTCCCATTATATTCTTCATCTAAATTTCTGGATTGAACTGGATTTATCCGACAACGCTAATAAGAAGCCAAACCAGTATTTAGTTAGACGTAGACAGACATGATGATAAAAAGTTAGAAAGAGAAGTGGAGAGGGCGAGCTAACACAATCTAAAAAGGTATGACTACAGCTATTCATAGTAATCAGATAAAACTAAGCACATACACACACACCGCTAAAAAAAGCAACCACGTTCGTCAGCGAATAAAACGACAAGCTTAATAACCATGTGAATAGAATAACTCAGACAGACAAATAGGTGAATGAGTTTGTCTTTAAAAAGAAAAAAAACCTCTAGAATTAGCCATGTCGATGGCTTCAACATCAATTGTACATCATACCTGATTAATGAGTCGATCTGCTTGCATTCTAGTCGGACTCATTGATACACGTGTTCTTCGACTATTGGTGAGATTAGATGATTGGGATGAATGTTGTGAGAAATTTCGCTCATTCGATTGATTGGATTGATTGAATGACAAACGTGCAGTAGTAGTAGTAGTAGTAGTAGTAGTAGTAGTATCGCTATCAACATTAGACAGTTGACGCGAATCAGTAGTCATTGGAGAGGATAATTGTGAATTGGATACATTTTCATGATTGCTTCCGACATCATGATTACTATGATTACTAATATCTGGTGTACTTTGTGCTTTATTGATTAAACCACCAGCACCACCACCAATGGGGATTGTACGTTGTTCCGGTTGACCAGCAGCACCAACTGGTTCAGATCGTATGAAATCCGGTGAATCAGATTCTTCTAAACGACTTTGTGCAAAATAATTACGTTCTTGTTGAAATTCTTGTAATTCTTTTTCAATTGATTCACGTAATTCATTTCTAGTCTGTTTGTTTGTTTATTAAGAAGAAAAGAGAGGGAAATAAGAATTTGAAAGTTTGAAAAAAAAACAGTACAACAAAGACTACATATATTTACAAACTGTTACAAATGCACGTAAGCACGCCAATTTGAAATGCTTGAACTCTAATATTACGAGTTTACCTTAGTCGGAAAATGAGAGCGAGGATCAAGGATCTGGTGACACCACAGCCTACTCTAATCCGACTGCCCAGCTCCCCCCCATTCAGTCAAAGAAGAAGACTTGATATGAAGTATAATATATATTCTACAAGCATCCAGAAAGTACGCGGCCCGAGTACAGATGAGAATCACAATCCCGGTTCATAAAATGTTACAGATAATGCGTATTTATACAGTTAGGTCGAATTGCGGAACAACATTGAAGTCTGTGACATTGACAGACCATAATATTGACCAGTAGAAATTAACCAATAGGAATTGATCAATAGAACTAAACTTACAAATAATTTATCTTAGGATATTGGACCAATATCCTAACAGAAACATAATACAGATTTGTTCAACGAACAGTATCAATAAAGAATGGATTGAAGTATGCAAATAAAAAGTTCAACATGGGTTATCGGTGTCTTAGATGCATTGCCCATATATCCTGGGACCAACCAGTAAGCAATGTTGCTATTAGTAAACAGGTACAAGGCAAGTAGAATGGTGAAGTACTGGAATCTTCATCAGTTGAAATGGTTGTGGACATGTGCGATGACACATGTCGAAGTACCGACTGGCACGGCGAGTGACGATGCCTGGTGTAGGCGTAGGTTTGAAGAAAGCTAGGGGTGGACAAACCAAAACGTGGCACAAATCCAAGAAATCACCGACAAGTGGGCTGGGTCGTATTGTTAGATGTCGACTACCTGGTTGGGGCCCGCAAGATGATAGTAATCGATCGCTATATACTTTGTATGACATGGATCAAAATCATTTGCAATGTCTCAGATGCATCCATTCATTGTATTCTCTCAAATCCTAATCGACAGAATTCCTCATGGCCGTTTTCTCACTCTTTCTTTATCTTTTTATCTGATTCCTCTGAGATATACAACTCAAATGATTTCGTCGATCATTAATCTTTTAAATTTTCCCCAATACTTCTACTGCATCTACCAATATGGGATTTCAATTAACAATTCCATTCTTTCTGTTTGCTAATATAGTATGGCAACTTGGACTGATGTACGTACGTACGTACATACAAAGCTCCAAGTTACAGCTGACTGACAGTTTGTGAGTCAAATGATTATTGAAAAAATACTCCTTTGTAGACTTATACAGATCACCTCTAGAAAATATTCTCCAACTAGGCAAACTTTTGAATATCGTACATTGAGAGCACAATTTACTATATGAACGACATGTTGAATTAGAGTTGACTAATTTTCATTTATATCGACATAAAGATTTGTAAGAAGAAAGATAGAGATTACGAGGAATTCAAAAGGTTAGAATCTTGACAGAACACAAAGAATAAATGCACCGGCGCCATTGCGAACGATTCTGAGCCATGTCGTTCAATGTCTCTAACCATTGGTGACTATCGTCTCGCATACCCCAACCAGGTAGTCTACATCTACGAACATGTCGCCTCAGTCTACTTGTCAGTGACTTCATGTATCACTGTCATGTTTTGGTTTGGCCGCCCCTAGCTTTCTTCAAACCGATTCCTACACTACAAAACAAAGCTAGTCGAGGCAGTCGGTGGTTAGGCGTACGTAACACATGTCCCAACCATCTCAACTGATGAAGTTTCATTACTTCATCTATTGATTTGCCATCCTAACCTAGTACTCGTTTCATAACGATAACACTGCTTACTCGGTTGTCACATGATATACGAGCAATGCTTCTAAGACATCTATGATCGAATACTAGTAACCTATGAACATCTTCTACTCTTAACGGAAAAGTCTCCGATCCGTACAGTAGGACGAAGCGAACTGCTGCACAGTAAACTCGTCCTTCGGTTAGCAAGCGAAAATCTCGCCAGCGCCATAGGCGACGCACGTTGGCAAAAGCCAATCGAGACTTCTGAAAGTGGTTAAACATTCGTACGTGGTACCGAATAAATGAGTACGACTTTCCGTCACGAGGTCATGAGGATATGCTTATATCAGGAATCTTCACAATCTATCTCTCTCTCCCACTCTCTTACTTTTTACTAACAAATTGTACTATGATATGTGAATCAGTAATAAGTGGCACCGAAAACTACACATAATACAGCATTAGTTCATGGTATTAATATTAACTTACTCGTACAGTCCAAATTAGATCAGCCTTAGCATGATCTTGTTGAAATTGATAGAAAAATAAACGCCAATTATTATTGATCGGTTTAGAATGATTAGTTGTACCATCATTAAGACGTAATGATTGTAATAAATGACGTGGTCGTCGCAATACAACAGGACGTTCTTCAGCTTCTTTCAAATGAGTTGGTTTGTTATTCTTAGAAAAATTAACAAAAAAGGGAATCGAATCGATAGCGCTCATCGGGAAGCACGAAAAAGATTGACAAATTTACATTAGATTGTTATTATAGAGAGTATTAATGTGTTTTGACATAATTAGTTATGTAATGCATAAGCCTTTGCAAAAAGAATGATTAATGGTCAGTCATCTACAAAAAACAAGAACTTCGTACGTACATACGTCAGTGCAAGTTGTCATACCATATTAGCACACAGAGAGATTTAAATCTTTATTCAAATCTTATAGTGGTAAATGCAGTAGGACCACAAGAGGTAGCTGCAACTTTTTGTGGTGGTGGTCGGGCTTGCCTATCATGATAAGCTCAACGGAACTATATTGGATGGAACATACGTTACTGTAAGTTCTGCCATGCCAGGCAGATTGATTGGAGAACGATGAGACTAAAAGCAGAAACTCAGAGTCTGTGGGCGAAGTTGAACTTCTAACTGTAGAGACGTGTGTCAACAGTAAGATGTTTCCTTCGGACGACTAGCATCTGCAGCGACGCTGCCTTCTCAAAAGGAAAGAAGAAATTAGAAAAGGTCTATCCTAAATTATCGGACCTCACGCTACCCCATGTTCGTTAAGACTTACTGACTCAACATCCTTCTCAGATACCTCATGAAGAAATAACTTTCGGTGTTGTGTGCAACAAGGTGAAGACAGCCCTCACAACTCCAATCATACTCAAAGTTCTTTTCTTCGCTATCAAATCTCTCCATCATTCGATAATCTTTATATTTAAGTTATAAAACTTTCTCTTATGACTGACTGACAGACGTCAGTTAACAAATTGCCAAATAAAGTAGACTATATGACAACGGCAGTAAGGCCAGTTGAAGAGCGGAGCCGACACTTCAAAATCTTCCCATAAGAAAGCTGTGCGTGATCGGCCTCAATCAGTTGTCCTTTGTGCTCTGCGGTCACACCCCCCTAGATCGCTAAGACCAACAAAAACCCAACTTCTTTTTCAGGTTCCTCAAGAAACATTCTTCCAAAGTGTGGGCAACTGCGAAGTGACATCCGCCCTCATAGTTGTAACAACATACGAGATCAAGCAGTTAACAATCGAATGACCAGTATGATCCAGAATAATGTAAATGATCATTGATCATCGGTTTGAAATCATAGTTTTTCAACTCTCTCAGGTGGAACTCTAGTATACACCGACCTAGTTTAAACCCTGGTTTGCATTCCGTCCTATCGATTTCGTAAACACCACACCAACGCGGGAAGTTAGTGAGTAGAACTACCCTATCAATGGTTCAATGTGCATAGTCATATGATAGAATTTCCAGAAGGAAATCGGATACGCCTCACACTCTCGGCATCTAGGCGGAAAAATGTACAATTACATCTGTTTATGATGTCAACACTGAGAACTGAACCCAGAATTGTGCGTTTCTAACCGGTTACATGAACATACATGTAATACAGGTTGTGTCAGAAAAGAAATTACACAGTGAAAACTACATAACAAAAATACACAGTAAGAAATACAATGATAACAACGACTGCTTTTTTCCTAATTACTGGATACAAGTAATCATATGTACATTGAACTACAAACTATATCCTTTGGTATTCTGTTTATAGCCATCTCATTAATATACATTATAAGTTTGTGGCAATTGTTGAATTACTGCATTGATATCATGAATTGATCAATGTCAGACAAACCTGGGAGCACTAGACGACAAGTTCACCCTAGTATGAGACTCATTAGCAGAGCGTATCCATAACTTTCGCTACTCGAACTGTAGCGAAGGAGGACAAAGGTGAGGGCAACCGAATTGAATAAATCGCAAATTACAGAGAAAGGTGGGAAAATAGGAAAACCATATCGTAAACCGTTAATTTGCAAAATATCAGTTCATCATATCGAACTGGACTGTTCCTGTTGCAAAACATCAATCCATTGTATGACATTTCACTTATTCATGCGTTTCATACAAATTCCATTGTGTTCCCCCAACTCTTTCTTTCTTGATCTTCCTGCATCTTCTGCTGCCAGACATTACGTTTACACTCGCGTCATAGACTACTTATAAGAAGCGCGCACTACAGTATGATTCGAAACCAAGACCTTTGGTCTTGTGCTCGAACGCTTAACCTTCAAACCATTGCTTGAAACTAGACATTCACACCGTTAGATGACAGTTCAGTGACTTAGCAGTTAAGCATTTGAGTGCAAGATCACAGGGTTCGAATCCTGCGAGTAACAGGAGTCGTGGATGCGCACTGCTGATAAGTCCTATACAAGGAAGAAACAGAGATCTTTCAATGTTTTCCGACTTCAAACGCTGGTCTAACATTGATCAATTCATGATACCAAACATCTCATAAAACACTGAACTAATATAGATTGAATACTCTACATAATTGTTGTACAATAACTTACCAATATTTTCGGTATAGGCAAACCAACACGTAAACGCCAATGTGTTAACAGATCATCAATTTTTGATTCTAATTGATAAGAAATAGTTTGTTTACGTTCTTCAATACGCATCAAATGCTCCTGAATTGATGAAGGAGACAGACATAGAGAGAGAGAGAGAGAAAGATAGGAAAAGTAAGAAGAAAGGAATAAGTGTAGGGAAAAAATACCGATGGACATTTATAATGACAGAATAGTATGAAGGGTATCATGTTTGTTAAGAGTGATTTATCATCTTATTTAAAAACAATGATAGATAGACAGACAGACACAACACAGAACTTCGTATGTAATAAGTATATCAGTTCAGGTTGCCATACCACATCAGCACAGAGACCCAATTGTCAGTTCAAATCACATAGTGGTAGTGATAGTAGAAGTATTAGCAGTAAAGGAGAAGATTAGGGTATAATTAATTCAGTGAGATAAATTTAGAAAGAGAAGGGTGGAGTTGATGAGGAATTCAGCAGGTTAGAATTAGAGAGAACACAAAGAGTGGATGCGCTTGCGCCACTGCAAACGATTTTGAGTTATGTCATTCAAGGTCTCTAACCATTGGTGACTTTCGACTCGCGGACCCCAAACAGGTAGCCTACGTCTACCAACATGTCCCCTCAGTCCACTTCATGCATTTCTGCCATGTTTTGATCTGGCCACCCACAGCTTTCTTCCAACCTATTACCACACCACAAAACATAGCACATCGAGGTAGTCAGTGGTTAGGCATAAATAATGAATTGTTTGGTGTATAAAGAGCTAGTGACAACCAAACTAAGACAATGACAGAAATCCATGAAGTCATTGACAAGTGGACTGAGGAGACATGCTGGTAGATGAGAAACAATCGGAACCATTGGTTAGAGATCCTGAATGAAATGGCTCAAAATCGTTTGCAAGAATGCAGTTACATCCACTATTTCTATTATCTGAAATTCTAATCCTCTTAATTACTCATCACCTCAATCTTTCTTCTTCTAAAGTTATCTCACTGAATTATACTTTTCCAACCATATCTTCGAACCCTAATCTTCTCCACTATCGTTGATACTTATACTATTTCTAACACTATGTGGTTTTTAACTGACAATTGCGCCTCTGTGCTAATGCGGTATGGCAACCTGAACTGACGTACGTACGTACCAAATTCAACACTGCAGTTGACTGAATGACTAAATGTTCTGGTTAATGACATTTTTGAATGAACCTTTTTCAGTTCAACTTTTCTAATGAATTCTTTATTGTTTTATAACTTATTTAGGGGGAGAATGATTCATTCAATATTTCTAAATGCACACTTATTTGAAAGATTACAAAGTAATCATTTAACGAATAACCTTTCATCGTGAACTAAATTTGATATGCTTGCAGCTACTACGAGTTCACTTTACTTGGTAAACAAAACGAAGATCAACGATGCAGTGACAGGATAGGCTATTCTAACCTGACTGTCCCACGCCACGTTAACTAAAGGAAGAAGTCTTGATAAGACCTAAACAGGGTGTATTCACAAGCATCCAGAAAATACAAGGTCCACAAGAATACAACTCAAGCTTATTTAAACAAATGATAAAACGCGTACTAAAATAATCTGTCAACCAATGACCATCAAGGATTTTCTCAGTGGAAAATGTAAGCTAAAGCTCGACTAAACGTCTTTGGCGCAAAACGCGAAAATTCAATAATTCAGAAATAAATTACAAAATCAGGACATTTTCCAAGTGAGTTCTGTGGATTTAGCGTCCTAACCAAAATTTAAAAAAACATAAGTTGATAAACTGACTTCAATTTTTTCAAAAAAAACAGTTTTTATCCTTGTTTCAAGATTTTTAACAATGTGTACTTATGGCCTAGTGACTAGTACTGTCACTACTACTATTATTAATTGAAATGAAAACCCTATATTTTTTCTTATGTCTCAAACGTATTCATTCGCAGATGTAGTAAGCGTAAGGATCAATGGTTTCCAACGAAGATATAATCCTTAGCTTGTATTCTCTCACTTTTGTTGTTTTCAAAGTTTTGTATTTAATAAAGTGTTTTCAGTGAAATTATTTTAGTAGATGTTATCCTCGTCACTTCATATGCTTGAAACTATTACGTATTCACCTTAGTCGATAAACGCGAACGTGACAATGACCCAATGACACGGTAGATGACTCTGATCCGTTGACCCAAAGGAACTGACGAAAAAGTCTCAATATAACGTAGAAACTGTATTCTACAAACAAACCAACAAGCACAATGAACTCAAACACACTAATCGTGTTTATTTATACATCATAGAAACGTCCTAGGGAGAGTCATAAAAATAGCACACTAAAATAACACAGTAACCAATCACAGCCAATGATTTTCCTAGTGGGAAATATGATCTCAAGGTCAACTGATCACCCCATGAAATAAATCCAAAATACAGACATTTACCAGGCGAGTTCTGTAGATCTACCGTCCCGAACAGTAGAACAGATAGTTTGTAATAAGTTTTCTTTTTCAGGATTCATAAAGAAAGGAAATCGTTTCTTTTTAAATGTTGTCATTGCACTACGATATACAATGATGAGAGGAAGTTGATTCTATCTAGAGAACATGTTCTCAAAAAAGCGGTATATTTATAATCTTTTCTTCTCGGCAAGCACCACACGCTACTTAAACACAATATCAATATTTATGAAAGTGTTTAATAACTGTAATAAACACGAAATAGGGTTTTTCAATTTAGTGACCCAAGAGACTTGACTCGAGTTTAGACGAATGAAAATAATTATTCTTATTGACGTATAATATTGTATTTAGACAAACCTCGTTTTTATGACGGTAGTAATAAGAAGAAGCAGATGAATTTATTTACGCAAACAAACCGGAGAATGAAAAGCTTTCAAGCAAACTGAAGGGGGAAACTGGAGAAGGTGAAGGAGTTAACTCGAATGCGCTGAAACATGATTAGGTATTTGATTAGTCAGACATATAATGAGCAAAGTAAGCACGCATACACAATGAAATATATATATATATATATATATATATAACCGATGAATAGACACACGGTCAAAAGTTGAGTGAATATCAGTCAGTCAGATGCAACGTAGAACTTTGTACATGAGTAAATAAGTTCAGGATGTCATACCGCATTAGCACAGAGACGCAACTGTCGGTTGAAATCACGTAGTGGTTGAGATAACTGAAGTCTTAGCAGTTACGGAGAAGATTAGGGTTCGGAGAGATGATTCAAGAAGTATAATTCAGTGAGATATGGTTAGAAAGACAAAAAACTAGAGGTGTTGAATAATCCAGAAGATTATCATTTGAGAGAACACAAAGAATGGATGCAACTGTGCCATTCCAAATGATTTTGAGCCATGTCATTCAAGGTCGCTAACCAATGGTTCCGATTGTCTCGCGGACCCCAACCAGATAGCCTACATCTACCAACATGACTCAGTACACTTGTCAATGACTTCATAGATTTCTGTCATGTTTCGGTTTGGCCGCCCCTAACTTTCTTCCAACCTACCCCTACACCACAAAACATAGCTCGTCGAGGCAGTCGGTGGTTAGGCATTCGTAACACATGTCCCAAACACCTCAACTGATGAAGTTTCAGCACTTCATCTATTGATCTGCCATTCTTACCTAGCACCCGATTCCTATTAACAGCGTTGCTCACTCGGTTGTCCCACGATATACGAGCAATGCTTCGAAGTCACCGATGATCGAAAACCAATAACCGACGAATATCTTCTACTCTTACTGGCCATGTTTCACAGTCATAAAGTAAGACGGAGCGAACCACTGCACAGTACACTCGTCCTTTAGTCAGCAAACGGATATCATTCAAGGTCTCTAACCACCGGTTACTATTGTCTCGCAGACCTTAACCAGGTAGTCTACACCTACCAGTCCAATTGTAAGTGACTTCATAGATGTGTGCCATGTTTTGCTTTGGAGGAAAAAGACTAGGGGCGACTAGATCAAAAGATAGATACACACACTTACATGAGCTAATTGTAAATTATCACGATCTGGTAACATATTGATAAGTTTCACAGGAGGTTCATCTGTCGATTCTAAAAATGACAATAAACCTAATGGCTGAAATTCAGAAAGAGTAAAAAAATGAGAATAAAAAAATTCGATGATATAAAACTACTTGAAAAGTGTATTAAAGTAGTATGTACTGTGATAGTAGGGTCAAGAAACAAATCATAGCGGGATATAATTAAAATAAAAGTAGAGCTCAATGACAACTATTTCAAATGGTCTGAATACATCGATCAGGTAGTATCATACATCAGAATGACTGTATGCATTTAGACACGATTATTATTGATACAACTGAGCCTTGTTATATTTATGCATCACACAGAATAATGAATTTGTAAGAGTTGAAATAATAATTTCCCAAGTGCCAAGACCACACAGCAGTAGTAGGCAGTTTTCTTAGGACAGCCTTTTTGAAGCTAAAGGACTAATCCACAAGGTAGTGGAGCAATGTTAGGAGATGCAGTTGTTCTAGGATAGCTGGTGACCCTACAATAAGTTCTTACATCACTTATTCCTTGAAGATTTTGTAGTCCATGTGCATCATTGTAGTTTACAATGAGTGTCTTCTAACCACCGACCCAGTAAAAGACTTGTCCGGATATTCGATTTTCTTTTATTGAATTTCACAAACAAGAGCCTCCACATTTCCATATAAAACCATTACGGGTAGAAAGGACTTGATTTTGACCGATCTGGTCTGAGGGCGGTTGTCACTTCCCGGCCGCCCACACCGTGGAACATTGTTTCTTGAAGGACCTGAAAAGGAAGATAGATTAGTGTTGGTCTTAGAGACCTGGGAACGTGACCGCAGAGTTCAAGGGACAACTGCTTGAGGTCGGTCACAAACGGCATTTCTATGATGAGTTTCTTGAGTGTTAGCTCTGCTCTTCAAAGCTCTTATTGGACAGCCCTTACCGACGGAGACGGAAATCCGTGCAACAAGGTGAGTTGTGACATTTTTAGGGTCGACCTGTTCTAACCCCTTCCTTCTCATTCTCAGCCATACACACAATATCAAATCACTGACACTGGTGACCGCAATGTGAACTGAATAATGCAAATCGATAAGTAAACAACCATGGGATATTGGGCATTTACTCAATGATACATAAAAAGTATCATGTACGTACATACGTACCAAGTACTATGTTGCAAGTGAATCACTGACTAACTTAATATTTTGATGAGGTGAATCAGACTTCTTCGTTTCACATTTTTATCATCTGCATGTTGAAATCAACGTACGAAATAATACACTTATATTCAACTTTCCGTGCCGTTATTAACAAGATTTGTTAGAAAGAGCTTACACAGTTAATAAACAGAGCTAAATAGAAAGCAGCCAAATGATAACGCGATTTGATGACGATCATCACAAAATATCCTCAAAGGATGAATGAATATCATTTGTCATGAGATGGATTCATTTTCTACGGGGAAGTAAATTTTGTATGTTTGATTATTTAATAGCCGAAAAGATTTTTTTACTTACTCTCATGGCTTCTCGCTTAAATAGTTAGCTTGAGGTGGATGATTGGCACGTATCACACATACAGATCTTATACATCGAACACATTATAACAATCCAATATATATATTGGTCGTAGCAGCTACCTTGACGTTGAACTTGCCTATTGTGATGAACCAACCGAGCTAAACTGGCTGCAACATATGTTCCTTTAGGTCCTACCGTGCCAGACAGGTCGACTGGAGAACGATGAGACTAGGAGCAGTGACTGAAGGTCCGAGGGCAAAGTCGTACTACTGACTGTAGAAAGGTGTGACAGTAGTAAGGTGTTTCCCTCGGACAACCAGCATCTGCAGCGTTGCTACCTTCTCACAATGGAAGGAAGGCTTTAGAAAACGTTGACCGTAAATATATCACAGCTCACCTTACCCCATGGATATCTATCTCTGACGATAAGGCAGATCTAACACTTTAAACTGTTCTCATAAGAAAGCTATGCGAGACCGGCCTCAAGTAGTTGTCCCTTTAGCTCTGAGGTCACATTCCCCGGTTGCTAAGACGTCGCTTTCAGCCTTCTCAAGAAATACTGTTCCACGGTGTGAGCAACCGGGAAGCGACATCCGCCAACATACTTGTAACAGTAAACGAGTTTAAACTAGTCACAAACATATTTATATATTTATATATTCTAATCATAAAATATAAGCAAACACCATAACTTACAAGCATTCGTTTAAATAAATCCCATGCATCGGGATTATTTTCAGACCATAATGCAACTAGTTGACGACTAAGCTGCCTTGTTCACCACCCATGGTCAATCGAATACAATTAGTTAGTTAGTTCAAGTGATAAATATAGATATAAGGACAAGAAAATACATTTGAAAAAATAAGGTCAGTTAATTGGTAATACCAGCAGTTATGTAGAAAGAATAAAAGACACATACGATAAAAATTAGTGAAATGTCATAAAACATGAAATGGTTAACATTTTACAGAAAGTTAGTTTAATACGGGATAGGATAGCTGAACCTATAAAAACTTACTTACTTACTTACTTTCGCCTGTTACCCCCAATGGAGCATAGGCCGCCGACCAGTTTTCTCCAACCAACTCTGTCTGTCCTGGGCTTCCTTATCTAATTCTGTCCAATTTTTGTTCGATCCGCTCATGACCCTATAAAAAGCGTTCTGCTTTATCCGGGCTTGGGATTAGTGGGAATCCTAGAAAGATTCTAGGAGCAGAGGTGGATAGGACAGATATTGTAGAAGGAACGCAACTGCACTACTAGCAGTAATCCTTGAACCAAGAAACCTCAAGGTCGAAGGAGAAGAGGCAGACCACAGAACTAAATTTGTGTCGAGAATCGGAGACAGACAAGAAAACAATGAATAGCAATGGAGTGGAACTGGAAAGGCTCACGGCAGAATTGGTTGGACAATACTGACCAATGGCCTACGCTCCATTGGGCGGTGACAGGCTTAGGCTTGAACATATTAAGGGGGGGGAAGAAAAAAAATGCTTTGCAACATATGACAGTAATGATTTGTAATTTTTTCAGCGTTGAAATTCACAACTTTCATTGATCAATCTTTATTGTTATTAGTTCATATTGTACAGATTTTTTTTCGATAATAATCTAAGTTTTAGAATCGGAATGGAAGTGACAATCATCATTTGTACTTAGATACACTGTAGCGTTGGTTTTCTAACTGGTAAACGAACCCCATATCGCTCATCGTCAACATTACAAAACATTCAATTATCTGGAGTCAGTAGAAAGAATTTTTATTCTTTGAAGCGAAGGATATTGCATTCACATCCGAAGTGATAAAATGTATAGACAGATAGTTGAAGAGTCCGAAATAGGACGAAATGCTTTCTTTACTAGTTAGTATTCACATATAGCAGCAACAATTGGAAAATATAGAGTTTTTTTTCTAAAATGATATCTCATGTGTTTTACAGGGTAAAAATAAGACGAACGATGTTTTATGGAGTAGGAATAGGTTGGAAGAAAGTTAGGGGCGGCCAAACCAAAACATGGAAAAAATCAATGAAGTCACTGACAACTGGATTGAGTCATGCTGGTAGGTGTACACTACCTGGTTAGAGTTTGAGAGATGATAGTAACCGATAGGTAGAGATTTTAATGATATGGTTCAAAATCGATGGCAGTTGCGCAGGTGTATTCATTCTTTGCGTTCTCCAAAATTCTAATCTAAACACTTTTAGTCTTCTCTTTTGAAATTGATTTGACTAGATTATACTTCTTGAATAATATCTCCGAATCCTAATCTCTCCAAATTACTGCTCATACTTCCACTTAAATCTACAACTATGGGATTCGAATAGACACCTCTATCTCTGTGTGCTAATGTGCTAATGTCAACTTGAACTGATGTACGTACGTACTCACGAAGTTCTACATTGTAACTGACTGACTGCGTTCAAACGAAAAGGATTCGAAAACAAGAACTATGTATAAGATAAATAAAATCCGTTACAGAGATTAATCACAGATTAATGAAAAGTGTCACGTTCACCCATTTAATTACTTGTGCTTAAATTTGATCGATCAATTTACAATATGATCACTATGGTAAGTGAATTGATTGTGAAATGTTGATATATGCCCTTAAATTAATTGTGATGTCGACTAGATATTACATGCAAGTGTACACATATTTAAACTGTTGATTTATGAACAAACCATTTGTCGGGGACGTTAGATCCCCAGATCTCATTGAATAAATGCCTTAATTTTGGATTTCATGTTTGCGAGCATGGGCTGATCAGTTGACTGTGAGATTTCATTTCCTACCAGGAAAATCCTTAGCTGTGATTGGTTGCTCTGTATTTTAGTGTGCTATTTTTTCGTGACTGTCCCAAAGACGTTTCTATGATGTATAAATAAACGAGATTTGTGTGTTTGATTGTATTGTGTGCTGGTTGAGTGTTTGTAGAATATACTTTCTACGCTATATCAAGACTTCTCTTTAGCCGTTTTGAGTTGACGGATCAAGGTAGCCTACCTGGACACTGGTCTATTGTCTCGTTCGCGTTTATCGACTAAGATGAACCTGTAATAGTTTCAAACGTACACCTAGTGACGAACCTAGCACCACTGAACAAGATATATTTGTTTAACATAAATTACTCTGCAACTATGGGATTTGGAATTGACGATTGCGTCTCTGTGTTAATGTGGTATGGCAACTTGAACTGATGTACATACATACTTACGAAGTTCTACGTTGTAATTGACTGACTGACTGACTGACTGACAACCTCATACTAACAATTATCATGTATTCAATAATGACTACCTTCATCAAGGAATTATTGGAGTTCTATTCAGCAGCACGTGACCAGTGAAGTTCACAACCTTATTGAATCTGAAGCAGTTAAGTACTGATGACAATAGCTGATGATTGCGCAATATTGTAGCATGACAGCTCAGTGGTCAAAAGTTTAGGCATTAGACAGCGAGACCGAGAGCCTCAAGTCCAATGCCCTCATGCGAGGATGAGTCCCATATTGGAATGAGTCTATTGATAGTTATACTAAGGATAAATAGTCTAACTGTTAAATATATTCAATGAAATTGTTGACATACATTGTGTTCTGATGATTTAACCATGATTGTTCAATCAGTCAGTCAGTTAGTTACAAAGTAGAACCATCATGAACTACACACATCATGTTTAAATACTCAATAGTTTCAAAACAAATCAACAGGAATTCCTTAGTGTCCCATGTTGAAAACGATACGCGGAGGCAACTGGCTAAATATGAAGTAAATAGTCCTATGAAAACTTATTAATGGAACTGCTCGACTTTAACAGATACAAAATACCACGTAGTATTCATGTTGTCAACTCTACGACATCAGTCAGTCAGTCAGATGCAACATAGAACGTACACATCAGTTCATGTTCCCATACCAGAGACGCAAATGTCAATTCAAAACCCATAGTGGCAGAGATAGTAGTAGTACTACTGATCATCAAGAGGATTCGGACTCCAAGATATTATCCTAGAAGTTTAATTAAATGAGATAAGATTAGAAAGACACACACACGACATACACTGAAACACTCTTTGATAGATAGATCTCTGTTAGTGGGACATAGATGGAATTAAAGCATGACTACGTTTCTGCGCGCTGATTGACTAATTTCCTATCCAATCGGCGCTTGATCTAGTCTTGGAGAACAGGATTTAAAATTCTCGTGCTGTTAGCTGCATGCTGATTGGCTAAATCTAATCCAGTCGATCACGTGGATTCCTATGCAGAAGTTCTCATGTAAATGCCCTTGCCTTCGCCATCACCTTTGGCTTCGTATTTCCATTTAACCTTACTATTTGGAATCGTATCTTTTCCTGTTCAACCGTGTTTTTGATTCTTCGGAACTTGTCCAGTGTATTGTGGTCCAAGAATACTAAGCAATAGGAATTAGCTGGGAATCATTTAAGCAAGCCTTACAAAATAATCTCATTTGAAAATAATGTTACTGGAGAACTGGACAGATGTTTCATACGAGCTAGGAACTTCTAAACAGAGAGTGTGCGCCACTTCGAACTTCATTAGAGAACATAGGCCTAGAACAATCAAGTGAACGCTTAATCATCTGTTTCAAACTGTTCACCAGTGTTCATAATAATCATGAAAATACAATGGACTAATTAATATAAAACGTATATTCTTAATCAATGCAAAATAATCGATAAATCAGTTGTTACTAAGTATTAACAACAAGTGAACAAGGAGGCATCATGAGAAACATACCTATACACGAAAACATTCACTCACGCACGCACTAACACAGACACACACACACACACAAAGGTAACAAAACACTGTACAAATAATTTGTTCATTGCATGATTACATTATTATTATTATTATTATTATTATTATTATTATTATTATTATTATTGTTATCACTATGATTACGACATTGATTACATAAATGTAAAACAAACTATTCACTCATTTTATCTAATTAGTAAGTTAGTAGTTGTTCAACGAAATCAATTACAGAGATTAACAAAAAAATATCACGTGACATTGTAATCATAAACATTTTGTTCGGGATGCGAATCTCAGCCTCGAAATGCAAAATGTTGCTTCAAGAATGCGTTTCATCGGCACCTGAACTAGTGATAAGGAGTGAAGTAGTCGAACGTGTAGACCGCTTGCTTCACTTATCTTGGAAGTCTTATCAGTGCCGATGGCCTGGTTTGTGAGGAAATCTCAGCACGGATACAGAAGGCTCGATTGGCTTTTACCAACCTGCGTCACTTATGGCGTAGACGAGATATCCGTTTGCTGACTAAAGGACGAGTCTTAGTTTATGGCTGGGAAACATGGCCAGTTAGAGTAGAAGATATTCGTAGGTTACTGGTTTCCGATCATAGATATCTTCAAAGCATTGCTCGTAAATCTTGGGACACCCGAGTGAGCAACGCCGTTATTAGGAAACGGGTACTAGGTAGGCATGGCAGATCAATAGACGCAGTAGTGACACTTCATCAGTTGAGGTGGTTGAGACATGTGTTACGTATGCCTAACCACCGATTGGCTCGTCGAGCTTTGTTTTGTAGTGTAGGAATAGGTTGGAAGAAAGTTAGAGGCGGCCAAACCAAAACACGGCAGAAATCCATGAAGTCATTGACGAGTGGACATAGCCATGTCGGTAGTTGTCGACTACCTGGTTGGGGTCCGCGAGATGATAATTATCGATGGTTAGAGACCTTGAATGACATGGCTCAAAATCGTTCGCAATGGCGCCGGTGCATTTATTCTCTGTATTCTCTCAAATCCTAATCTTCTGGATTCTTCAACAACTCTAGTTTTGTCTTTCGAAACTTATCTCACTGAATCATACTTATTGAATCATATCTTCTAATCCTAACCTCTCCGATTACTTCTAATACCATTACTACATCTTCTACTATTGGATTTGAATTGACAATTACGCCTCTGTGCTAATGTGGTATGGCAATAAGAATTGATGTACTTACGTACGATGTTCTACGTTGCATCTGACTGACTGACTGAACCATGAATTGATCAATGTTAGACCATTACCCATAGGAAACCATACTTAATTTGCTTACGCTAGTTACTCTAATCAAGTATAGGATGTCGAACAGCATTCGTCGACCTGTTTCCGTGCTGAGTCTTCCTTTACAGTTCTATCTAATTGTGGTTCATTTTTTTTATGTCTCTGTCTCCATTTCTCGGTGTAGTTGGCCTTTTGCTTTTCCTTTGACTTCGGGGATTCCAATCGAAGGCTTATCTTGTGATGCAGTTGGATGCTTTCTACAATATGTGTCCCAACCACTCCTTTCGCTTCTTGTTGGTTTATTCTTCGGCCGAAATCTGGTTTGTTTTCTCCCACAGTAGGTTGTTGTTGGTGATGTTCGGCCAATGTATACCCAGTCTCTTGAGTAGCAAAACATCCAAATATAGTGTAGACGATGGTAAGACAATGAGATCGGTAACCCCACAAAGTACGTTGATCGATAGAATTCGATCCGCACTAAGAATCAGACAACTATGACCGTTGGTTACATAAATTATTAAACGTTAAAGAAACCTATCCGACGGCCTATGCTCCACGAACAGTAATACGAGTAAATAAGTCAGTAAGTAATGTTCTCATTGTCTTATCTACTTGATAAGTCAAATGAATGAAGTATGAACCAAACAATAACTTACTGTACAGCTAAACTTCGTGGATCATTTCCTTGAGTAAAACAAGCAGTCCAAAAATGATGCAATAGGGCACCTTCAGTTAAAGCGAGATTACGCAATTCTCTAGCGACAACTGCCCCGCCTTCTTCAATCAATGCACGCATAATCATACCAGCACCACGAACAATAGCTAAGCTTGGATGCTATAACGAAAAAAAATAATAATAATAATTGAAATATTGAACAATGGCATATGTGCAGAAACAATAGTTACTAATTATAACAACACACTGTAGATTAGAAGAGATAAAGGTGTAAATACTTTATTGTTTAGTGAACAAATGATTGAGCAGTGATTGAGTTTAATCATAAAGTAACAAGTAGTAGTAGTGTAGTGAAGGAGAACACAGGTGAGGGCAACCGAATTGTATTAATCGCAAATTACAGAGTTACTCAGTAAAATAGGAAAACCATATCGTAAATCGTTAGTTAATTTGCAAAATATCAATCCATCATATCGAACTGGACTGTTCCTGTTGCAAAACATCAATCCATTGTCACTATTCATGCGTTTCATACAAATTGCATTGTGTTCCCACTCTTCCTTTCTTGATCTTCCCCTATCTTTTGCTGCCAGATATTACGTTTTCACTCGCATCATATACTACTTATAAGTGGCGCGCACCACAGTAGTAGTAGTTGATACAGTTGTGGTCACTGGATGATGGGATGGAAGAACGCCTACATCATTTATGCTTAACACTAACCCTACATCGATGCATAATGCAGTCTACCAAACACACATGACAATAGTCAGCAAGTTACTGTCCATTGAGTCAAACTATGTAATGGCAGTCAATGACAACGCGGAACTTTGATTAAGGTCCGAAGAAATAATTCAAGTGTAATTCAGTGAAATAAATTTATAAAGAGAGAGATAAAGGTGATGAGGAATTCAGAAGATTAGAATTTCAGAGAAGACAAACAATGGATGTCATTCTGTGCCATAGCAAACGATTTTGAGCCATTTTACTCAAAGTATCTAAATTACGGTTACGATTGTCTCGCAGACCTACAGGGCTAAGTCCAATTGTCAGTGACTTAATGGATCTCTGCCTTGTTTCTGTTTGGCCGCCCCTAGCTTTCTTCCAACCTACTCCTACACTGCAAAACATAGCTTGTAGAGGGAGCCGGTGGTTAGGCATTCGTAACACATGTCCCAACCACCTCAACTGATGAAGTTTCCATACTTCATCTATTTATCTGCCATCCTTACGTAGAACTCGTTTCCTAATGGCAGCATTGCTTACTCGGTGGTCAAAATGTGCGGTGAGATGAAGAGTTCTTGACTCATGTTTGCATGATAATTGTGATCAATAAATAGTGAGAGATGTTGAATAGTAGTTAAAAATGCATCACAGTATCACGGTGATTTTAGTGCTTTGAAATCCAATTGTCTTACGTTATTGCTTTCTCTCGAATTATACGAATTGTGTTCTCATTGTTATGTTGAAACCATCACGAATCGATCAACGTAAGACAATCATTGGAAACTTAGAAGAAAAAGACGGCCATTTCGTTCTAGTATGTATGGTACGTATCAGCAGTGAGCGTCCACGATCCTGTGCGCAAAAATAAAACCTAGAACCTTCTAAGTCTTGCACGCTACCACAGCTTGGGCGAATAAATAACCATGTCAAACAAATCGAATTTGAGCCATATATATATATTCTAATGTTATGGTCATTGATATTACATGTAACTACTACTCAGACTGACATGCAAGCATCATAACGACAAAAATTCACTATATAGAGCTGATTTAAACACCGAAAAGTCATCCGTCAAGTTATTTATTTTAAACTGCAATTCATTTCCATTGATTTAAACAGATAGGTAGGATAAATAATCTTCATATTGGTAAATATGAAGCTGTGGCTCAAAGAGCGATGCATTCCATGTTCAGCAGCCACGTCATAGGTATGAACCCTTTAACCAGTCGAGTAGTATTGTAGTGAACATTACTCACATGTTAGAATATAAGTAGTATGCAATGGAGCATCGCTCTGTAGTCGCTTCCCAAAAAGAGAAGCGTCTGAAGATCGAAATGCATGGCATGCTTAGAGTATATTAAAAAAACAGAAGTAACATAAGAGAAGACAGTCAACAACATTGTGACATTACAAATGAATGCCTAAAGATTACGTATACAATATTTTGTAAATAAATGGCGTCTTCTGACAAAAAAAAACGTATTACTTCTGTTCTTGACATTTTCTTAGCATACAATATTACTATCTTTAATAGTTACAGTATAGCTCATGTTTAGTTTTAGCTTACTTACAAGTCTGTCACCCCCCAAAAAAAGAGCATAAGCCATCGAACAGCGAATAATTATTTTCTGGTTAGCGTTGTTTGCAAGTGATTTAGATTTCTACACGATAGAGGCGGTAACCCCACCAATGGCTAACCCTCCTCGTTTATTGGGGGCTTGAGACCGGAAGTAATCACGGAAGAGCTTAAAGCGAAGTGTATAACCATTCATTATATAGAAAGTGATTATTAATATTTTTATGGTTAGAGTATTTTAGTGAGTTAGTTTTTTTCCGATACAACACAACATGCGCCAATCAAATCACTCTTGAGAGGGAAGCTTTAGAGAATGTAAAAGCCTTTACATATCCGAGCAGCACCATTGATGAGCAAGATGGATCTAATGCAGGTGTATTGGCGTAGATCGGCAAATCAAGTGCACTGTTTCTAAAATTGAACAACATTTCGAACTGAAAACAACTGTCAACCAACACCAAACTCAAAACTTTCATTACAAATGTCAAGATAGTTCTACTGTATGGAGCGAAAACCTGTTGTTAGTGGGACATACATTGGATTAAAGCATGATTGCGTTGTCGCACGCTGATTGGCTCCTTCGTGTCCAATAAGTGCTAGCCGATACTGAGGGAACATTCTAGAATCTTCTCATGTAAGAAAACTACAAATATACTAACGTCTTTTTCCTGACTTCCATTCTAAACTTGTTACTGAAATATAATCTCTATTTCCTGTTCAACGGTGTTCTGATTTTGGGAGAACGTCTCGAGTGAATTGGTGTCCGAGAATACTAAGCATTAGTAGGAATAGCTGGGTTATAACAAAGAGAGAATTATAACACCTGTAGAATCACGAAAGCCATCATTCAGAAGATTTATTAACAGTTTTCTAGGCAAAATACTTTGGTATCATTGGCTAGACACCATATCAACGACAACATACCGTAGCAGAGAACAAATCAGATTCCAGTGGATCGAGAAATCGGGAACAAGCTCTGGAGGTGAATAGTATACGCATTGAGGAAAGCACCTGACTGTGTCACAAGACAAACTGTCATTTAGAATTCGCAAAAAGAAAAGATGAAGACCAAGGGTCATACTGTACCGAGAACCTGAGAGAGACATGTGAAAAATGACGAACAGTTGGAAAGCACTATAAAAGAAGGCCGATGACATAGCAGGCTGGAGAATGCTTGTCAGCGGCCTATGCTCCATTGTGGGGGGGGGGAGTAACAGACGTAAGTAAGTAAGTAAGTAAGTAATCTTTCAATAAACAACATAAAACACAAACTTACAAGATACAAACGAAACAATGCACGACCACGTTTAGCTAATAAACGTAATAAATTATCAAATAATCCACCTTCTGATGTTTCAGAATACGGTAAACAAACACCATAAGTAAAGAAATCTAATAAAGCACAAAGAACTAATGAACCACTTCCACGTAACTAAATTGAAATAATAAAAAAATAAAAAACACGAAAAGAAAACATGAATCAATCAATAAAGTACACAGGTCAGATTGGTAAAATTCATGAAAACATTGAAATAAAAAAAATCGATAAAATATTATGGCATAGACAGAATGGGGAGACTAACAGCGGTACAATCCAGGATGTGAAATTCGTCTCTAGTTGAATAGTATTGCATTGATGTTCACTCGTGCGACTCATCCCGACCGAAGCTACTACCTTGACGTGGTGGTCGTGCTTGCTTATCGTGATGACCCAACCAAGTTATATTGGCTGGAACTTATGTTCCTGAAGGTTCTATCATGTCAGACAGGTTTATTGGAGAACGATCAGAATAAAAGCAACTACTCAAGGTCTGAGGGCGAAGTCGTACTTCTGACTGTGATGGAGGTTGGTAACAGCAGTAAGGTGTTTCCCTCGGACAACCAGCATCTGCAGCGCTGTTCCCTTCTCACAAGGAAGGAAGGGTTAGAAAAGGTCGACCCTAAATATGTCACACCTCACCCTACCTCACGAATTTCCGTCTCTGGCGGTAAGGGTGCCCACTAAAGGCTTTCAAGAGCTGAGCTAACACTCAAAAAACCTTTCATAAAAAGGCCGTGCGTGACCGGCTTCAAGCAGTTGTCCCTTGGACTTTGCGGTCACGCTCCCAGGTCTCTAAGACCAACACTAATCTACCTTCCTTTTCAGGTCCCTCAAGAAACAACCTTCCACGGTGTGGGCAGCCGGGAAGTGACAACCGCCGTCATAACCGTAACAGCACGCGAGACCAAATTGGTCAAAATCAAATCCTTACTACAACCCCTAGTAGTACCTCTCTTATCTCCACGACTAACTTTTCTCACATTCCTTGATCACACTGAACAGCTAACGCAAACAATGCGACTCGTACCAGCAGTACTAGCAGTAGACTGATCCTTTGGTTGATGGACGAATATCATCTCACCTATGTCATACATTACACAAGTTGGCAAAAAGCCAATCGAGCTTTCTGTATTCGTGCTTAGATTTTGTCAGACACCCGGCCATCAGCACCGATGAGACTTTCGAGATAACTGAAGCAATCAACACGCTTAACTACTTCACTCCTCCTTATCACTAGTTTTCTTGTTCAATGCTGTTTTGTAATAATTGAGTAATAAGCAATCAAACTAATAATACACTGAAATCAATGATCGATCAATGTTAGATCATTATTAGAAATCTGGAAACACTAAACGGCTGTTTTGTCCTAGTACAGGACTCATCAGTGGCAGCAGTACACATCGATAACCATGCAACCAGGAATCGAACCCAAAGTCTCACACGTGAACGCTTAACTCCTTAGTGCATTGTGGAACTGGCATTCAACACGGTGTGTGTGTGTGTGAATGTCTAACATCAATCAATCGAACAATCTATAAACTCCTAATGAAATTTAACAATACTACTAATTACACATTTTTGAAACCATGAATCGATCAATGTTAGACCACCATTAGAAACCTGGAAGCGGTGTACGGCCGTTTCGTTCTGGTATTGGACTCTTCAGCAATGCTTTCAAAAAATGTGTAACTTAACAATCTTCACAACCCCGTAATGCAAATACTAATTACAACAACAACAACAGCAATAATGATGATGATGACGATGTTATGCACAGCCACTTACAGCATGTAATGTGAATATATCAACAAGATGAGTGAGAAATGGTTCACTAGACATAATGGAAGCTTTATTTAATTGTTCTTGACGAATATCTGGTTGTTCATGCATTGGATGCATTAAAGTATTGATTGCATCTAAAACTGCATGGGTCACAGCATCATCACGAAGTTTCAGCGCATTGACTACCAATTGACCTAATGTAATACGCATCCTGTATGAAAGGGAAAGTAAAATATGAAGTAGGTTACAATTACTAATAAATAGTAATAATAATCATAATACTGTTACGTGTGAACGTAAACATGTCAATTTGATAGACTTGAACTATATTACGAGTTTACCTTAGTCGGAAAACGAGAGCGAGCATTGAGGATCCGGTGGTACGAACTAATGCGAGTGTCCCAACTCCCTCATTGACTAAAAGAAGAAGACTTGATATGAAGTAGAACATGTATTCTACAAACATCCAGAAAGTACGAAGTCCGAGTCCAGAAGAGAATCACGATCCCGGACTAGGGATCCGGGTCCGGGTCATAAAACGTTACAGATAATGCGTATTTATACAGTTAGGTCGAATAGGAACCAACATTGAATTCTGCGACGTTGACAGTTAAGACGACCATTAGGAAACAACATTTGTAGTGACATTGATAGTCAGGACGACCATACTATTGACAAGTAGGAATTGACCAATAGAATCAGACTTACAAAAGGATTTGATGAATATCCTAACACAAACGTCTACTCTTTATTTCTGTCGCATGTTTATCGCTCAATGCTTCACTGACTACATACAATCATGTTTCGTGGTTGCAGCCATGTTTCATTATTTTTATGTCTGCTGGCAAACGTGGTCGCCTGTCAAGTATCAACTAGAACAACTTTCTTATTATTCCCTTAAGTTAAGGTACAATGAGCTAGCTAGTAATATCATCATTGGTAATTCAATTTCTCAATTACTTCATTTCGTTGCCAATTTTAGTCATTTATCTAATTGAAACACATAAACATTAGTACAAACAGGCGTCAAAATAATTCTGTGCTACACGGATCAATCGACTTGAGTGCGGGATAGAATTCTCACCGGATGCCAAAACAAAAGGCCATACTCTGAGCCTTTGATCCTTCAAAGGTCTCATTTACAGAGGCAGGACATGCAGGCCCGTGATAGCCAGTGACCGACAACAGCTTCATACACCATTCGGCCCATCAACATCCGGAAGCCGCTGTACAGTAGTGGTTTGCACTGAAGGTTTTACAACTCCCCATGAGGGATGGATCACCTGGATCCTACATTCTATTTCTATCAAGGTCATGCGTAGGTGTAAAGAACGAAACAACTGCCTAGTACTTAATGGTTCTACAACGATTGTTTAATTGTACGAAATGATGTAACTATATATTACAGAATCACCGCGAAATTCCTGATAAATCTTATAGAACATAATTCTATTTAATTAGTATTGGTTAGCATATGGGAATGCGATTTGGACTGCTTCAATATTAACCATTACGACACAACAGGACAATACAAGATCCATTTCAAATTGAATGAAACCGCAAACCCGTTGCATAAGTGATTGGCTAGATGAACTAACTAGCTAGCTAGCTAAGCGGATAACACGATAGTGTTTGAAAGCGACCAGTAGAGACTTCGAACCCCAGATTCAATGTTAACTCTGAAATGTAGGCGCAATCAGCTGCTAGAAGTGAGTCCTGAATATTCTATTGCTAGCAACATGACATAGAATATAAGAATCAATCAATAATTATATCTTAATTATATCTCAACAACAAAAACTCATTTAAACTAACCCTGGTAATTGAGTGAAAGCATTAAATCCAGCTTTTGATGCAACTAATCGACGTAACGCGTGAAATTGTGCTTCAATTAGAATTAATTCATAATTAGGATTAGTGGATTTAGCATTAATATTACTACTAGTAATAGCATTAGTAGTAGTAGTATCTTTAGGAGTAGTAGTAGTAAGAGGAGGAGGAGTATTATCACCAGTACAATGTAAAGACGTAGATGATATGGATTGTTTAACCGATGTCAACGGATTCCCCGCATCAAGTTTACGTGTATCTTGTGTCAAAATACTGATCAATGCATCTTTAATGAGTTTTTCTTTATTTTCTGCAAAAACACCCTAATCAAAATGAATTAGAGTAAAAAAATAAAGACAGTATGAAATGAACATTGAACAACGATTAATAAATGTGCTCACTGGTGGACTCGCTTTGTGCGGGAAATTTTCAAAGTTCTAGTGAGAAGCTATGGGATCAATGGAGTGCAACCCTGTCGAGGGTGTATACGGTTAACTACCGAGAATAAATGGATGAGCTTGTGCAAAAAATCCTTAGATTAATCAGAGTTAGATATTAAAACTGTTGAATACCAAGCGGCTCAGTGGTCCAGAGGTTAGGCGTCCGCCTTCAAGACCCAAGATTCAAGGTTTGAATCCTGCTAGCAGTAATAGTCGTGGATTCTCTTTGCTGATGAATCCCACACTAGGACGAAACGGTCGTCTTTCGGGGCTTCCAGATTTCTAATGGTGGTAGTCTAACACTGATCAATTCATGATTTCAAAAAATAAAACTCAGCCCTATCATGCAAATTATCATGTGCTCATTAGTGGCTAGCTCCAGGAGGAAGTATCTCGGAGTTCTAGTAAGAAGTTGTGACCTTAACCTTAAGCATAACAATGATTCACTCGTGATTTTAGTTGATAAAATGAAATCATGAAAATTATAATTTCAAGTTATCAACTAGTGCGAAATTTTGATCAATAGAGATTAAAATATGTCAGGAGTAAACTGGTTGTCATTGATGATATTGGATTAGGGTCGTACTATTTCTGGACTCATTAAACTTGAAAAAATATATAGACAGACAGATACAACGCAGAACTTCGTACGTAAGTACATCAGTTCAGGTTGCCATACAACATCAACACAGAGACGCAACTGTCACTTCAAATCCAACAGTGATAGTGATAGTGGAAGTATTAGCAGTAATCGAGAAGATAAGGCAGCGAAGATATGGTTCGAAAAGTATAATTCAGTAAGATAAATTTAGAAGGAGAAAGGTAGAGATTATGAGGAATTCAGAAGGTCAGAAATGCAAAGAACACAAAGAGTGGATGCACTTGTGCTATTGCAAATGATACTGAGCCATGTCATTCAAGGTCTCTAATCATCGATTACTATCAACTCGTGGACTTCAAATCAGGTAGTCTACATCTGCCAACATGACTCAATCCAGTTGTCAGTGACTTCAAGGATTTGTGTCATGTTTTGGTTTGGCCGCCCCTAACTTTCTTCCAACCTATTCCTACACTACAAAACAAAGCTCGACGAGGAAGTCGGTGGTTAGGCATACGTAACACATGTCCCAACCACCTCAACTGATGAAGTTTCACCACTTCATCTATTGATTTGCCATCCTTACCTAGCACCCGTTTCCTAACGATAGAATTGCTTATACGGTTGTCCCAGGATACACGAGCAATACTTCGGAGACATCGACGATTGAAGACTAGTAACCTACGAAAGTCGTCTACTCTTAACGGCCAAGTTTCGCATCCGTATAGTAGGACGGGGCGAACTGCTGCACAGTACACTCGTCCTTTGGTTAGTGAGCGGATAAGTGACGCAACTTGGCAAAAGCCAATCGAGCTTTCGGTATCCGTGCTGAGATCTCGTCAGTCACCAGGCCATCAGCACTGGTGAGACTCCTAATATAAATGAAACCGTCAACACGCTCGACCACTTCACTCCCTATCACTAGTTCAGGTGCCGATGCAATCCAATCTGGGGGTTTTAGACACAATTATTAACGAGGCCATGAGTTTGCATTCTTGAGAATCTTCTTACTTAAAGAAAACAACTGTTTCCATTGCTACCTAAGCAAATAACAGTCAATCAAAAATACCTACTATTTACAAATAAAAATGATCTACGCGAAACTCATCGTTGGACTTGGTCTCTTCTCTTATTATATAGAGTTGAATGATAACTGGATCGTGTAACAGTGATGCTTTGTTCCGGTTTTACCGCATAAATAACACTTATGACAAGGTTCAGACAGCCAAAAGGGTAATCCACTTACGTTAAACTAAGCACTGAACATCACTTGACTGAATAGTTACCAGATAAATCTCTTAAGATTTCAGATACACCACACCAACGAAGAAATATTAGCATGCGAACACACAATTATTGTTAAAAAAAAGGGGCACCCAAATATTCATGCATCACAATAATCAATTTGTGTGTAGGAAAAGATACTCCCCAGGAGCCAGAACAAGAGCATATGACGGCAACTACTCACTCACTGGACCTTTGAACCAAAGGTCTAATCTACAAGACAGTGGAGCAGTGTTACGAGGTGCGTCTTACAGAGGTGGATCCTCCATATTCAACAAGCCGGTTTAAGCCCTGGTCGGATATTCGCTTCTAGTCCCCTAAACTACGTAAGCAACAACCTCGCCACGGCGAAGAAGCTTGCTTCCAAGGCTATATATGTTGATCGCCCCAACTGCCCTAGGCCCATGCATATCTCTTATCATCATATTCATTATACTACAATAGTAAAACAAACAGGAAGATTTATAAATCATGCAGATAGATATAGATTTCATATTTCTTCTTACATCTTGAGTAACAGCATGCAATAAACCACTGTAGGCAATGTTAGCATTGAAACGTTGTACTACTTCCCAAAATGAAACACCCTCTACAAAACATACGAACAAAAAGAAATATTGTAAAATGAGTGGTGAGTTTTCTAGCCTCATTCAAAGAAATCCTACTTACAGTCTCCGTAACCCTAAGAAGAGTACTTTTAGAAAAAAAAATGACAACACGAAACTGATCGTTGAAAATGAGCAGTTTGGAAATTCTGATCATAAACCATAAACAGTAGACAAGAGTTCCAAGAGCCTGATAAAATTAATGGTTGTTCTAACTTACCCTAAATACTGACTACTGTAGGATTACATCAGTGAATTCCGTTTTAATGCTTTGTGAAGTAGTTTAAGCTACAGGGATGGGAATAATTTATTACGTTCGAATGGTAATCCAAACCCAACCGTAGCTACTAACTTGATGTGGTTGTCAGGCTAGCCTGTCTTGATCACCCAATCAAGCTATATTGACTGCAACATATGTTTCTGTATGTTCTACCATGCTAGGCAGGTCGATTGGAGAGCGGTGAGACTAAAAGTAGCAACTAAAGGTCTGAGGGCGAAGTCGCACTTCTGACTGTGATGGAGGGGTGTGACAGCAGTAAGGTGTTTCCCTCAGACAACCAGTATATGTAGCGATGCTGCCTTCTCACAAGGAAGGAAGGGGTTAGAAAAGGTTGACCCTAAGAATGTTACACCTCATCTTACTTCAGGGGTATCCGCCGGTAAGGCGTTTCGAAGAGAGCGGAGCTAAAACAGTATTGACTCCTCATAAAAATGCCAGAGCCAGTTTTCCCTCTCGAAATGTTCTCATATGGCCATATATATATATATATATATATATACAGCCTTTTCGTAATTCAGGTGTTGCTTACACAACTCACAGGAGGTAAAGTGAATGTCCGATCAGGATTTAAGCCCGGTTAATGGGGATGGAAGGTCCGTCTAGATAACTTAAAAAACCCTGATTTCAAACCCAGGGGTGCACCTCGGCTCCAGGATCCTGGTAGAACAAATGACGAATAAGACTACAATCAATTACTGTCTACTACTACGGGCCTCCATTTCTTAACGTTATCCTACAGTCTTGTGGATCAGCCCTTCCGGTGAAAGGTTCAAAGTGTGGCTCCTTAAATGAAAACCAAATACTTCTGACTGTACGTACGCGGAGTATCCCAGTTTATTCACCAATCCAATAATTTGTATGGTGCATAAATATTTACATAGATATATTCCGTGACCGAATGTAGTGGGCAAGTGCATCCATTTCTTTGGCTTCTCGCAAATTGTAATCTTCTGAATTCCTCATCACCTTCATCGTTCGCTTTTTAAACTCATCTTATTGGATTAAACTTGTTAAATAATATCATCGAACCCTAATCTCTCCGATTACTACTAATAATTCTACTACCTCTACTACTTCGGTATTTGAATTGATAATTGCGTCTCTCTGCTAATGTGTTATGGCAACTTGAACTGATGTATGTACGTACGGAGTTCTACGTTGTAACTGATTGACTGACTGTAGTAAGCAAGAAACCCTCACGATTCCAGGTACACTTTGTTGACAAGTACCAACTAGCGCCACAGGTAGACAGATTTTCCCGACGATTACCTTCAACCATTTAACATCAATACATAGTACAGGTTAGATCAAATAACGCAGACTAATGTCTAGATTTCAACTTGTTAGATATAGAAAGGATCAGTAAATAACACCTCTTGATGCCAGTTCAATTATCTAAAGGTTAAGGCGTTTGTGCGCCAGATCAAAGGTCCTGAGCTCGATTTTCCCTTGCTGCACCATGGATGCGCACGGCTGTTTAATGATTCCAGGTTTCCAATGATCGTCTAACATTGATCGATTCAATAACTTATATGCAATTATGAAAAGAACTACTGTCATTATTGATGAGTGATATAATTTCTATCAATAAACATATATATATATATATATATATATATATATATATAAACCGTACCTGGACGTTGACGTAAAAATCTTAAATGAACTGATTCAATTTCTTCAGTAGCTGAATGAATCAATGGAATAAAACGTAGACTTCGATCGGAAAATGAACTGCACACATAAACATCACGATTACCACTGGCACGTACACCGTCTAATAATGATGCTAATAGAGCATCTCTAGAGCACACACACACACACAGAGGAAGAGAGAGAGATATACATATAGACAAGAGAAAAGTCAACAATCAATCATTTCAATATAAAATAATAGTTAACAATTAGCCTATTTAATAATTTGAATCATCAAACATTTCTTCCTGATGTGGGACTCATCAGTGTCAGTGCGTTTCCATGACCCCTGCCTGCGGGAATCGAACCCAGGACTCACGGTCCCGTGCGTGAACGCTTAACCTTTAGACCACTGAGTCGGCATTGAACACTGTTTATGTCTAACTTTGATCAACCTAAGGATTTTGTGCAACGTCACTCACTGTTGTTGGTAGTTACTGCATATACCCGACACAAACTGCGCTGCTATTGTAAGATATAAGTAAAGACATACTTGAAATTTGAGATTTTTATGAGTTTCAAATATTACCAGTGGAAAAGTAAGTAATTTGATGTTTGTCTTTCTTCAGATATCATTGAATAGTCATTATCATGAGAAACCATGAACAGTGGAGTTCAGCCAAGACGGCTGCAGGCTGTAACTACTGAAGAAAATGAGTATGGTTGTGTAATACCTTGGACTGATCAAAAGTTAGACATTAAGGGTAAACGCTAAATGGTCTAAAGGTTAAGTGTTCATGCACATGAAAGAAAGTCCTAGGTTCGATTCCCTCAAGTAGGGGTCGTGTATGCGCAGTGACGTTGGAGAGTCCAATACCAGAACGAAACGGTCATATTTCGGTGACTCCAGGTTTATGATTCTGGTCTAATAATGATTCATTCACAATTTCAATGTAAAAATAGTCAGATTTAAAGTGAATTACGATGAACTTAAAGCTTTCTCAACTTTAACAGGAGTCAGTGGAAATATTTCGACTTGCCATTCCGGGTGACTGGAGGTCGTGGGTAACCGAAGTGTGGCTGAAGGCCAGTTGAGCTGATCCCTAAAGCATTTTGATCATCGATCAAGTTCCTTGGATTGAGAATGAATAGTAACACTAGCCTTTTCCGAGATAATTTCGCTAACAGATGGATTTCTTATACCGGTTTCCTTGGTACGTCGGAACAACTGTCTGCTGTTACCTAACGCCGCTTCCTTTTCCATTACTCTCACACTAGCTACTCACCACTGTTCACGATCATTGCGTGGGATTTTTATCGACCTGAGAATAAGCTGACTTCGGATGAGTTCCCGGGCGCCTATCAGTTTATTGATGCTACTGAGATCCACGGCTTTATCCTAGCCTTATGGTCAACCTTACTAGCAGATATCATTGCTGTTTCCACAGCCTTCTTGATATCATTCCAACATGCCTCCCTATGGGAGTCACTAACATGACCGCCTAACTGTTTTTCTGATTGCTCCAGCGTTATCATTAGGTAGAACCCAAAGAGGTTTCCTTGCAGTGGCTTTCTTATCTCCAGTAAGACGAAAAAGAATACGCGCTCGCACTAAGGCATGATCTGAATCTAGACCTGTGCCCCACAACGAGCGACAGTCCTCTATCGAACCCCTCCATCGGTGGCTGATGGCGATGTGATCTAGTTGAGTCCAACGTTGAGACGACTTCGGGGGTCGCCAGGTCAACAGATGCTTTTCCTTATGCCTAAAGTTAGTGTTAGCTAAGAATAGGCGGTTGTCTGAGCATAGTTGCAACAGACGGTCGCCATTTTCTGTTCTCTGAGCCGCGACACCATAACATCCACCTAGGTGTCTTTCCTGCTCACTTAGTCTACCTACTTGAGCATTAAAGTCACCAGCCATTATTACTATATCAGAGCGCCTAGCTTTTGGAGGAGGTCCGAAAGCTTTCTGTAAAACTCATCTTTAACCTCGTCTGAACTGCATTCAGTGGGGGCATAGGCAGATACGATGAAGAGGCAACGGCAATTGTCCCTATCCTTACGAGTCCTTACTGTCCCGTTTAGTCGGACAGCGCACAATCGACTATCTATTGGGATCCAGTCAAGGAGAGATTGTTCTGTCCTACGACTCAATGCTATGCCTACGCCAGCAAGACCCCGGGAAGCAGCATCAGGGCTACCGGATACACGAAGAGTAAATCGAGCTGCTTCTTTATTTTGACATGGTGTGGCCAAGTGTATGACGTGACTCGGATCCTGTATGCGCGTTTCCGAGACGCAGCATACATCGATGGCACGAGATTCTAAAGTCCTAGCTAAGGAAGCCTGTTGCCCTATTTGACACAATGTCTGAACATTAAATGCTACAACATATGATTTAGAACGGGGCTTCAGATGACCAGGAATGACGTTTCGTGAACTCGCATCGTTTGAATTAGCGGTACGGTGTGATAAAGAAATGCGAGAAGGGTGATGCGTGAAGAGAAGACAGATGTTATGGGATGTAGGAAGGATTTGTTTGTGACCGATTTGTTATCACGTGATGTTACGGGTGTTGGAGCGTATGTCACTTCCCGGCTGCCCACACCGTGGAAGGTCATTTCTTCAGGGAGCTAAAAAGGAAGATAGATTAGTGTTGGTCTTAGAGACCTGGGTGCGTGACAACAGAGACCAAGAGACAACTGTTTGAGGAATGTTGCGCACGGCAATTTTGTAGTAAGTTGATGTGTTAGTCCCGCTCTTCAAAGAGGCCTTACCGACGGAGACAAAAAACCGTGAAGTAAGGCCAGGTGTGGCATCATTAGGATCGACCTTTTCTAGCCCTAATCTTTCTAGTGAGAAGGCAGCATCGCTGCAGATACTGGTTGTCCGAGGGAAACACCTTACTGTTGTCACACCTCTTTACAGTCAGCAGTACGACTTCGCCCTCAGAACTGTAGTAGCTGTTTTTAGTTTCATAGTTCGCCAATCGACCTGCCTGGCATGGTAGAACCTTCAGGAACATATGTTCCAGCCAATATAGCTCAGTCGCGTCATCACTATAGGCAAGTTCGAAGACCACATCAAGGTAGCAGCTACAGCTACAGCTGCAGAGTTAAATTACAGAAATTTCTTTTTGGAACTGAATATACTCTATTCAGATAGAGTCACAAGGTCTTGCTGGAGTCAACCAAAGCGTTGGCGATAAACGATGACCTAACCAGTGTCCAGAGGTCAACACTACATGCTCGTGATATATATATATATATATAAATATATATATATATATATATGTATATTTCATGTACACAGTGTATACTTTCGTGCAGAAACTTCTTTCTCTATCTGTGTCTATAGAATGGGTATTTTCGTACAAACATTTTGTATTTGTGCATCACGTATACTAGCGACCACACCCAACCTTTACCGATATGCATGAGGCATGCAGCATGGATACGCCTGTGATATATTTGTACTGTATGTTTGCATAATGAGAGTACTACCTGTTAACGCTCATCAGTGTTGTTGGCGGTTTCAACAAGCTTCAAAACATAGTAGGAAGTATAACTATAACTAAGAGCAGGTTGGCATTAATCTCGTCTGCTTCATGTGTGGTAGATTGTAGTGAAAATGTCTGCCTATATGTATAACTTATACCGTGACAATTATGTCTATTTTCAAATAATATGGATGGTTTCAATGTCTCAATTGCAGAAAACTCACTTTCTTCCTAACCTTTTGCTTACTGTAGCGCGTTTTACTTTGCATAGAAGCTTTTTTCTCTATTCCCTCCTAACAAAAACCAAACAAACAGGCTTCCCCCATCTTGTGAAGAAAAGATTAAACTAACTTATTCATTAACTACTAACCAACAATTTACCTGTTCGTAGAAAAATATGTAACCACTTGTCCACGAACATATTCAATGGAAAATTTTTGTGGTTGAAATCGATCACGAACAAGTAAATGGATCTACAATTGAAGAAGAAGTAAAAAAACCCACACAAGTTTCGGTTATTTTGTTACAATAGAATTCAAGCTGAATTGACTAAAAAAACTAAAATGTGCTCCACTAGTGGCTAGCTTCGTGAAGAAATTCTCGGAGTTCTAGTGAGAACACTTGACCAGTGGAGTTCAACCCTGTCAGGTGCAGTAGGCAATAACTACCGAAGACAAATGGGTGAGGTCGCGCAAAATCCCTAGATCAATAAGAGTTAGACATTAACACCATCGGATGCCAGCCCATTGGTCCAATGGTTAGGCGTTCGCACAAAATACCGAAGGTCCCGGGTTCGAATCCTGCGAGATGCAGAAGTCGTGGATGCGCACTGCTGCGGATGAGTCCCATAGCAGGAAGAAATGGCCGTCCAATGCTTATTCCAAGTTTCTAATGGTGGTCTAACAATGATTGATCGATGATTTCAAATGTGTAAAAACACTAATCTCCATAACTCTAATTGAAAAGTGAAATTGTTAGATTTCTAGTGATATAGTGAATGTAAACACTACTAAAGAAGAGTCAACCAGTCAGTCAGCTACAACACATAGGACTTCGTACGTATGTACATCAGTTTAAGTCCTATGGTAGTTAAGGTAGTTAGAAGTATAAGCAGTAATCAGAGAGTCATCCAATTGAGATATAACAGCTACCTAGTTAATCTGGAGTTGGAAATGGTCTGCAGGAAAACAACTATGTCACCACTGTCCTAATATTATCAACTAAACAATAGAATCTAGGCTGTTAGTAGGTGGTTCTTTCAATACAAGTACAAGCTAACTCACTTTATCATAACTTTTTAGCTGTCTATTGTACATTTGGATGAGAGGAAAAGAAAGTGATATTGAATACGATATTTATTATCGAACAGCTACGCGCCCGCGTACAGTGACACAATCAAAAATGAGGAATGTTCGCTCTACCTTTCGTGTATAACCAATGACAAGGAAGCCCTAATCATTTTACCTTCTCATGATTAATGTGTTTGTTTATGAAATTCAAACTACCAGAAGCGAATGTCTAGCCTCTTATCTGGGGATAATTGAGTCACCTAAGTATTTATGTGTATAAGATGGGATACTATCCCAGTCCGCAAACCAAAGCACGTGATTTTCTTAGAGGGACATTACTCAAGCCTTTGACCACAAACAGACTTAATCCAAAAGATAGTGGAGCAACATTTTAGGAGATGCAGTTCCATTGTAGCGAGTGACAGACAATCGGTTCATACTTCATTTATTCCGTCAGCATCCTGAAACTCATGTGCACCATTGGTTTCGAATCAGGGTTTTTCAACACCCCACAAAGTGGATTCTCTGTATTGATCAACCTAATTAAAGCGCCAAACACTCGCTTTTAGGAGGTTAAATCGATGGGCAGAACACACTACGGATCAAATAGATTGGCTTTCAGCCATACTTCAGTTACCCACGCTCTCCAGTCAACCTGAATGGTTAATCGACGCAATTCCTCAGACTATTAATGAGGTTCAATAGGCTATAGTCAATCTAAGGCAGGAGGAAATAGCGAATTAGAATGGATTAACCCCTGAGATTTTAGAGGACAGAGGTCCAGTTTTACCAGTTAGATTGACCGAGATCTAAGGTAAAATCTGGAAAAACTGGGCGTAATCCTATCTGACTTAGTTTCAATCACTGATTATCCCAATTTATAAGAAAGGAAAAAAAAGTCCACTCGTGACGACCACAGGGGAATCAGATTAACTAACAGAGAATCGAAAATAATGACCTCAATAATACTCCAATGCCTAACTACAGCTTGTGAAGAGCAAGCTACAGAAAACCAGGCTGGTTGCCAACATGGACATGGATGTATAGACCATATATTCACACTAAGACAGGTCCTAGTGTTGTGGATTGTAGATCCCCAGAACTCGCTTGTTAAATGCCTTAACTTTGGATTTCACGTTTGCGAGCATGGGATGATCGCTAGACCTTGAGATTTCATTTACCACCAGGAAAATCCATGGCTGTGTGATTGGCTGCAGTTTATTTTAGTGTACTATATTTTTGTGACTGTCCCAAGGACGTTTCTATGATGGATAAATAAACGAGAGTCGTGTGCTTGATTATATTGTGATTGCTGGGTGTTTGTAGAATATACTTTCTACGCTTATTCAGTCTTCTGTTTTGCAGTTTGAGATTCAAGGTAGCCTACCTGGACGGTGATTAATTGTCTCGTTCGCGTTTATCGACTAGGGTGAACTCATAATAGCTTTAAGTGTACACCTAGTGACGAACATAACACCTAGAACACAGATAAACATTCAGGCATCTAACAATAGTTGTTATCTGTTGACGATTCAAAAGAAACGTCAGTCAGTCAGTCAAATGCAACATAGAACTTCGTACATAAGTACATCAGTTCAAGTTGCCATACCACATATTATTAGCACAAAGATATAACTGTCAATTCAAATCCAATAGTAGAAGAGGTAGTAAAGGTATTAGAAGTATTCGGAGAGGTTAGGATTAAAAAGATATTATTCGAGAAGTCCGATTCCGTGAGATAAGTTTAGAATGTCAAAACTATGTGGGATGAAGAATCCAGAAGATTACGATTTGAGAGAACACAGAAAATAAATGCACCTACCCCATTACAAACGCTTTTCAGACATGTTATTCAAAGTCTCTAACTGTTAGGATATTCACCAAATATCCTAAGAATACTATTTTTAGAAGTACAATCCTATTGGCCGAAATTATGATCGTTCTAACTATCAAAGTCAAATACTTCAATGCTGCCTCTTATTGGTCATCTGGACTGTCAATGTCATTTCAAATGTTCTTTTCTATTGGTCGTCCTAAACTGTCAATGTCACAGACGTTGATGCTCTTTCTTATTCGACCTTAATGTATAAATACGCACTATCTGAAAGACTTAATGATTCGGATTCCAATTCCGTTTCTCCTGCCTACCTCTCTTCTGTATTCGACCCAATAAACAACTCCATCCATCCAACGGTGTTGCGTTCTGATATCTAGGAGATTTGGAAAAAGCATTTTAGGTGGTATTGGGATATTTGAATTGGACGCCGTTAGGACTGAATAGCTATAACTAGCAGCGTTACAACACTAACCATCGATTATTATCATCTCACGGACCCCAACCAGGTTGGAAGTCGACAACCACCGACATAGGCTAAGTCCACTTGTTGTCAATGACTTCATGGATTTCTGTCATGTTTTGGTTTGGCCGCCCCACCTAACTTTCTTCCAACCTATTCCTACTACACTACAATAGTTAAACAGAAAATATTATCAAACGATTGGACAAGTGAAAAAAATAAAAATAAACATTCATCCATCTACTGAATTCTTACTTCACATAATGGATGCGCTGATATTGGACGATAACTAGTTGGATCACGTTCTAACAGTAAGGATTCAGTTAAACACATTAAACGTGATATTGTTTTCATCATTGAATGATGATGATGATTGTTATTATGATTGCTATTTGTTGTTGTCATAACATGAGAACGATTGGATAATTTTTGTACAGGGAATTCAGCTTGTGAAATTAAATGATCTAAACTGGAAAGTAATAATAATAATAATAATAATAGCTGTTAATGGGTTTGTCAAAGTTTACTATTTAGATTTTACCAATGAAGTAACATAGGCACACACACACATACACAAGCTTAGTTTAAATGTACGAGCTGACAGCGATATAACACTATGAGAAGTGAGAAGTGTCAATAATGCTAGAGATTAGGAAAGAGTGTTTTTTCTTCATGTTTATTAACTAGGAAGATATTTTAGGCGCATTATCGAACTGCTTTCAATTTCTCTTATGAAGACGGTATACAATGGACAGCTAGGACGCAGCTGGACGATCTGGACTTCGCAGATGACTTGGCTCTTCTATCTCACACACAACAACAAATGCAAGAGAAGACGACCAGTGTAGCAGCAGCTTCTGCAGCAGTAGGTCTCAACATACATGAAGGAAAAAGCGAAATTCTCCGATGCAACACAACATGCACCAACCGAATCACTCTTGATGGAGATACCTTGGAGGACGTTAACACCTTTACTTATCTGGGCAGCATCATTGAAAATCAAGGTGGATTCGATGCGCGGATTGGCAAAGCAAGGGCTACATTTCTACAGTTGAAAAATATCTGGAACTCCAAACAACTATCAACCTACACCAAAATCACAATTTTCAATACAAATGTCAAGACAGTTCTACTGTGTGGGGCGGAAGCTTGGAGAACTACCAAAGCTATCAATCAGAAGATACCAGTATTTATGAACAGTTGTCGACACAAAATACTTCGGATGCGTTGGCCAGACACAATCAGCAACAATCTACTGTGAAAGAGAGCGAAACAGATTCCAGCGTATGGGAAAATCAGGAAGAAGCACTGGAAGTGGATAGAACACGAATTGAAGAAAGCACTCAACTGCGTCACAAGGCAAGTCCTCACTTGGTATCCTCAAGATCAAACGAAAAGAGGAAGGCCAAGAAAAACATTACGCCGAGAAATAGAGAAAGACATAAGAAGAATGGAAAAACAGTAGACAGAACTGGAAAGGAAGGCCCAGGATAGAGAAGTTGGAGAATACTGGTTGGCGGCCTATGCTCGAGTGAGGGCGATGGGCGTGTGTGTTTGTGCATTACTTACTTGGCTTACTACACATGTGTCTGGCTTACACTTGTCCGACTATAAACACTTAAGCTATGCCTCGTCACTGTAATGGGCTTTCAAAGATTACTGCTGTCGCACTAACGGAAATTAAAGGGAAGATTTACCTGATTGTTTGTACGAAACGGACTCAGATCCAAGGCTACTAAAGTCTATCTCTTCATAATTTTCAAGACAGAGCAACATCAGCATTACTTAGAAAATCAGTAAAAGGATACAGGAGAATGATCGGGCATGAGGTTAACGACCGCATCCCGTAGAAATCCAAATCGCTAAAGAAAAAAAGCTAGCCATGAGAATAATTCGCTCGTCGGCAGCCTATGCTGTCTATTAGCTGTAAACGGCGTAATTAAGTAAGTATCACTCTTCATATCTTTCCAATTACGACCATCTTTTTTTAGAAACTGAATTGACTGTTTTCGGTATTTTAGATAAATACGCCATGATCTGTAAACTAACTAGATAAACAGATTTTCATTCAATCGGTAGTGTATTGAATGAACACATTACACGTTGGCTTTTTTACACTGTAACAGTATCTAATCCGAACATTTCGCTTACTTACTTTCGCCTGTTACCCCCAACGGAGCACAGGCCGCCAACCAGTTTTCTCCAACCTACTCTGTCCTTGGCCTCCCTCTCCAGTTCTGTCCAATTTTTATCCATTCTTCTTATGTCTTTCTCTATTTCTCGGCGTAATGTATTTCTTGGCCTTCCTCTTTTCGTTTGATCTTGAGGATTCCAAATGAGGACTTGCCTTATGATGCAGTTGAGTGCTTTCCTCAACTCATGTTCTATCCATTTCCAGCGCTTCTTTCTAATTTTCCCATACGCTGGAATCTGATTTGTTCTATCCCACAGTAGGCTGTTGCTGATCGTGCCTGGCCAGCGCATCCGAAGTATTTTGAGTAGACAACTGTTCATAAATACTTGTATCTTGTGGATGATGGCTTTCGTAGTTCTCCAAGTTTCCGCTCTATACAGTAGAACTGTCTTGACATTTGGGGTTACTGCCGGTCCCAAGCCCGGATAAGGGAGGAGGGTCGGGCACGGGGTTGGCGACCCCATCCAAATCAAAAAGCTAACTTGCCAAAAAAAACGCTAACCAGAACAAATCATTCAAACATCTCGCTTATGTGTGGTCTATAATTGGATTTGGTTAAAGGAAGAGAGCAAGTACACTTTTGAATATGATGTATGTTCACTCCACTCATCTCAATTTATTCAAAGACAGATTAATAATACAACTCAATTAATGAAGACTTAAATGGTAAGTGGAAGAGATTTTGACAAGTGATGTGCGCTATTGGTTAAGAATTGACTTCACTTTCTAAACGAAATAAACATACGCTATTGGTTGAAAATGTTATTTCATTTATTTCTTTGAGAAAGATTAATATCGAATGAAAGAATTGTGCAAGTGGCCTTGATCCCATTTAACCAATCAAACCGCCAGTTTTTTCACACAAGTAACTAGTAGTTAAGTGCACACACACACACACACACATAAGTTCGAGAATATATATAATTAGAAAATTCGGAAGACTACATAACATAATAACAGAAATCGTAATTTATAGAGAAAATTATTATGAAAAGCAATCAACCGTTATTTTCATTGTTATTATTTAGAGGACAGCTAACAGACTTGTTCGAAGTGAAGACCAATGTCAGGCAAAGTTGCTTACTCTTAACCTTTCGCGTTCTCCTGGTGATCGACTGCAGTATGAAGACATCAACATCGGGGAGGAGGCATGAGTTACAGTGGACAGCTAGGATGCAGATGGACGATCTAGACTTCGCAGATGACCTGGCTCTTCTATCGACCAGTGTAACAGCACCAGCAATATTTGGAATATGTAAAAACCTTTACATATCCGGGCAGCATCATTGATGAACACGGTGGATCTCATGCTGATGTAAATACACAGATTAACAAAACACGGACAGTGCTTCTACACTTGAACAACAACTGCCAACCAACACCAAAGTCAGAACTTTTATTGCATATGTCAGGACAGTTTTACTGTGTGGAGCGGAAACTTGGAGAACTACCAAAGCCATCATCCAGAAGATACAAGTGTTCATTAACAGTTTTCTACGCAAAATACTTCCGATCTATTGGCCAGACACCAATCAGCAACAACTTACTGTAGGAGAGGACATACCAGATTCCAGACGGAGAGGAAGAAGTCATGAATAAGCGGTGGAAGTGGATAGGACACACATTGTGAAAGGCGCCTAACTGCGTCACAAGACAAGCTCTCACTTGCTAACCTCAAGCTCAAAAGGAACGAGGAAAACCAAGGAACACGCTACGGTGAGCAACGGAGACGGACATGAGAATAAAGAACAATAGAAATGAAAGCCCCGGGACATACATCGTAGGCTGGAGTATGCTAGTCGGCAGCACTAAGGTTCTACTAGGTCTAACAGGTACGAGTATTATTATTATCATTATTATTATTATTATTATTATTATTATTATTATTACTGCACTTACTTTACTTTGCCCAATCGATATTCTGTACAATAATCACGTGTTAATGGAGTTGATGATGGTTGTTGACTGAATGATACAGATAGATTGGTATGTGCAGAACTATTAATCTCATTGATTAATTTCTCCGGTTCACGTGTAAGGAATACATGCTAAGTTGTCATGAACGAGGTGAGGTGAGGTGAGGAGAGAGAGAGAGAGAAGGAGAGAGAAAAACGAAATAGGAAAGAATGAACAAAGAAATGAAATTGACACTCTTATCAATAAAAGAATATGGATAAAAAAAATTTAAAAAATTACTGAGTTTATGTAGAGATTTGATGGATTGTGATGCGTTTTTGATTCTGAAATGCATAGATCATGAGTTCGAAACCTGGTATCGTTTAATTTTGGTTTGAGCAATGATGATCTCTCATAGAAGAAAATCGAATATACAGTTATGGAGATAGTTGATTGGCATATAAACAATGTGTTAGGATATTCACCAAACATAGTTTAGTAAGTGTAAATTCTAATAGTCGATTCCTATTGGTCAATATTATAGTCGTCCTAACTATCAATGTCACGTACTTCAGTGATGTTTCTTATTGATCGCCTTTACTGTCAGTGTCACAGACTTCGATGTTGTTTCTTATTCGACCTAAATGTATAAATACGCATTATCTGTAACGTTTTATGACGAGGACCCGGATCCCTAGTCCGGGATCGTGATTCTCTTTTGGACTCGGAACTCGAACTTTCTGGATGCTTGTAGAATACGGGTTCCACTTCATATCAAGTCTTTTTCTTTCACTCAATGGATTTTAGGACGTTCCAGTTAGAGTAGCATGTCGTGTCGCCGGATCCTCGATCCTCACTCTCGTTTTCCGACTACGGTAAACTCATAATATAGTTCAAGCATATCAAAATGACATGTTTGCGTTCATGCGTGACATAATGAATCAATCAATGTTAGACCTACAGACAATAGGAATCTGGAATGACTAAAAGATGTCCGTTTCATCCTAGTATGGGACTTATCAGTAGTGCGCATCCAAGAACCACCGCTTTCGAGGATCGAACGCATGAATTTCGGTCTCATATATGAATGCTCAACTTGTAGACATTGAACGCTGTTAATGTCTAACTTCAATCAATCCAAGGTATTGAACAGCCTCAGGCTGTTATCTACCGTGATGTTGCACAAAACCTTGGGTTGATCAAAGTTAGACAAAAACACTGTTGGATACCAGCTCAGTGGTCTAGACATTAAGTGTTGGCGCATGAGATTGAAGCTCCTTGGTTTGATTCCCACAACCAGGGGTGTTGGATGCGCAGCGGCACTGATGAGTCCCATACTAGGATGAAACAGGCGTCCAGTGCTTCCAGATTCCTAATGGTAGTCTAACAACAATCGATTCATTATTTCAATAAATAGAACAATTTAAAATCCAGTTTAAACGAAGTACAATAATAGTAATCATACTAATAATAGTAATAATCCTAATAACGGATCGAAGTAAATTTGGAATTGAAATAAAGAACTACGCAATAACTTTAAATTACTTTGAAAAGAATTGTGTTTTCATTACAAGACATATTAGTGTTGTGGATGCGCATTGCCAGAGTCTCCTACATATTAGGATAAAATAGCTATCTAGTACCCCTTTGTGGCTTTCTAACTAACTAAGCTTAATCTGTGATGTTAACTAGAAACATTTTTTTAAAAAAAAACATGAATGTACTTTATAAACAAAAAACAAACAAACAAACATTGACTTACAATATGCCCAAATCCACCATGAACAATAGCTACTCCATTTGAAGTATCATTAATCTGTAATAAGGAAATATAATAAATAATAAAGTACGTTTATTGATAGAAAAAGGTTTCTTCTTTTTTTAAAGAAACAAAAAGTGTGAATTACATTTTGATGGAGTAAATTTGAAAAGTATCATTTACTTTAATGAGGATTGTGATTGTGACTAATTTGATCTCAAGTGCCGTTACGCATATGAGGGCAAGTGCCACTTCCCGGCTGCTCACACCGTGGAAAGATGCTTCATGAAGAAGTGAGGTTGAATTAGTGTTAGTCTTAGCGATTTGGGAGCGTGACCCCAGAGCACAAGAAACAACTGCTTGAGACAGGTTACGCACGGCCTTTTGTAAATTGTTAGCTACGCGGTTTGAGTGATCTTACCGCCACAGATGGAAATCTCTGAGGAAAGATAGGGTATGTCATTTTTAGGGCTAACCTTTCCTAACCCCATTCTTCCTTGTGAGAAGGCAGCATCGCTGCAGATACTAGTTGTCTGAAAGAGACACCTTATTGCTGTTACACTCCTCTCTAAAGTCAGCAATACGACTTCACCCTTCTCTGATAGTAACTTTTAGGCGACACTCCACTCCAATGTACACCTCTCAAATGCCACCTCATAAGTAGTTTCGACCACAACGTGGATAATCAAGGCTAACAATTTAGAAACTATATTAGTTAGACTGATTCTCCTGTGATTGTCACAAGAAAACATTTGTCCTTTCTTATAAATTGGGACAATCAGGGATTGAGATCAGTCGGAAGGGATTACGTCCAGTTCCTAGATTCTACCTAAGATCTCAGTCAATCTAGCTGCTAAAAGTGGGCCACCATCCTTAAATATCTCAAGGGTCAATCCATCAGGACCCGCTGCTCGCCCTTGCTTCAGATTTCCTATCGCTTTCTCAACTTTATAAACAGTCAGACAACTTATATCGATTTGCCATTCAGGTTGACTGGAGATTGTGTGCAATCAAAATGTGGCCGAGGGCTAGTTGGACTGATCCCTAAAGTGTTCTGCCCATCGATCCAAGCTCCTGGATTCAGAATGAATAATAAAACCATCCTCTTACGAAATAGTCTCACGCACATTCTGGTTCCTAATACCAGTTTCCTTGATCAGTCTGAATAGTTGCCTACTGTTGCCTATCGCCACTGCCTTTTCCTTTTCTCTCGCTTTCGCTATCCACCACTGTTCACCATCATCGCGTAGACATTTTATCAGCCTACGCCTAAGCTGACTCCGCTCCTCATCGTAATGATAGCCAGACGAGATTAGGTGTCGACTTCCTGGTCGGGGTCCGCGAGATGATAGTAACCGATGGTTAGAGACCTTGCATTGATGCAAGTGCATTTACTGTTTGTGTTCGATGAAATTCTAACCTTCTGTATGCCTTATCACCTCTCTATTTTTAAATTTACCTCACTGAATTATACTTCTTGAATAACGTCTTCTAATCCTAACCTCTCCGATTACTGCTCATACTTATACTACCTCTACTAGTATGGGGTTTTCGAAGTTACAATGGCGTTTCTTTGCTAATGTGGTATGTCAACTTGAACTGATATACGTACGTACGAAGTTCTACGTTGCTACTGATTGATTGATTGATTGATTGGTCCACCACAATGATAACAAAATAATCTAATGGATTTATACAACCTGTTAACTGTTAGGATATTCATCCAATACCGTAAGAGAATTATTGCTCATTTCCTATTGGTTAATTCCTACTGGTCAATTTTATGGTCGTCCTCGATATCAATGTCACGTGCTCCGATGCTGCTTCTTATTGGTTGTCCTGACTACCAATGTCACTTCAAATTTTGTTTCCAATTGGTCGCCTTAACTGTCAATGTCACACACTTCGATGCTGTTTCTTATTCGACCAAAATGTATAAATACGCATTATCTGTAACATTTTATGACTACGACCAGGACCGGGGCTCGGTCCCGGATCCCTGGTCCGTGATCCTGATTCTCTTCTGGACTCGGACCTCGTACTTTCTGGATGCTTGTAGAATACAGGTTCTACTTCATATCAAGTCTTCTCATATGTTTGCTCAATATGGTAGTTGGGATAACCGGATTAGAGTAGTATGTCGTGTCGCCGGATCCTCGATCCTCGCTCTCGTTTTCCGACCAAGGGGTAAACTCATAACTGTTCAAGTATATCAAGTTGACGTGTTCACGTGCAGGCGTAACATTAACCAATACATCATGTTAATGAAACATCAATGAAAAATCAATCACATTCATTACAAAATAAATAAGAATTCAACAATGATAAGAAGGAAAAAACAATTCATCGCTTACTTTGCTAATATATTCAATATCTTTATAAGCATAAGTTTTCCATAAATCACCAGTACGTGGACAACGTACATCAATGGAAATTGGACTAATATCTAACATGACATCGTAGGTTGATTCAGACCAACTCAATTTCGTTGCATGTATTCTCTGGATGTAATGAAAACAGAAAAAAGACAATCAGTTTAATGAGGATAATGATGATGATGATGACGATAATAATAGTTATGTTTTTTTTTAAATAAAAATAGAAATAAAAAAACAGAAGTAACTATGGCAACACAGTTAATGTTGTTCACTTTTTACCCTCTAATAGAATTCCATTAATATTAGGGATTTGAAATACATCAAACTATGTAGCGATCGATCGATTATAAATAAGCATCAGTTGCGGACAAGAGATGGTAATATCTTTGTCAATCAGTGAGTCAGTAACAACGTAGAACTGCGTACGTACGTACAGAAGTTTAAGTTGTCATGCCATCATATTAGCACAGAGATGCCACTGTCGATTAACAACCCATTGTGGTAGAGGTGGTAGTAGAATTAGACGTTATGGAGAAGATTAAGTTTCGGAGATATGGTTCAAGAAGTATAATTCAGTGAGATAAGTTTAGAAAGAGAAAGGTAGAGGTACTGAGGAATCCAGAAGATTAGGATTCGAGAGAACACAAAGAATGGATACACCTGCGCCATTGCAAACGTTTTTGACCCATGTCATTCATCATCTCGCGGACACCAACCAGGTCCACTTGTCAATGACTTTATGGATTTGTGCCATGTTTCGGTTTGACCGTCCATAGCTTTCTTCCAGTTTACTTGTAACACCGGGCATCATTGCTCACCGAGGTAGCAGGTGGTCGGGCATACGTAACATATATCCCCATCACCTCAACTGATGAGGTTTCACTACTTCATCTATTGATTTGTCGTTCTTACCTAGTAACCTTTTCCTGACAGCTCCATTGATTACTCGATTGCTCCAGGATATACGAGCGAACCTTCGATGATACCGATGATCAAAAACCAGTAACTTACGAACATCCTCACTTCTTAGTGGCCAAGTTTCACAGTCATAAAGTACTGCTGCATAGTAAACCCATCGTTTGGTTGGTAGAAAATTATCTCGCTAAAACCATAAATGACGCAAGTTAGCAAAAGCTAGTCGAGCCTTCGCCAGACACCAGGCCATCAGCACTGATAAGACTCCCGAAATAATTGAAGCGTTCAACACGCTCAACTACTTCATTACCTACCACTATTTCGGAGGTCGATATAAACCAATCTTGAAGCAACATTTTGCATCAATGTCATTGACTGTGAAGCTGAACGATAAGGGATCAAGTCCTTTAGGCACCATCGATCCCCTAAATATCAAAGGTACAACACCCTGACGATAAGATTTAAATAGTACAAAACCTAGGTCGAGTATGGTTTCCTATCAACTACCTCTAACTACAGACAGACAGACAGACAGATACAATGCAGAACCTTGTATATAAGTACATCATTTCAGGTTGCCATACCACATCAGCACAGAGACGCAACTGTCAGTTCAAATCCAATAGTGATAGTGATAGTAGAAGTATTAGCAGTAGTGGAGAAGATTAGGGAGCGAAGATGTGGTTCGAGGAGTATAATTCAGTGAGATAAATTTAGAAGGAGAAAGATAGAGATTATGAGAAATTCAGAAGGTTAGAATTAAAAAGCACACAAAGAGTGGATGCATCTGCGCCATTGTAAACGGTTTTGAGCCATGTAATTCATAGTCTCTAACCATCGGTGACTTTCGTCTCGCAGACCCTAACCACGTAGTCTACACTTACCAACATGACTCAGCCCACTTGTCAGTCACTTCATGGATTTATGCCATGTTTTGGTCTGGCCGCCCCTAGCTTTCTTCCAACCTACTCCTACACTGCAAAACATAGCTCGTCGAGGCAGTCGGTGGTTAGCCATACGTAACACATGTATCCCAACCACCTCAACCAATGAAGTTTCACTACTTCATCTGTTGATTTGCCATCCTTACCTAGTACTCGTTTCCTAACGACATGATTGCTTATACGGTTGTCCTAGGATACATGAGCAATGCTTCAGAGACATCGATGATTGAAGACTAAAACCTTATATTATAGAAGGATATATATACATAAATCTATATAGAGTATGTAAGCTTACCACATTCGATTTATTTTCTTTGATAAATCGATCACGAAAATACTAGTTTAAAAAAAAAATGTTGAAAAAGAAAAATGAAATGCGAATTTCATTGGAATAACATCATAACATCAGGTCAACTGCGTAAATATAATAATAATCATGACAATCTTTCGATAATTTCAATAATCAGTAAATCATTACAGTTTCATAATAAAAAATTGTTCCCCCTTTTGGTAGGAGGGAAATTCACTAAAAACAAGAACAATTCACATAGTAGAAGAATAACACGGATTCTTTGTATTTCATGGTTGTTTATGTGTGAATAATAATGGTTAATCTCAAAAGTGAATAAACCACCTAGTATGAAAGGGGTAAAAAGTGAAGGAAATGTAGTAATGCTATTGGTTGTTGAACAGAAGCCTACTTTCCTAAAAGAGATCAAACGCATCAAAGTCTATAAACTAGATGGGAAGATGTTAGGATATTCATCCAATATCCTAAGAGAACTATTGGTCGATTCCTATTAGTTAGTTTCCTACTGGTCAATTTTACAGTTGTCCTAGATATCAATGTCCCGTGCTCCAGTGTTTTCTCTTATTGGTCATCCTGACTATCAATGTCACTCCAAATGTTTCCAATTGGTCGTCTTAACTTGCATTGTTACAGACTTCGATGCTGTTTCCTATTCCATCAAAATGTATTAATACGCATTATCTGTAACGTTTTGTGACCCGGACCCGGATCCTTGGTCCGGGGGTTCCTACCCCCTTCTGGACTCGGACCACCTATTTTCTGAGTGCTTGTAGAATGCTGGTTCAATTTTATGTCAAGTCTTCTTATTCTTATTTACTCAAAGGGGGTTGAGACACTCGGATTAGGGCAGCATGTCATGTTGCCGGATCCTCGATCATCGCTCTCGTTTTCCGACTAAGGTAAATTCGTAATCGTTCAAGCAATAAAAACGATGTGTATCCAGATGCAAAGTTGGATCTTTATGTACCATAAGAATTGCTTATTAAGGCAATTATGTGTAGACAAATCCTTGCATTTTTTGACCACCTCCAATTGTGTATCCCAACCAGTTAACGTATGTTTGCTGTAGCACAGACATTGGAAGAAGTGTCTGCATCTTTGAGTATATTCTACAGAAGCATAGGTTTATAAGACAATGAATGTATTTACAGCATTACGATTGCATATCATCTAGTTGACAGTAGACTAGATGGCTCAAAGTCCTCGAAGACAATTAATAAACAAAGGACATCGAATTTACTACGGTTCGTTGAGTTCACAGTGTTACCATTTATCGAGTTCAATGAAATATAAGTTCAATATGAAGGAAAAATACTTAACTTTGATATGAGAAGGCATCATTACAAAATAAATACCAACGACTATTCATGTTGAATGAGTTCCATCATACACTATTAACACAGATGTTATGATCTACAAGATGGTGCAACACAGGTAGGGAATGTAAGAAACTCCGCCTGTAGACTCTTCGAAGCTAATGCCGATCCCAAGTCCGGAAAAAGGAGGAGGGTTGGCGACCCCATCCCGCAAAAAACTAACTCACTAAAAAAACTCTGCCAAAAAATAATCGAAAACATTTAAACTCTGCTCTAAGAGTTAAAATGTCTTCATTTAGGAAAGTTATGACGTCTCGTGATGAAAGCCGAGTTCGTTCAGAAGTCACGAGGCCAACACGCCTTCTGACAACCACAGCCCTTCCACGGTGTGGGAGTTACATCCCACCCCATACCCATAGAAACGCACGAGAGGATGTAAGACCATAGATGCCAATGACCGATAATAGGCTCATACACAATTTGTTTCATCAAGATCCTGGAGCCGATGTAAACCGCTGGGTTTGGAATCAGGGTTCTCCGAATCATACAGACGGACGCTGACCAAACATTCGCTTTTCGTCCTTTAAATTTTGTAAACAACGCCTAGGTTACGAGAAGACAGTGGGTAAAACGTCTTTGGTGGTAGCTATACATATGTGTGATCATATGAGAGCATTTTTTTTAGAAAGAAGTAACTGACTCTACCCTTCTCTCTCTCTGAGTCCAAACAAAACTGAACAAAACCATAAACAAACTACTTACCAATAAATCAGTTAACAACTCAACACGAAACTCTGTAGCAAATGTTAATTCATGACGTTTACGATTCACATCGAATACATCCAAAATGAAACGTTTCAAATGTGGTTGATTTGATTTAGTATTATGATCAAGTTTTATGTCGTAAATTTCTTCATATGTCCACTAGTTTATATAATTGTTTTTTTTTGAGTGTGTATTTTATCCCCCCACAGACAACAAATGATGGGATTAAAAAACCAGAAGAAAAAAAACAAGGTTATTGATTAGTGAATAGACAGGAAATGATTGAAAACTCAAAAAATATTAAAAATCCGTTGTTTTATTCTAGTTTCGAGTTTATCGCGATTCATGATGTAACTGAGTTATTCAGCTAGTGTAACTGCTAAGATTAGAAGTCAGAGGCTAAATGGAACTTGATTCTTTAATCACATGGTAATTAAGAGAGAGATAAAACTTGTAAAAACCAGAGCGTTATATTGTTTTAAACTATCCTTTCTTGGGAGATTATAAACATGCAAACTTTGTGGTGGTATTTGGTTCTCTGAGGTTGCGGAGCTTTCATTATCATCAGCTCAAATTTCTGATAGCAGAAGTGGAGTATTCAATGGTGATGTTGCTGTACAGAAGAACAATGAAAGTTCCACATTCAAAACATTCAGCTCAGAGAACGAAACTTCATCAGTAGAAGATATTCGTTGGTTAGTGGTTTTCGATCGTAGGTGTCTTCGAAGCATTGCTCGTATATCCTGGGACACCCGAATGAGCATCGCTGTTATTAGGAAACGGGTGCTTGGTAAGAATGGCAGATCAATAGATGAAGTAGTAAAACTTCAACAGTTGAGGTGGTTGGGATATCTGTTGCGTATGCCTAACCAGCGACTGCCTCGACGAGCTTTGTTTTGTAGTGTAGGAGTAGGTTGGAAGAAAGCCAGGGGTGGCCAAACCAAAACATGGCACAAATCCATGAAGTCATTGACAAGTGGACTGAGTCAAGTCAGTAGTTGTCGACTACCTGGTTGGGATCCGCGAGACGAAAGTCATCAATGGTTGAAGACCTTGAACGACATGGATCAAAATCGTTTGCAACGGCGCCGGGGCATTTATTCTTTGTGTTCTCTCAAATCTTAATCTTCTGGATTCTTCAACACCTCTAGTTTTGTCTTTCTAAACTTATCTCACTGAATCATACTTCTTTAATAATAATATCTTCTAATCCTAACCTCTCCGATTACTTCTAATACCTTTACTACCTCTACTACTATTGGATTTGAATTGACAGTTGCATCTCTGTGCTAATGTGGAATGGTAACATGAACTGATGTACTTACGAACGAAGTTCTGCGTTGCATCTGACTGACTGACTGACTGACGAAACTCCATCAGGTATATCATCATCCACCTAAGCTAAAAATTTTCTCCACCATCACGCATAAGAACTTTATGGGATTGAAGACGTTTGTAACCAGCAAAACGGATAACTTAAACTCTTCAATTTCAATAAATCTGTGACATGATGGAAATATTATCAGATATTATTGATGATACATATTTGACAAATAATTCAAGAAGTACTGATTGATTTGCTAGTGATTATTTACCTAACAGAATCGCTGCCGACCGCAGCTGATACTTTAACGTGGTGGTCAGGCTTGCCTACTATGATGACTCAACCGAGCGATATTGGCTAGAATATATGTTTCCTTAGGTTCTACCACACCAGGTCTGAGGGTGAAGCACCTGATAACGGCGGGTGTCTTTACAGATTCACTCAGTAATGTTGAAACAGCTTATATCATGGTTTTTCTTCACTGCTTACAACATACAAAATAATTTGTTTACGCATCAAGAGTAATCAATTTCATATTACAGGGGACTTGACGAATAGAAATTCAAGAGTCTTTACCTTCACTTTGAGAGAACGAATAGATTGTAGTATATGTGTGTTTATGTCGAGTCCACAGGGCTCGTCCCAGCCTTTGGACAAATTAGTTGGTTCACTATTCTTACTATTCATTCGTCTTTTGACCTTGCCAGACATTCGGTCATATCTTGGTCGCTCTTACTCGTATGTGTGCACACACCTGCCTAGTTTATTACATGTCTAGCTCACTTAGTTTGCTCACTGGCCTTCTCCGTTTCGCTTTCCCTGCATGCCTTACACTACCATGTCTGCATAAACGATTGCTCGAAATAAACTCATCCAACCGAATCTGTATTTGGCTTCTTGTTATCTCTGTCGCACAACTGGGGTTCGCCTAAGTATACGATAAACGGAAACTGACAGAAAGATTAATTTAATAGCATATTTGACTGTTCGTAAATATGAAGTCATATTACAGCTCATTAAAATCGTAAGCTCAACGACAAACATAACGCAGTCCACATAAATTAACTGATGAACCCACATTTATGTTAGGATATTCACCCAATATCCTAAGAATACTATTTTTAGAAGTACAATCCTATTGGCCGAAATTATGACCGTTCTAACCGTCAAGGTCAAATACTTCAATGTTGCCTCTTATTGGTCATCCGGACTGTCAATGTCACAGACGTTGATGCTCTTTCTTATTCGACCTTAGTGTATAAATACGCACTATCTGAAAGACTTAATAATTCCGTTTCCCCTGTCTACCTCTCTTCTGTATTCGACCCAATAAACAACTTCCTTCCACGGTGTTGCGTTCTGATATCTAGGAGATTTGGAAATAGCATTTTGGGTCGTATTGAGATATTTGAATTGGACGCCGTTAGGACTGAAGAGCTATACGTAGCAGCGTTACAACAATTTACGACAAGTCTTTAGAATCATTGATAAATTAAGAGAGAATTCTTTCGGAAACAACATAAAAAACATACGAATTCATGCTTACAAATTAAAAAAAACTGCAACACCTTTAAACATTAAATATTATAAGAAGGGAAAAAGAGCAGCTTTACTAATGAACACTGATTACCTGATTTGTTACTCTTAAAGTATCTTTATTGTATGTTGTTACACCAAGAGTGCCAATAGTGAAAACACGTTTGTAACTGAGAATAAAAAATGAGTTTAATTATTATTAGTAATGAAATGATGAATTTTATTGTACAATCAAATTAAAATTTCATTTTTTGGTAGTCTAATCTATGCGTGTTGTTCTAGTTTTTTCAGAGAACATAAGAAGAGTCAGACAGCTAAAACGTAGAACTTTGTACGTACGTATGTATGTACATCAATCAGTTCCAGTTACTATATATCACATAAGCACACAGAGAGATGCAATTGTCAATTCAAATCCCATAGTGGTAGGGGTAGTCGAAGAATGAGTAATAATCAGAGAGATTAAGGTCTGAAAAAATCATTCAAGGAGTATTATCCAGTGAAATAGAATTCAGAAAACAAAGATGAAAGACATAAAGGAATAAGAAATTTCACTTGTGAGTGACTTCATGGATTTCTAACATGTTTTGGTCTGGATACCCCTCGCTTTCTTCCAACCTACTCTTACTCCACAAAACATAACTCTTTGAGGTAGTCGGTGGTTAGGCATACGTAACACATGTCCCAACCACCTCAAATGAAGAAGTTTCACCATTTCATCGATTGATCTGCCATCCTTACCTAATACTCGTTTCCTAACGACAGCAATGCTTACTCGGTTGTCCCACGAAAAAAACGAGCAATGCTTCGGGAACACCCATGATCGAAGACTAGTAACCTAAGGACGCCCTCTACTCTTAACGGCCAAGTCTCGCATCCGTACAGTAGCACAGAGCGAACTGCTGCACAGTACACCCGTCCTTTGGTCAGCGAACGGATATCTCACCTAAGCAATAAGTGACACAGGTTAGCAAAAGCCAATCGAGCTTTCTGTATCCGAGCTGAAATTTCGTCAGTCATCAGGCTATCAGCACAGATGAGAATCCCCAGATACGTGAAGCGGTCTATACGCTAGACTACTTCACTCCCCATCACTAGTTCAGGTGCTGATGCAACCCTATCTTGAAGCAACATTTTGCATTTCGAGGGGGAAAACCGCATCCCGAACATGCTTGCATTGTTGCTTAAGGTAGTCAGAAGACTGCATTCTGTCAGCACCTTCACCGAATAGAACTATGTCATCGGCATATTATAGATCAGTAGGCGACTTTCCTGGTAGAAGGTCAACACCTGAAAAATCTGACGAGCTTAATGTTAACTCTAAGAGGATGTCTACGACAAATTTAAACAAGAATGGAGAGAGTGGACATCCCTGACGGACACCACCTGATGTAGAGAATTCAAATGACAGCTCGCCATATGCTCTGACTCGACCAGTGGTGCTCGAGTAAAGGGCTTGTATAAGGTTAATGTACTTCGTTGGTAAACCTTTCAATGACAGACACTGCCACAGAAACCCACGATCCACTGAGTCAAATGCCGCTTTTAGGTCCAGGAACACGACTATTGTAGGACGTCTAAATGTGTGTTTATGTTCCAGGACCTGTCGTAGTGTGAAGATGTGGTCTATACAACCACGTCCAGGTCGAAAACAATCCTCGTTTTCTCGAGTCTGCTCTTCACGAGCTCTAGTTAGACGTCTAAGTATAATCGAGGCTAACAATTTACAAACTATATTAGTTAGACGTATTCCCCTGTGATTGTCACAAGAGGACTTTTGTCCTTTCTTGTAGATTGGGACAATTAGCGACTGAGACCAGTCAGATGGGATTACGTCCATTTCCCAGATTCTACCTAGGATCTCGGTCAGTCTAACCGTTAAAACTGGACCACCATCCTTAAACATTTCAGGAGCCAGTCTATCAGGACCTACTTCTCTACCTCCATTTAGGTTTCCCATAGCTTTCTCAACTTTATGTAGACTACGAGGACTTAAACCGACTTGCCATTCAGGATGATTGAAGATCGTGGGCAACCGAAGTGTGGCTAAAGACCAGTTGAACTGGTCTATAAAGTGTTCTGCCCATCGTTACAGTCTGCTGGATTGAGAATGGATAATACGACCATCCTTTTCCGAGATAGTCTCACTCACATTCGGGTTGCTAATACCGGTTTCTTTGATAACGCGGAAAAGTTGTCTAGTGTTGCCTATCGTCACTGCCTTTTCCATCGCTTTTGCTTTCGCCACCCACCACTGTTCGCAGTCGTTACGTAGGCTTTTATCAGTCTGCGTCTAAGCTGACTACGCTCTTCATCATGTTCAGAGTCAGGTGGGATGCGTTTTCGAGCATCCATCAGTTCTCTGGATGCGACTGAAATCCTTGGTTTCATCCTAGCCTTACGGTTTACCTTACTAGCAGATATCACTGCCGTTCCCACAGCCTTTTTGATATGATTCCAACCTGACTGCGGTTGGGAATCACTTGCATGGTCGCATAACCCTCTTTCTAGTTGTTCCTGAAGTATTTTCTTAGCTTGATTGTCATTAAGTAAAGCCCTAAGAGGTTTTCATGCGATACTTTTCTGGAGTCCAGTAAGGCGCAAACAAATACGCGCTCGCTTTTGAGCATGATCTGAATCTAAACATGTGCCCCACAACGAGCGACAGTCCTCTATCAAACCCCTCCATCGGTGGCTGATGGCGATGTGATCTAGTTGGGTCCAACGTTGAGACGACTTCGGGGGTCGCCAGGTCAACAGATGTCTTTCCTTACGCCACTATAACTATATCAGAGCGCTTAACTTTTTCGAGGATGTCCGAAAGCCTTCTGTAAAACTCATCTTTAACCTCGTCTGAACTGCAGTCAGTGGGAGCGTAGGCTGATATGACGAAGAGGCAACGACGAGTGTCCCTATCCTTCTGAACCCTTACTGTCCCGTTTAATCGGACAGCGCACAAGCGACTATCTACTTGGATCCAGTATAGGAGAGCTAGTTCTACCCTACGACTCAATGCTATATCTACACCAGTGAGACATCGGTAAGCAGCATCAGGGCTACCGGATACACGAAGGGTAAATCGAGTTGCTCCTTTATCTTGACATGGTGAGGTCAAGTGAATGATGCTACTCGGATTCTGTATGCGCGTTTCCGAGACGCAGCACACATCGATGGCGCGATATTCTAAAGTCCTAGCTAATGAAGCCTGTTGCCCTATTTGACATAATGTCCGTACATTAAATGCAACAGTATGTAGTTTAGAACGGGGTTTAAGGAAACCAGGAATAACGTTTCGTGAACTCGCAACATTTGCATTAGCGGTGCAGTGAGTTGAAGGAATGCGACTAAAGTTAGTCGTAGAGATAAGAGAGATACTAGGGGGTGTAGGAAAGATTTGATTTTGACCAATTTGGTCTCGCGTGCTGTTGTTACGGGTATGAGGGCGGTTGTCACTTCACGGCTGCCCACAACGTGGAAGGTTGTTTCTTGAGGAACCTGAAAAGGAAGATACATTAGTGTCGGTCTTGGAGACCTGGGTGCGTGACCGCAGAGCCCAAGGGACAATTACTTGAGGCCGGTCACACACGGCCTTTTTATGAAAGGTTTTTTGAGGATTATCTCCGCTCTTTTGAAGCCTTTAGTGGGCAGCCCTTACAGATGGAGACGGAAGTCCGTGCAACAAGGTGAGATGTGACATTTTTAGGGTCGACCTTTTCTAACCCTTCCTTTCTTGTCAGAAGGCAGCATCGCTGCAGATGCTGGTTGTCCGAGGGAAACACCTTACTGCTGTCACACCCCTCTTCAGTCAGTCAGCAGTACGACTTCGCCCTCAGACCTTGAGTAGCTGCTTTTAGTCTCATCGTTCTCCAATCGACCAGCCTGGCATGGTAGAACCTTCAGGAACATATGTCCCAGCCAGTATAGCTCGGTTTGGTCATCACGATAGACAAACCCGCCCACCACGTCAAGATAGCAGCTACGGTCGAGAGATGACGGTTATCAATGGTCAGACACCTTGAATGACATGGATCAAAATGGTTTGGAGTAGTGTCGGTGCACCCATTCTATGTCTTCTCTCAAATCCTAATCTTCCGAATTCCTCACCACCCTTATCTCTCTCTTGTTCAGGTTTATTTCACTGGCTTAAACCTCTTGAATAATATCTCTGAACCTTAATCTTCTCCATCACCTCTAATACTGCTACACTAACTATACACTATACAATAAAGTCAGGTTTGAAGAACTTGTTCGTATCATTACTCACGTATTACACTTGATTCAAATTGCAGTACACAAAGCTGAACTTGAAAAATAAGTTGCTAATGAAATATAAATCAGATATAGATAAACTATAAATTTGAATACTATTTTTAGAAATGCGAATTTACGTGACAATGGCTACACTTGAAAAATGATGGTACCAAGTACACATTTTTGAACAAGAACTCATAGATGACTACTAATGTTTCGAACTTGTTACTAAGGCTCAGACTATTGAATTGCATCATCACAGAGAGAGATAGAACCTACAGCATAACAGTATAGGATAATTGTAAATTACTAGTATATGCTCATATATGCAAGTGAAGCATTTTTTGTACATTCTTGAACCATTAGGTTGGTTATTTCGAGGCTCAACACATGGTATTAGGTAGGAACCGTAAGTCAGTTGATGCGAAAGTGAATCTTTATTAACTGAGATTGTTAGGACATGTAATGTATATGCCCACTCACCAAATAGGCCGATGGGAGACGATGAATGATATATAAACAGTTTAAGGGGAAACTATTGGCGGCTAAATCAAGACATTAATAGTTTATGAAAATATTGAGTGCCGATTTGAACTCCCTGGTTTAGATTTGAGTGATTATCGTAACCAATAGTTAGAGACAAAGTGACATAGCATAGAATAGTTGGTGATGGCGCAGAACACCAGTTTATACATTAACGTACAAAACTTTCTTACCCCATTAATGAAGTTTTTTAATTACACCTTTTATACCATTCTTCTGATCAGCATTATTACGGTGACTATCTGTGTTACTGTGGGAATTTTTGGCAATTGTATACCCCCGTACTATTGAAGTGAGGTAAATTGAAGGGACAAAGACGATGTTATTGAAAATTTTTAAACTTTTGGGTAGCAGATGGCCTATACGGAACCCGTTAGCCAACATTCCACAGTTAATGCACTCATTTTCGTATTGAGTCAGATATATCACATACTTATTCTGTACACTGAAATGACTATAGGTAATCTTCTACACAATGGTTAGGCGGTTTTGGAAGAAAGTAAGAAGATGCTATTTGTATACATTTCAGTTATCAAAGAGAAGAGTGGAAAAGTCTTAAAATTATTAGGCCTAGCCCAGTAAAAAGTCCAGAAACTAACTTCATCTGACAATCTCAAAAGCATATATTGACTAGATAATGCCATTAGAGTTGAAATTCTGAAATAACCCAATTGATTTGACGCTTACTGAAACCTCCGTATCGAGGAATGAACGAAGTGCGGTTGCGGTTTTTTTTGGCTTTTCTCAATCCAGATTAGAATAATCTGGATGAGACAGGAAGAACATTTCGAGGACAAAATAGAACTTCGCCACCTTGAGACAGTGGTTATTTTACGAACTGATTAACCAGTAAACCTGCCGAAAACTTCCATATACTCAGTAACCCACCCATAATAAAACGACACAAATATTCCAAAAAAGAACAACTTAAATGGGTCTCCTATCCTACTTACAACAGATAAAACCGGAATATAAAATATTAGGGATCTAGAGGCATACAATTAAATTGGAATGGAAGGAAAAATACAAAAGCAAATTAGTGAACTTACCTGCCCTTCCAAGATATCTTCGTTAAAAGATAACATGATACCTCACGATTCTTGTACATACATGCCCGCCGCATATCACTTGGCTAAATAAAGTAGTATAAGATTAGGTTTTTGAAAATGAGGAAGGAAACAAGAAGCAACTGTGGATCTTACCATGTTTTATTTGGGTTCAGTCGCAAAACCAAAACCAAAGGTGGCAGAGCACTTGAAGGTCAAACCGCCGTAATGCAATTGGTGGGTTCAGCTGAGTAGTGTGACACATTTTGTAGAGCGGTCAAGTCAATTTTGTGAGCTGCAGTCGACTGTCGTCCTTGAAGTCACCAATCAGGATCCAGTACTATGCGCGATGATGGTAATAAACCGTTTTGAACTGTGGTACAAATTATAGAACTATGACTTTTGCTAGAAAACTTTGCTCGGAGACCTCCACAAATGCTTGCTAAAACCAGTGTTTCTGAATGACTTCATACCGACACCATTTTGTATTCCTTGAAAAGCTATTTGAATACGACTTATGGCGGAATTTATTATCCTATTCCAAAGCAGCAAATAAATTCACCCATTGCAGCTTTAAAACTCAGAGAGCTGTGGTGGAAATTAAGAATAAGTTGATTCAACCTTTTATGATAGAACATGCGCTACTGCGAATGAATAACATCACTAAATCCCATCAATAATGAAACTGATGACAAATACACACCTATCGTAGCCAGTCTTTTCTCAATACAGTTCATAGATGTAGACGGAACAATGCAGCAAATAATTTATGCAGTATTCTACATTGGTGCTCATCATATTAGTTTATAGAGACATTAACTTAGGGTGATCAATCAGTATCGCAAACAGATCGCCATCGGATACATCGTGCCATGCGTCTGTTACAACACGAAAACAATGTAAAGCTCTTCATCGCGAACCAATGTTGTTAAATCTGACCTTGAAGCTGCTGATATGTATAAAACCACCACAATCCACGTGACCATAACTCAGATAATTCAGGTGGTCTGTAATCGCGCACAAATCCCCAGAATAATGATTCTTGTGAGTATTTGACATTTATTAGGATGCCAACTTTTGAGGAGAAGTAGGGGATTTCGTGGACAGCGGAGATGCAGGTGGACGACCCAGATTTCGCAGATGATCGAGCTCTAATGCTTCACACACGACAATATATATAGGAGGAGGAGACCGGTGTAGCATCACAGTCAGCAGTAGTGGGTCTCGACATATTCGAGAACAGTTCTACTGTATCGGATGGGTACTTAAGGATAGTTTTTTACGCAAAATACTTCGGATCTGCTGGTCATACACTATCAGTCACAACCTACTACAGGAGAGAAGAAATCAGATTTTATTAGAGGAAAAAATCAGTGAGTTGATGGGTTACACATTTAGGAAAGCACCCAACTGTGTCACAGATCAAGCTGTCACTAGGAATCTAGGTCAACGAAAAACAGGAGGACCAAAGTACATATTATGCTGAGAAATGGAGACAGACAAGAATAGAATGAAGAGCGTTTGGATAAGGCTGGAAGTTAAGGCCCAGGACAAGGTAGGTACAAGAATGCTGTTCAGCAGCCTATATTCCACTAGGGGGTCACAGGCGCAAGTAATTAATAATAATAATATATTCTCAAATATTCTTGGTCAACCAACATGCCTGCTGCACATGCACATCGCTGCGTTGATATACAGCACAAGGATTCTCACTGATGCCATCAGTAATCACCCCTGCCCCTTTCGGGTACATACATGTTGTCCGGTTTGGTCTGAAGACATATCGGACATCCAAAAAGCGCGCACACGAGCAGTGGCCTCTGCACAGGCACTTATGAATCAAAAGATCGCACCTACCAAACCACAGCCCACAATCCCCAATCGGCGAGGGCGGCAAGGCGGGCTCAAACATGTTACAAGAGACATGCCAATTTACAGGCAAGATCAAAATGTTAAGATTAGCAACATATTTCTTTTAAAACGATATACAGTTACTGAAACATTTCACAAGATTCATTGTTTTCTTAAAGATGGAATGTACAGTGCTAATAATTGGCGCAAGTTACGAAGGTTGCGTTACGACAATCATCTTATGGACTGAGAAACGATTCATGGTAGAGATAGGTTTTCATATAACAAGAATTGATGCGGTAAATGTACAAAGGTCTGGTTGATATTCATCAGCTAATGATTTCACATGTTCTTGGGTAGGGTAACCAAGTCTACTGCAAATATCCAGACTAATATATGTGGATTGGAATAAGGTTCTGAAAAAAGAGGAATAAAGAAAACGGGACGAGGAGCGGAACAGAAAATATTCGTGTTCAAAGCCGAACAACGGCTTTGCACATACGTTTATGGATAAAACAAAGGTATGTTTACTCAGACTTTTTTTAACAAAAACTAAACACCTGCACTTATGTAGGTTAATGAAGACAATTCAGTAGTGAAATAACTAATGGGAAGTTAGTCGAATGAATAGAGGAAATTCAGAAGAACCAAGGTGTAAGTAAAAATGTTGATTTACAAAATATAATAAAGAGGCTCAGTGAAATAATTTTTTGTTTTATTTATTCTTTTTATTTTTAACTCTGAGGCTCGAGAAGTTATGAATGAGCTCTTTTTTAGTATAGTTTTCCAGACCAGCTTGTTATAGGATTTCTCGGTAGGAAGTAAAAACCAGTGCAAGGTTACAGACATGGGTTGTAGACGAGGTTAACTAGGAAAAGTAACATCAATATCACTGATTTGTTACATCCTGCTATATCGTAAGGAGCCGTAAGCAAACAAAATGTTCTGCCACACAGACATGGGTAGATTGAGGTTATCGCCCCACCGTCATGAATGCTGGTCAGATACACTACCCTCCCTCCTTTTGTGATGTTAGGCTCTCTTACGTGTAGTGGTTGATTGTAAATAATGGTCTCTAGTCTACTCTCAATTTTTTTGTACTTCTTATCGGAATTAACATTCTCTACTAGCTCCATATTACAAGCAATCCAGACAACTGTGCCAGACAATATATCCGCATAGCATATCACACTGACTTTAAGTAAACGAACGGTATAATTTGTAAGATGTGTCAGTTAATAGGTAGTTTGGAAATAGGAAGGACAGGGAGCTGGAACGAGGAGAAATAGAAAAAAAGAGTTGAAATAATATTAAAAATTAATAAGTAAAGCGATAAGTTGGTAAGCAGGCAAGGTGTTTGGATGTTAATGAATTGGGGAAATAAAAATTTGTTAAACTGTTAATTCTTAAATATGAAGATATTCACAATGATACACGGTGTTTGAGTTATTGTAATTGACAATAGTTGGTCCGCATCTACAGGCTTTTCAATTTGTCTGTCTACTAGAAATAAAAACTAAAACTGCTTTGAAGGTGTGAAAATAATGATTGGGATTTAAATTTAGAGAAAGGTCACGGGTAACACTTCAAAGGCGTAACCTATTACTGTTAGTAGGAGCAGGGGGATTTGTCTATCATTTCGCGATACATGTATGGGCGGTAATGAGGACACAATAATCTATAATTCGTTTCAGAGGTTTATCTAAATATTCGGTGGACCATAAAAGAGTGCCTGGGGGCTGGGTGTGAGTTCCGGGAATAGTCGATAAATCTCTTTAGAGTCTAGCAACAGCATGACTAGTTTATTGAACTTAGTAATTTTGTCACAGATACGGATAGTAATTTGTAACCTGTTCTACAATAGACTGTATCGAGTTAAAAAGAAAATAGAACACAATGATTTCTTGTGTTTTGCCGTTAATAGTGTATATGCGTTGTTTCTAAGTCTGTAAGTAGTGCCGTGGTTCATAATTGGACGGTATTTTACGAACGAAAGACCATTTGTTAGTTTATAGGGGAGCATTAGGTTGTTTTTCAGACGACGGCGCCACAGAGGTTCCAGGGAAAGATGCTTGCATCTTTCTGTGTAGTCGAGGTTATGGCTCAATCCGAGCAGTCGCCAGGTGAGGCTTCTTTGTACATTTTCTACTCGCATTTTGTCCATGATATTCAAGTGTGAAAAGATGGGTGAACAATATTCAAGTGTGGGCCTTATACAGATTTTGAAGAGAGTAAGCTTAGCCTCACTTATGAAGAAGTTCTTGTTTATAAACCCAATGAGTCGTCTAGATTTAAAGATAATATTTGAGGCATGTTCTTCGAATTTTAGGCTTTTAGAGTAACTAATACCAAGGTCACGCGCTGAAATAAGTGTCTGAACCCTACATTTTTGTAAGTAGAGTGGTGTATCACGGTGACGCTTGCTAAAATGCATTATGCCACATTTGTTGTAGTTAAACGGTAATTGCCATGTCTCGCTCCAGACAGTTAAGTTATCAAGATCACTCTGAATCTTAGCTATATTTTCGTCCAGATCTTCAGGCTTATAGCTGTATACTATTTTCAGATCATCAGCATATAAGTATGCTCTTCCAAATTTTATAGTATTACATATATCATTTATGTACATTAGAAACAAGAGTGCACCTAAGATACTTCCCTGGATAATCCCACTGGTTATTGGTCTTGGTGATGAAAGACAGTCGTTTTACTTTATCATTTGTTGTCGCCCATTTAGGAATGAAGCTAACCATGAGTGTAGTGGGTTGATGATTCCGAATGACTTCAGTTTAAATAGAAGCCTTTTGTGTGGGACTTTATCAAAAGCCTTTTAAAAATGGAAGAAAAGAACTGATACAATAGGCCCTTTGTCTTGTTTATGCGCGATATCGTTGAAATAATCTAACAGACATGTATCACACGACCTGGACCTCAAGAGGTCGATATCAGATTGTTACTAAGTAGATGTTGTAGTAACTCTGCCTTAACTATTTTCTCCATAACCCGAGATACTACCATGATTTAATTGTGGGGATGATATGTGTAATCTTCCAGCAATTAGGGTAACACTCTGTGGAGAGAGATATAGTAAATAGTTTGAGAAGAACAACACACAGTTCATTGCTACCATTTTTCGGCGTGCTGGCTGGGATGCCATCTGGTCCTTCAATGTAAGAGTGCTTCAGTGTACTAATAGCCTTAGAAATGTTCTGTACACTAAATTCAACACTGGCGATTTCACAGGAAGGAATTTGGGTCAGGTGTGACTCATTCGTTGAGTTTTCGTTTGTTAATGTGGCACAAAAATGTTCGCTAAACAACTCTGCGATACTTTTAGGGTCGTCATGCACTTGATTGTCCTTA